CTCCGAGCATTTGAAATGGTAATGAGGAGAGATTCTGCGGATGTCTTCATCCCTTTCCCCCTCGTGCCGGGCCCCTCTCTGCTCGGCCCATTGAAAGCCCGGATAAAGGTGCAATCTGTCATTTATTCTCCCCGCATGAATGCTGCTGATTTTCCTCCTTAAATCTGTGTGCGATCGGAGCAAAGAGAGGGAACTTGATTGCGTTTTGAAGTGCGCAGTACGACCAGCATCTACAAAGATTTAGAGCAAAAACGTGGTAATTAGTCAGAGTCATTTCCTACTGACTTTTCAAGTTCGACTTTGATGAATGTTGACATGCAATCTGAACTCTTGACCACGGTCCTGACAGTGCCCCCGTCCCTCAGGGGAACAGTAGAGGGACGGGATGAAGCATAACTGCTGGAACCAACTCATCATATAGAATTTGAACTTAACATCTTGTTAGCTACTTATTAGCTAACCGGTGGCACTTAGCGAGCCCTTTTGGCATTACTGCAGACTACAAGAAGTAAGACCCATTAGTTTGTGGACGGCTGTTTTTTATTTTTATATATATATATATATATATATATATATATTATGAAGCCTGGTAGCGACAGACCTGCCAATCACAGTAAGCCCCGCCCCTAAGCAGACTCTGCTTTATGGTCTGTTTCACTCTAAATTGACCATCATTTCCCAACTGATCATCATGCTGCATCAAAGAAGACCTGAAACTAGAGCTGGAGTCCATACGTGCGTGTTTACTGAGGGAAGGAATCCTGGGAAAGCGTAATGTTCCCATAGACTTCTATTCAACCAGTTGCCCCCCCCACCCCCCGCTGAGCGTGAATATGCAGAGCCGGTTATTGGTTGAGGCCGCAGGTGTTCGTTGAGCATGAATATGATGCATGAACAGGTGATTGGCCTTCAGTTAGCGAACGGCTCATGCGTGTGTCGGTGTGCGATTGATTAACTGGATGTGACGTCCCCACGGGGGCGCATTCCTCTGCGCCCCCCACCCCCCCGCGAGTAAAACACCCACACGGCGCACTTGTCTGGGCACGCAGCAACTTCACCGCTCAAGCTTCTGGCTCTTCACCGCGCAGGGAAAGCCACTCAAGCATCACCTGCACGCACACACACACACACCTGCACGCCTGCACACACACACACACACACACACACACACACACACACCGGTTGTGTTTTGGGTTCGTGGCAGCGCTGTAAGGGGTTAAATGTCTGAGTGATGCATTGATTGCAGGCGAGCGCAGGGAAGCATTCTAGACAGGGAGATTAGAGGACGTAGGGAAAGAGCGAGGGAGGGAGGGAGGGGGGGAGGTGGTGTCTCGTTTTACTGCGTGCGTGCGTGTGCGTGTGTGTGTGTGTGTGTGTGTGTGTGTGTGGGGAAGCTGGCGCTCTCGTGCTAAGCTCCTCGCTCTCTCCCAGCGATATTAAACACGGGCTTCGGAGGTTTAGCGCTGCGCCTCCTCCCCCGCCACACGCACACTTGGGCTGCATATCGACGCGCTCTACCCGCCAGGCCCTGCAACACATGCTCTCATTCCCGCACACGCACGCACGCGCTCACACGCACGCCGAGCGAGCGGGATCCCCCAGAGGGGGGCTTCGGCACAGCGCTCCTAAATCGCTCTCCAGCAGGCAAACACAGTGTTGGCGGAGAGCGGGAACCAGTTGGAGCGCTGCCCCCCCCACCCCCACCTCGTCTATTTTTTTTTTTTTTTTCTCGCACTTTTTCCTTGCTCACTTTGTTTTCTCTTGATCCCTCTTTCCACGTCTGCCCGCCCCCCCCGCTCCTCATCCCCATTGTCTCTCCTTCCTCCACAGCTTGGTCGTCCATCGGCTCAGTCCGATCACTACTAAACACCCCCGCCCCCCCCCCCCCCCCCCCCCCCCCCCCCCACGTACGCACTTCAACTTCCTGCCCCCCCCCCCCCCCCCCCCTTCATCTGGTGTTACTGTCAGCTGCAGCCCAGAGGACGGCCCCGGCAGATTCCGTCCGCAGATTCATTAATGTGTCATCTGTCGGGGGTGTTGCCTCTCACTTTCACCCGTTCTTCCGCCCTCCTCTCATCCCTCCGTCGTCCGCCTGTTCGCTCTCCCCCGCTGTTGCCTGTCTGTCCCTCCCTCCCTCCCTCCCCGTCCGCCCTCTGCCGAAAGAGAGAGCGAGTGAGATAAATACTTGGACTAGACGGCAGGCTAGAATTAGCATAGAAATGGAAGTTTGGAGTCATTCCCCAGGTTCAGATGAGCAGCTTCCCTCCCCTGCGGCACGGGAGTCTGAGGGAGAGAGAGGGAGAGCGAGAGAGAGCGGGAGGGAGGGAGGGACGGTCCAGTAGGAACCAGTCGGACTCCTTGGTGCTGGATGCCTGACTGTCGAAGCCCTCGACCAGAGGAAACCTTCCAGCTCTTCGGCTTCCATTCCGCTGCCCAACCGTCGTCACCGGCTGCCCGCGGTGGCGTCCGGGTCCAACCAAGGCGCACACATTTATGCACACTCACAAATTCTGGCAGGCTAAAGGCAGTTGTGTGTGTGTGTGTGTGTGTGTGTCACTTCCTCCTTTCCCCTAATTTCCCTCCCACAGGAACTGTAAAGCGGAAGGCCTGTTTGCGTGCGCGTCTGTCCCGCTCAGGCTTGCGCGTTTGGTCTGGCTCCCCCCCCCCTCTAAACCCCTCCCTCCCTCTGTGTTGGCTGCCTCTCTTCAGGAGGTGGTGCTGTACTGTCTGGAGAACCGAGTCTGCGAGGTGAATCACCGGGACTACGCCGGCTACTGCGCTCTCCACGAGGCGTGCGCCCGCGGCTGGCTCACCATCGTCCAGCACCTGCTGGACTACGGGGCCGACATCAACTGCAGCGCGCAGGACGGCACCAGGTAAACCCAACCCCTCCGCTCGCATGCGCCCATGCACGCACGAAACGCCCCACGCGGCTCATGTGGACGGGGCAAACGCGGCGTGTTCTGACAGGGCGGGCGTCACGCGAGACTGCTCGCGGCAAACTCGCTCGGCAGGAGTGGTGATTGGAGAGATTAGCTGCGGCCGCTAACGGGAAGAGGCTCGCGCTTTGATCGCCGTGTTATTAGAGCGTAGGGCAGGGGGGGCGGGTCCCAACGGGCCACAAAGCACCGTACAAATGTTGCACGCCTGGTTGTCATTGACATGCACATCTTGTGTGCGTCCAGGCCGATTCACGACGCCGTGGAGAACGACCACCTGGACGTCGTGCGCGTCTTGCTGTCCTACGGCGCCGACCCCACCCTGGCCACGTACTCTGGCCGCGGGCTGCTGAAGATGACCCACAGCGACGGCATGGAGCGCTTCCTCTCCGGTGAGTTCCACGTCCAGCCCCAGGCAGCTTCGGCCGGCCGGGGGCTCGCTGATGTCATTAACTGCAGCCTGACACCCCCCCCCCCCCCCTCTTTCCCCAACAAAAAGCAGGACGTAGTACCTCCCGGACCAACGTTTGAAATTGAGCCCTCATAGAACGCGGCTCACAATTTTGGGGCCCCTCTGAGCCCACCTTGTGTATTAAACGAATTCCACGAAACGAATGGTATATTTCCGGACAGAGATAGAGATGGAGAAAAAATTTCGCGCAAAATTATAATAAATTTCGAGCGTGTCGAAAAAGAAATTCTCGTATTATTACTCGGATTGCTTATCAATGTTAACAATCTGAATATTCTCTTGTCTGTAACAAAAAAAAATCCTGCATGTGAAATAGAGGATAAGAATCTGATTGAAATTAATGTTTTTATTGAGTGAAACTAAAGCGCACTAATAGTTTAGAACTATTTTGCAGTGACTGGAAGCTTCCTCCCTCCTGAAGACTAATTGGAATGCAATGAAATTAGGTTTTTAATGTTCATTGCGCACAAATAAGTTTAAATAAAAAAAGGATTTCCAGACAGCGGATGAAGCAGTCGATGCGGAGGTGGGGGGGGGGGGGCTAAACATGCAACCTCCTCCCCGGGGCTCCGGTCCCCCAACGCTCTGACCTCTGTGCGACCTGTAGCAGCTACGAGTCCCCTCTCTGTGCACACCCTCCACCTCCCAACCGTCGAGACACGTCTGTCTCCGTCACGCCGTTACCCTCCCCCCTCCGCCCCCCCTCCCTCGACCACCTGTTAGACGGGGAGCCTCAGCCCGCCGGGTTGCGTGCTGCTGCCTCTGAGCTCCTCTATCTGGTTACTTAGCAACGCCAACTGTGTTTGCTCAGTGTATGTGCGGAAATGGGCTTCGCTCTGGCTGGAGACTCTGCTTTTGTATGCCGGCGCGCGCGCGCGCGGGTGTGCGTGCGTCTTTTCAAGACCGCGGCGGAGAAAATGAAAGCGCGTGCACAGGCGCTCCCTCCGCGGCAGCCCCCCGCTTAATCAGACACAAACATCCAGTAAACCCGCTTATGTGACACGCGCCGTGGGGGGGACGGGAGCGGGCGCGAGTCCACGCACGCAGGGGAGGACGCACGGCCGATTTAAACGCGCCCAGCTGGGGAAGTGCTGAATTTTGAAAAGAGAGCGTGGAGGGATCGATGGCTGCTGGATTGACGGAGGAGGAGGAGGAGGGGGGTGGGGAGGAGGGCTGGGGGGGGGGGGCAAAAGAGGGAAAAAAACAACAACCGCGCAAGCGATTGCGCCCTCCCTCCACCTGGTCCCACTCATCTGGAGGCCGTTAATCCCTCCAAACACACGCCAGACGCCCCACGCCTCAGCGCTGGCACAAAGCCCAGCTCTGTGTGTGTGTGTGTGTGTGTGTGTGTGTGTGTGTGTGTGTGCGCTTACCCAGCTCCCTTTGCTTGTTTGCCTGTGTGTGTGTGTGTGTGTGTGTGTGTGTGTGTGTGTGTGTGTGGACTCGGCGTCTGTGTGCGGTTCTTGTTTGATTCCTGGCAGCGCCGCTCTGAACCGAGCCAGCTTTAACCCAGCGGAGACGGTCGTTCTCCTCCCTGGTGGTACAGCCGCTGGCCCCTGACCACTGCCCCCCCTCCCTCCCCCTCCCCTCCTCCCCTCCCTCCCTCCCAACACATTTGCTCTGTTTGTTTTTCTTTCTCTCTCGGCGCCCTCCCCCCCCTCCCCGTCCTCTTCCATTTTACTGCGCTCTTCATCCCTTTTTCCGCTGTAGTCTTAAAGGGCAGGCGCGTCAGCCTCTTTGCGTGTCCCCGAGGCTCCGGCTCTTGAATAATAGGCTCCGCTCCTCTCTGCTCTCCACAGATTATTTTTCCGACCTTCAGGGGCGCGCCGATGACGACCCGGGGCTTTATTGGGAGTTCTATGGCAGCGCCGTGTGTGGTGAGTGCTGCTGCGTGTTGGTTTTCGGATTTGACACCAAACACCCTCCAGTGCCGCCCGTCCTTGACGGTAACGGAGATGCGCCCGGATAATTATTCACGTGTGGCTCTTCTTTTTTTTCTTTTTTTTTTTTTCTTTGTGCGTGTCAGAGTTGAGCGAGGAGGGCGGTGTCTATGACATCCTGGCCGATGCCCCGGGCCCGGAGGACGAGGAAGAGGACGACAAAAGAGAGGTGTTCGAGTTTGAGTTCTCTGACCGACCTCTGCTGCCGTGCTACAACATCCAGGTGTCCCTCTCTCAGGGGTAAGCTTTAATCCCAAGAGTTTATAAAAAAGGAAAAGTCTGTCGGCCCTCGTTCCTAATCCTCATTTTGATGCCCCTCCCCCCCTTCTTCCAGGCCGAGGAACTGGCTGCTTCTGTCCGACGTCCTGCGCCGAATGCGGATGTCGGGTCGCGGCTTCCGAACGGCGTTCCCCCACATGGAGGTGGTGACGGTGGCCGAGGCCGAGTTCTACCGACAGGCCTCCCTGTCGCAGCTCTTCTCCTGCCCGGAGGAGCTGGAGGGCTTCCACGCGGACAGCAAGGACCTGCTGGACCTGGTGGAGGACAGCGGCGAGCTGGCCGCCCTGCTGGGCTCCACGCTGGAGTGTCTGGACGACCGCTGGGACCGCCGTGGGGACAGGCTGAAGGACAAAATCAAGGCCATCCACAAGGTGGGCTCGTCCTGACCCCCCGGCGCCGGCAAAAACAGGACCCTTGATCCTTGATCCACCGGCTGCAGTCTGCCGCAGAAGCACCCGGCGGCCGCGATGACGCGCCTCGCGCTCCGGCCCGCTCTGGACCAGCACTGTACAGATGGACCGACCTGCTGGCTGATCGGGCTGCGGAAACGTGGTCCTCTGTTAACGGAGGACCAACACATTAGTGACTGAATAGACTTGATAATGGTCTTATTTTTCTAAATTAATATATGTATAAATAATAAATAAATAAATATAAATATATATATATATAAATAAATAAAATATCAAGCTTTTCTTTTGGATGTTGCTCACGACTCCTCTGAAAGATTTTGTACAGCAACAGAGTGCGGTGGTGTTGTCGGCGAGCGTGCAGCACATCGTGCATGCGTGCGTCTGTACAGGATAGTACTGGGACTGTGCTATTGAATGTGGTATTTGTGTTTATAGAAAGCACATGATGTCCTGTTTTTTTCTTTCCCCTCCTCAGACTTCAGCGCTGGCTTGAGCCTCAGGGGCCGTTCTGTTGTATCTTCTTTAGGTTCCAGTTTTGCTTCCTGTTAAGTCTGTAATTTAACATGCAAAACTACTCTACTGTTTGTATAATAAAGTTTTAAGATAATGTTGATATTTACCCTTCGGCACAGAGCTTGTATATAACAGGGAGGCTACTGCAGTAAAGTATTCTTTTCTTTTTTGTGTTCATTTTTTGTTTCAACTTTGTAATTAAATATCTCATAATTTGTATTTATATTTTACAAAAGAAGTTGCTTTAAAATAAATATACAAACTGCAAGATGACACGTGTTCTTGTGCCTCTTTTGTCTTCGTTGAATTAAAAGCGCGCTGTGAAAACTTTTACCTTCCGTTGTGTCGAATTGAATCTTTGTTTAATTACGGAACGCAGCGCGCGCTGCGGACATCCGCGTCCTGCAGCGCCATCTCTTGGGCTCCTCGGGTTCTGTTCCTGCGTGCACTTTATTTGCGCAGCCACGACGGAACATCTGGCTCACTGCCATCGGACGCCGCGCGCTGAGAGGCGCGCGGCCTGCAGCGCCCTGCGGCGGCCGGCAGCTGTTACTACACGGGGAAATAATGCTCTCCCCCCCCCAGTGACTGGTGGGAAAAAGAAACCCACCATGGTTCCTTGATCACTGAAATAACCTGACACTAATATTATTGAATATGGGTATGTTTTGTTTACATCGAGGCTTGATGGTGATAAATGGGCCTCATCGTATCTGGTAATATAATAAACCGATATTTGTCTGAACCAGTCACAATATCAATTTAAGCGTTACTGGATACGTCTGGTCAGCTTTTCTTTGAGTCGACAGATGCCACCGAAAGACCAAACCCCGGCGGACTCGATCAGTTGGGACGGTATAAGAAAGCATCTTTTTAGGAATTTAAAGCGGATATGTGCACCTCATTCTTCACTCTCAACCTTCTGACTATTCCTCACATTTTATTCCCAGTTGGTAATGATGTGCAGAAAAGCTTCTACTCTGGGCGATCCGGGATGTAAGCGGTGGATATTTTTTGGGTCCACAGTGTGTGGGCTCATTCTGGGACGATTCTGCCATCATTTACAGTTTCATTCTGTCATGTAATATGTTGAGTTTGTGTTTTTGAGATGTTGAAAATAATTTAAAAGTTTGCCGTTTAGAAAATCAGATCTGATCTCCTTGAGTACTTGTGAGTGGAACTGACAAATGGCTCGTACATGATCCTCTAAAACGAAGTGGGAGGTTTCCCACATCGTTCTAATTCACTGAGCATCTTCTTTACACTGAACACTATTGGATTATTACTTATAATTCATTATTAATTATTATGAATAATTTGCAGCTTTTAAGCTTATTGATGAGCAGAGTCTTACATGTTACTGTCTTACACAACGTTTTGAACATCACATCTTATTACAAAGTATTAAAACCATTTCCTGTTTATTGTCCTAACGCATCCACCATTGATACGAGGGCTGCTGCTGATTACTTAGTGATTCATTGACTAACCACATGGGCTGTAAATTCAGTAAAACATTCCAAGCCCCCAAAATATTCAGAAGGCTAAAATGCCTCACGCAGGTATTGATAAACCTCCTGTGATATGTCCCCCTCACCTCCCGGTCTGGTCACCGGGGCCCGGCTACATGAGGATTAACGGCTCTGGGTATTGACCATGGTCCAACATTCGGTCCCTGAGGAGCCATCGATGCATTTGGCTGCTCTAATCTCTGTTGTGGGGCTGCACTCATCCAATAGGGACAAGAGAATCACATAAGAGGGCGTGTTGGATCACTGGCCACATTCTGGAGGAACACCTGATGAAATGTGCACTGAAGACGTTGTGTGTGCCGTCTTCCACGCTGAGTTCCAACTCTCAGTCTGATGACGGATCTGAAGGCGTCCGGGATCCTGCGACACGTTGATAAGAAGCAGACTTTGAGACACTTTACTGGAACTAGAACCAGCGATTGAAGCTGTTTGCTTGACAGTAAATGTACCAAAGCGGCTGACAGAGTGAGATTGTTGATCACTGATACTAATGATGAAATGATAATAATTGCAGAATAAGAAATATCAGCTAAAGTAACCGTCCCTTACTGACTGGATGATAAAATCTCTGTCTTGAGGGAAAGTTTCCACCGTAAAGCACAATTATGTTTTTTTAATTTACACTTCAACTGTGCATTTCATAATGTACATTTTACTTCACTACGCTTCTTTGACAGGTACAGTTCCTACTCATTTTTTACAACAAAAGTTAGCCTGTGTTTCTGGAGAAACCATAAATCATTACATTTACAATGAAACGTCCATCACCTGCAGGAATACTTGGGTTTAGTTTGACATTTTTATTTTTCCCCACAATGCAAAGGCTACTGCAATGCATTATATTATAATGAATGTAAAGTACTATACACCTCGTCTCTAAACCTACTAAAGCTAAAAAATTGATATATTACTGACTCGTATTGTATACATATGCATTTTAGTGTTGTAATCATAAAATTATAATTATTATAGAGCCTTCAACAATATTTATTTAAGTGATCACAAAACAAGAATTGAACATAAAGAGGAACACAATATGACCGTATGGCCAACGATGAGAGAATACACAATGTGAAATAGAGTAAAGCTAAGTTTAAAAGCAGGAATAGGACATGGCTTCTACACAGATCCCGCCTTGGGTTGCTTACCTCACTGTGCCTGCACATCTGACACTTTCCTTAATCAAAAGGTTCCTGCCCCGCTGCAGCCTAGCAACCAATGGAACCTGATTAATTAAAACCCGTGGTTGTTTTACTACATTCCCAGAGCTGACGGGAATCACTTTGATAAATTGTCTCCTATCATTGATATATTTTGCGACCGATTTGACTATAAAGATGTTATGTCTCATCTTATTGAATGAGAACTCTTACATTTAATACCATTTTATTGGGGCATTACCCGTTTTCCTTTAGTACAGTTTTAGTCATTAGGTCTGCCTCGTGAAAACAACCCTTTGGCTTTGGCATCTCTTCTTCTGTAAACCGCATGAATGCATTACACAGCTGGGTGGAGATATGCTGTAAATTAGCATTAACATACATGTACTTTAGATAAAGCGGTACGCCAGAATGTCCGTGTGGACGAAGAAGAGCGTTGGATCGAACATTTCTGAAATGCAATAAAACAAGATGTTCAGTTATGTTCCTTTCCCCGATGCTTTCAGGCCTCGGATCTGCAGAGTTCAGCTTCGCAGCCATCAGGGTTTGTTGCAGGCGAGTTTGTTTGTATTGAAAGGGTCCAGTTAGTGAACACGGTCTGCTGTAACATCAGCACGCGTCACCGCTCTGCTTCCATGGTCATTACTGGTGGACGCAAATGTGTATATCATACAATGGTAAATATTGGTATGTTTGAATAGGTTTCATTTGCTGTATGCTGTTCATTTGGCCGTGGTGTCAGTAAATCATACTCCTTGTTTCATTTGGATTTCTTTACCTATTTCTGTAATTACTGCAATGAGTCATATTTCCATATTCTCCCTTTTCCTGCGCCTTTTCTCGAGTAATTCTGCTGTTATAACCAGACGCACAACTCGGACAAAGATGGCTTCTTCCACCAGATGGAGACAAATCTAATCTGTTTTTGTTTACATTTGAGAGCCCAATATGGTATTATGTTGGTGATTGGAGAAATTAATTAATTTATTTGTTGCCAGCTGAAACCTAAAAAGCTTAATATTTAGAAAAAGAAAACAAAAAATTATTGAATACAAAAAAATAAACATTATGCGGTGTTGTAACGACAAATAAAATAAAATATATATAATATATTTATTCGTAAACCCAACATACTGGTTGACAAAGATGAAAAGTTTAGCAACTGGTGTTCAGCCCAGCAAGTTGTATGTAGACAAAAACAGGGATGGAAGGGATTCAATAAAGACACGTGGAAGCAGATATTATATTACGCAAAACACTTTGTTATTGAAGCTGCTGTATCAAAGAGTAATTATATTATTCAAAAAGTAACTTCTATCTTGAGATGCAAACCTCCATGGAGTTGTGTAGACTTGTCTTGAAAGAATGTTTATCGCTTATCTGGAAAAGTTTCTGTAGATTCATTGCAAACCGCATGTCTCCCATTTCAGTTTGAAAAGTGACTTTGTGAATTTCATGTAGCTCCGGTGTTAAACCAAAATAGTAATAGCTTGTTGAGTTAGAAACTCTTTCATATCTGTAACTCGTGCTTAAGTCCAACAACCATCATTCATTCTGACTAAACAATTCTTTCGTAACACAAATAGTCTTGTTTGTAAAGCTGTTTTTGGATCTATGATCCTGGTTGTTGGTGTTAGTTTGCAGTCGTCACCATAATGGTGTTTGAGGATTGTTTCATTTATAACCCCATTTATTCACTTTTCTTTATTCATTCATTCTGAGGATGAAAATACAGATCTGTGTGCTTCCGGAATCGCACAGAAACATTACCGTGAGTCCTCCACCATTACAATCAATTTAATGATTCACTCTTTATTTCTATCCCTCTCAAACGGCGGCCTGTGTGTGTTTGTATGTGTGTGTTTTGTATATTGACCTGTAATCAGTTGAAAAAGGGATCCACCAGCTCTGCTTGACCTTCCTCGCTCTCCTCCACCCGAACACCATCTCGCCCTTCAGGCCTCCTCTTTGCTCCACTAATTGTGTCCCCACACAGCTCCCCGTCCAATGAGCCTCCGTCTGTCTCAGAAGAACAAACAGGTTTTAGATACTTCAAACTTCATCATCATCATCATCATCCTACATTGGTTCTCTGCTCTGCAGCACTATTTACTGTATAAACAAATCAGTTTTCAGATTCAAGTTCAGAGACTCCCAGGAGCAACGTACTGGTATCTGTTGCTCACCGGTCACTCTGTCCCATCCGGTGGAAGCTTGTAGCTGGATGCCGAAGTCCATCTTGAAATCGCCTCTAGCGCAGCGGGACGGGACGTGCGTGTGACAGGCGGGAAAAGCGCCGGGGAAAAGTCGACTGGAAGAGGCTGCATGGCGGAGTGAAAAAAGAGCAGATGCTAAATTATCACATTTCCTGACAAGAGTCACAGAACTCGTTGGTGAACATCAAGACGTTGATGAGCTTTGCTGATCGGTGAGCACTACTTCACAAAATATCCCTTTAAAATGTCATTCATGAGCCAATTCACCTCACATTTTACATTTGGCTTGAAAGAAATGAGATTAGTTACAAAATAATCTGAGTACAGATTAATAGTACACTACCTCAGAGTGTCACCCAGGGATAACATTCAAAGATTCATTTACACACTGTTTACACCCTGTGTATTGAAATTCTTATACTCCGACCAATTTTAAAATTAAAATTAAAATAAGAATAAGAATACAATATTTACATAAATGTACATGAAATAAAAAATGAGGTAAGGAAAAGGCAGAAATGAGGTGACGAGGAAAAGTGCAAAACTGAGCAGGTTGTAAAAGAAAAAAACTAAAATGAAATGTGTGCAATATAAATTAACAGTACAGTAACAGTAAGTAAATCCTAACAAGCTACCCCGAGGTATTTGAAGCTGCTCACCCTCTTAACTTCAATAAGATAATCAGGACATTCAGATGTATTTCAAAATGAAAACCCTTCAAAATGTCATTTATGAGCCAACTTCCTTTAAATTCAGATTAGATTTTAAGAGAAATGGTGAATAGTTACATAATAGTTTCACTTCAAAATACTGGTACACCGCCTCAAAGGAATAACTCCTGGGTAATCAGGACATTCTTTTTTCAAAAGGAAAGCCCTTAAAAATCTTGTTTATGAACCAATTTCCTTCTAATTTGAGATTGCATTTAAAAAGAAAAAAGTTACATATTACTTTCACTTTAGATGTATAGTACACCAACACAGGGTATAACTCAGTAAAGAAATCAAGACATTCTGATTGTACCCTGAATTCATGAGCCAACTTCCTTGTAATTTCAGATTTGATTTGAAAGGAAATGGTCCAGAGTTACATAATAGTGCACTACCTCAGTGTCACTCACTATGACATTCTGATGTTGAATTTAAATGAATGAGCTGTGTTCCATCTAAATTATAATATGAGACATGTGATCCCTGCATTCTTTAACCACTTCTTCTACATCATCATTAAAAGCTCCTCTCTCTTCCAGAATTAATTACAAGGCCCTCTGAGCAGAGAAGCTTTCTCCGTCTTTCTTATCGTGTGATAAGAAACCTCATTGGCGATGCTGCATGTATTGGGCCGTGCTCCATGTAACATTAGCGCATACAGGTGGTCATTGATATATGTTCTTCACAGATATAGACCAGTATAAGGCCAATATTAAATCATGTATTGGATCATTTGTCTTTGGAACTTTATACAAGGGTTGCTGTACATGCTGAATCGATGCTTTTTTTTGAAATCCTGTAAATTGCCAGGGTTTTTTGTTTGTTTGACGGCACAACATTATTCTTTTGGGACTTCAATTACAATTTACTTTTCATTGGCGTATTTTTGTGCAGATCAACCTAAAATAAAAGACAATTTGTGTCCCTGAACATTAACCAACGAATGGCATTTCTTGACTAATTCAAGACCCTCCAGGAGTTGTTGGATGTGTTGGATCCTGCAGAACTTGAACGATAAAGCCGTAGACACTGATTCTATATGGAACTTGGATCCTGCTGCTTTCTTCTCTTTCTCCCGCTTGTAGCCAACAAAGAGCGTCTCTCAAAAGGAATAAAAGGGAACTTTGGCCAAAGCGGAGGACTCAGCAGGTGCGTGGTGGGACGGGCCGCTGAGGCTCAGCTGAGAGCAGGCTCATCCTTCAGAGGACCGGTAGTTTGATCCCTAGGGCCACTATTGATCATGCCGTCAATAATAATCACAAATGATGCGCCTTATTAGTTGTTTTTGTCCTGTCTGCCTGTTCAATTAACTCTCCTGTCATTCCGGATCCTGTCATCCACACCCGGTCATCTCTCATTCCCTTCCCGTGGTCCTCGTGCCCTCCTCACCTGCAGCCCATTCCCTCATTAGTCCCTCTTTATTTAGGTCCCCTCACTTACACTTGTCCTCTGCCAGATTGTGTTGTGTGTTATTGCCAAGCGCTTCATTTCATCCTGCCCATCTGCCTGTTTCGTTTGCCCGTCGAATCGACCTAAGATTTTTGCCTAAAAGTTCAAATAGGATCAGAAAGACTGCCTGCTAACATTCAGGTCACATGCAAACATCCAAAGCTTTATCAAAAATACCAAATCATTTTGAGTTAACATTGACCATAATCCCAAATATAATTTGTAAAGTTTAAATCGAATCTAGTTTAAGAAATCTTAAAGATGAATTAACATCATCACTACAGCTGAACCCTTTCAATAGTTTCCACTTTCACGGAACGGAAGGTCATTTGGTGATTAAATGTGATTTTAAAAGTGTCCAAACAGACCCTGCTCTCCCTTTCTGATGCATACAGCTGAGAACCTTTTATTATTTGGGACCAGTCATCCCAGTCATTAAGCGGTTGACTGGGTACATTGACTAAGTAAAGAGTAGGAGTAACATGCAAGGCGGGGGCCCAAAGCCCCTCAGTAGACCAATCCGACGATGCTCTGCATCACATCCTGAACATGCCTTCAGTGAAAAGATCAGCCTTTAATCTTTGCTCACATGAGCGTCTCTAAATCAGGCACTGAAGTGGCTATAGAGGTCCGCTAAAGAAGAAAACACCGGTTTGGGGGGGGGGGGGGGGGGCTCTGCAGGTGGCTCTAAATTAGCGGTTAAGTGTGTACACACTCACACACACACACTCACACACACACTCGCACACAGATCTGGTTCAGCTTAAAAAAACCTGAGGGGAACAAGACAAAGCAGATACGATCCAAGCTAAATTCCCATGTGCCCTATCTCTGCAGAGTGGGGGTGTTAAGAGATGTCTGGCAGGCGGCCAAGGCTCGGGCCAAAAATCCTGGGTTGATCCACCAACTGACAATGGAGCTTTAAAGAGGGACGTGGGCAATCCTGCCCCTCGGGCCATAAATAACCCCCTGGGAACACTCTGGAGAAAGCAGACCCAAATCATCATCCGGCTGCGGGACAATCTTAACATCTACTTTCATGTTGGCAGCATTAAGAACTCAGCCTGGCAGACCTCAGGTGAAACACTGAAGTCAGAGTCGTACCCTGAGGCAGCAGGAGCAGGAGGAGCAACCTGAAGAGCTCCTCTCCGACTAACACCCCTCTCTGCTGCAGCATGTCATTTTACAACCTATATTATAAATATAATAATATAATAATAGTTGAGATGAAAACCTTTCTTTCAATCACCAGAATTATACTGCTTGGTAATGTAAATGTTGCACAATGCTAGCATGTAAAGTTTGTGGTAGCAATTAAAGCAATAGCCTCACTTTAGCAGCATAGTCTATGGCGTACTGTCCTCAGGCAACAAACTACCTTTTAGGATCTTACTCATGAAAATGATGCTTTCACGATGGCTGTGGTCAATCAAACGAGGGCCCATGGTGGGTGTGATCCTTTCTCCTGATGTGAAGTATTCTTTTCAGGCGGATCCGGCCCCCCAGGGGGTCCAGCTCGGCCCGCCGGCTGACTTTGCTAAGTGTGAAAATGACAGAAAGATGTAAATTGCATATGTATAAAAGTAGCTGGTATTCCTAAATAAGTGCATGGTGGGGTCGCAACTCTGTGAGTGAGCACGTGCGTTAAACCAGGCCCTTTAATGAATTAATGTAGATGATAAAAACGTTTAGGTGAGGTCATTGGTTTGGGCGCAGGCCTCAGATGTTTTCATGATGTTTGATCAGTCACGCTACGACATGTTTTTGCATTGTTCATGTCTTGCAAATAAATGCTTTGCTACTTGTTAAAAGCCAAATCCCCTCATGTAATGATTTCTACATGTCATTTATATTAGCTCACACAAACACTCCATCCATCTGTCTGGCCCGGCCACTCTCATTTTAGAACCCATTGTGGCCCGCGAGTCAAAAGGTTTGCCCACCCCTGGACCAGGGGGATCAGGTCACCAACCTAGATCCCTTCCATGGGAAAAATAAATCACGTCAGGGGGGTAGATCGCCATGACATGGATTGAAAAGTTGAATGAAAAGTAGCTCCCGACCCTAAAATGTGCGGGCCGGGCACCCCTGCATGACCTTTCGACCACAGCGTTCCCACAGGCAGCAGCGTCTGCCTGGAAATGACGCCCCCCCGTCGGTTGGATCAGCTTGAGAACAAAGTGGGCAGTAAATTAAAATTGAATTACTCACCCCTGAGTAAGATCCTTAACCTGTTTAAAATGTGAATAATGTAATATAAACAGTTCACTCATGTATTTTTGATAGTTGAATTACTTATTTTGTTAATGTTTCTATTCTAAGATAGAATACGCAGAGGAAGAATAAAATGTGTTTTTTGTCACATGCTCGAAAAAAATGTCATGAAATATTTTTCCCACTAAAAATAAAAATGACACAGAGCGTCATTCACACATGAATCAATACGTTTAGTCCACTACTTTAAATTCATACGCACTACTTTTCATTTCGTTGAATGGTTGGATTTTACTTGTAACAGAGAAGACAAATTTACCCTATTCCAGCAAACATTGTAGTATTGCTACTTTTAAAGTAAAAGTAGAGTATATAGAGTATTTTGAGACATATATTATCCCATCGTGCATTGCGGTACCTTGACGTCAGGTCACATGATCACTGCTGCACCAAGAAGAAAGATGTCGCTGACAGACTGGCGAAGGATGGAGGCTGTATTATCCGCGGCGTTTGCCCTCTGCTTACTTGCCTCAACCGGTAAGAAATGCGGAACGATAGAAAACTATGATTCCATGTTTTAGTGTAATTCTTCTCTTGGATAAATATAAGATCAACGCGTCACGTATCCACTCGGTTTGCGAAGGACAACCTATGTTGGAACATCCGTAACATCGCCGTCTAACGTTAGCTTGCTGCTAACTGTGAATCCTTATGTCAAGGAACGTCATGCGGCTGTTTCGCGTCAGTCGCTAGGAATGTGTGAATAGTACTGTGTAGTGTCGGGTAATTGGACCGGCTCGAGCTTCTAACCATCGGAGTTGAGATTAGATATGAAACATCATAATTTTAGCTCGATGGTAACGCTTAACGTATTTGGAAAAAGCGTGAGACGTGCGTGGTTGATTGCTTGTTGTTTCTCGCACGTCGGTGGTCTTCTAACATGGACGGAAAACGTCCTTTTGGCTGCTTCCTTGTTGCTGGTTACTAACGCACACAAGACCGTGTGCTGTCACGTGACCGGCTGTCGCCGGGCAGTTCCTCTTTACTACTCAACATCAGCTCTGTCACGAGTCGGCCTACATCCGGGGTGCGGTGACGTCACTGGTTCGTCTTCACTGCCACTCGTGAGGTCCAGTCAGGCTGTGCTGCTGTTTGCTGTGATGTTCAATTAACATATGAGTGAATTATATAAGGTCTCTGAAGTGACGTCATGGCCATCTCTGTTAGTGCACAGCAGCAGATGAAGAGGGTCAGTAACGTGGTCTGCATTTGCATTTGATGGTATGATATATTTAAAAACAAGATACAGCCAGATACAATAGCAAACAAAAAGCAGAAATAATGTATGATACATGATTACAGTGTAAAAAAATCATTTAATTGACGTCATGCACATTGCAAATATTTGAATTGTTTGTATTTATGGTGTACTGGGAGCTTTGAGGATTGTTCCAAACTTGCTCTAAAGTTGTTTTATGGTTGAAATGTCAAAGCTCAAAAAAGGGAGAGAGTTCGGCTTCCTAACAGCCTGGTGGACAAAGCTGTTTAAAGGTCTGGTGGTATGAGGCTGAGGCTCCAGTATCTTCTCCTAGAGGGCAGGAGGCCGAATAGACCGTGTGAGGGGCGGCAGCGGCGGCTTTGACAGTGACTTTGTGTTGACTGTCCCACTGGAGGTCCTCACTGATGTCCACTGCTAGGAATTTTGGGCTGCTCACTCTCTACCTCATCAACACCCACCACGTCAGTGTGGCCTCTCCGGAAGTCAACAACAATCTCCTTGATTGAGCTGGTGGTTTTCTCTATCCACGTGGTCACAAGGCTGACCTCCTTCCTACAATGGGTCCACCAGAGTTGTGTCGTCTGCAAACCTGGCCATGTTATTGTATCCTTATGGTTGAAATGCACTTCAGTCGCTTTGGATAAAAGCTAAATGACATGTCATGGTGCTGCCTGGGTCGGCAGGGTAAAGCGCAGTGGACTGAGCACACAGCCTTGAGGGGCTCCTGTGCGCAGTGGACTGAGCACACAGCCTTGAGGGACTCCTGTGCGCAGTGGACTGAGCACACAGCCTTGAGGGACTCCTGTGCGCAGTGGACTGAGCACACAGCCTTGAGGGGCTCCTGTGCTCAGTGTGATGCTGCACGAGGTGTTGTTGCCGACACAAACTGCTTGTGGCCTCTCAGTGAGTCCAGCAGCCAGGTGTTGAGCCCCAGGTGGTCAAGTTTACAACTGAGTTGTTGTGGGATTATGGTGTTGAATGCTGAACTTTTGGAAGTATATGTACTGCTGCTAAATGTTTGCTATGCCAGGTGTTGACTGACATTCCTCTGGCTTTCCTCACAGGTGTACATGGTGACAGTTTTACGATCCTGCAGTCTCCAGAGTTTGTGTCCTTCCAGAAAGGAGACTGGCCCGTCTCCGGAGAAAAGATCCCTGACCTGGTTGCTTTAACCATGGGCTTCTCTGTTCAAGAGGTGTGTTGTTATTGGTTGAATGCTCCACCGTTTGAGTTATATTTTGTATCTAGAGAAGTACAGATTTAGCTAAGGGAGACTTCTACAGTATTTGCCCAGAAACACCACTCCTAATGATTTATATTGTTTTTCCCCAAAACATAAATAAGCAACCTTATGCTAAAGTTCACCGTCGCTTCCGATGTGTGTTCATTTGCACAGGACCTGACGTGGCCGGGCCTCCAGGCTGGCCCGCTGTTCCAGCGTCCCCGCGCCAACGTCCTGGTGGTGGTGAGAGGCACGGACGCTCTGGCCCTGCCTCAGAGCGTGGCCTCCTATCCCCTGGAGAATGTGAGTCAAACAGGACTGTGGAAGCGTGTTTGTGTTTTAGTACGCGATGGAATTTGCCTCAGTTAGTCATTGGGTCTTCTTCTCCCCTGCAGCCGGTGCCCTTCACTTTAGATAGTGTCGCGGAGACGGTACACTCTTTGTTTGCTGAGGACACACCTGTGGTGCTGCAGCTGGCCCCCAGTGAGGAGGTAATGCAAATACACTGGAGACCAAAAGAAGCACAGGCGACATCCGTGCCATGACTTTTAAAAGTGGAATAATACTTGTGTTTGTTGTCTCTCTCAGAGGTTGTATATGCTGGGGAAGGCCAATGCTGTGTTTGAGGACCTACCCGTTACCCTGCAGCAGATCCGTGCCCGTTTGTCCCAGGATGGCTCTGTTTTGGCCTCCCTGCCGCTCAACTCCCTCAGCAGAAACGCAGAGGTCGGTTTGTCAAGCGGCTGCTGGCAGCGCCTGACTCCATTCTTTTACATGTGCGTTTTAAAGACAAACGTGTGACAGCCTGCATGAAGGCTGATTTGAGCTCTAAGACCACCATCGCTCTACCTCCAGAAGAGGGTATCAACTCCATACTCTCAAGCAGAATACACACAGTATTCACCGTTTGTTGCTAAGCGCCGTCGCGAGAAGTAAAATACCATACTTTCTTTTTTTGTTTCTGGGTATTTCTGCAAACTGAACAGATGACACCTGTGAGATTGAGATTGTAGTCGTCAACTAGTCCTTGAAATGGATCAAGGGGTTCACTGACCTCTGCCTCTCTTACCCTTTGAACGGTTCTTGCTTTTAGGCTGATTTGCTCTTCCTGTCTGAGGTCCAGGTACTGCACGACATCACAGCTCTGGTAAGTGATCGGGGTCGGACGAAATCCGTTTGAAGATGGAGTTAGTTGTTGCATAGCGGCTCAGATCTCTCTGCCACCTCCTCTGTTGTAGCTCCAGAGACACAGACATTTGGCCAAGGACCACTCACCAGACCTGTACTCTTTGGAGTTGTCCGGTCTGGAGGAGCTCAGCAAGCTCTACGGCAAGGACTCCCCCCAGTACCACGATGCCTCTGCCATTCTGGCCTCTGTCCTGCAGAAGGTAGGGAGAAGTCCTCAACAGGCCTCATTCACAGAATCCTTTCAGTTTCCAACTTAATGTCTACAATACGAACAATGCTTCTTGTTTTTTTTCCACTGTAGTTTGGGGAGGATGTGTATAGTCTCTATGGCAACAGCGCTGTGGTGGAGGTTGTTACAGTCAAGTCCTTCCAGGCTCCTTTGACTAGGAAGTCCCGATCGATCCTGGAATCCAAACAGATTGTGAGTGTAAAACTAAAGTTTAATGACACAAGGCATTAATGAAAATTTGTATAGCATCATAAAATAGTTAACAGAATATTATGAACCCTATTCTAGTGCTGTACATCGCCGCCTGCAGTATGAAGTTGAATCAACACCTCTGTAAAATAGATCAGAAAACCCTGAACATTATAACCTTTAAGTCGTTAAGGCAATGTATGTTTCAGGGCTGTTCTTTAAGAATCCGATCACCCATTTTAGCATCATGTCATAGCACAGATGTCAATGTCAACATCAAGAACGGCTGTACATAACTTAAGAGCGCTGGTCTCACGGCTTGCTATTGCACGTGGGCGACTGGAAGTAGGCATCTTAGGGATATGTGTTTTATAGTGCGATGTGGACTGATCATGTGCACCACGTGTTGTGATGTTAACGGCTGAAATCGTGCACCAAAATAAAACGGATGACCTACACCAGTAGTACTTACTGTCTGAACCCTGGTGTGGACTTTAAACCCAACTCCTTTTTCTGTTTGGCAGTGGAAGCAATTAACGCTTTGATTGGTCTTTCTAGTGATTCATGCTCAGTGGACGTCTGGCGTAGCAACCGTTGTTTGACTTTGGTTTTTATGTTTTGCAGAGTAACCCTGGCAGCCCTTACAACCTGGCCTACAAGTACAACTTCCAGTATGCCGTGGTCTTCAACATTGTGCTGTGGCTGATGATCGCTCTGGCCCTGGCCGTCATCGCCGTCGCCTACAACCTGTGGAACATGGACCCGGGGTACGACAGCATCATCTACAGGATGACCAACCAGAAGATCAGGGTGGACTGAGTCCTGACTGCCAGCACTCCGGTTGTCCCCGTGGGTCCCTCTAGTGAATGTTTGTGTTTGGTGTGAGGTCTCGTTTAGTGAAATAATGTGACAGCTTGATGGGAGGAAGGAGCGTAACTTTGTTTACAATGGGAGAGCAGGATAACGGACAAAAGAATATCAACATTACAGTAACGGTTGTTAACTGTTCTTACATAAAGTGGTTTGATATCCTCCGTCACTGATCCATTCACACTTCCTCCCTTCAAGCTCGTCTCACATCGTTCCTTAAGACTTAAACCCTCACTAAATATGTTTCATTTGTTTACCTTGTGATTGCAACTGGTTTTATTGTTAAAAGAAATTGTAATATAAAGAAAGAGTCCTGCAAAATTGTTGTGCTTGTCTTGCTGTGTGAAATGTTTGAAGCTAATTTAAATCTGTGTATATATTGACTATACAAATGCAACTGTATGAGATACTGCTGTGCTCTTATTGTGAAAAGGATGTGGGCAGCGTTTAGTGCAGGTGGGTTTCTGCTCTGCTTCAATTGCAAATGCAAAATACACAATGGTTACATGAATAATTGATCATTATGTTGTTACAATTGGACAAGGATAAATGAAGCTCTGTAAATTGCAATAAATGCGTCAATAAATTATATGTATCACCCTGATTGAGGGGTAGCAGTGTTTCGTTAATAAAAGCATGTGAATCAGAGTTGTAAGGTTTTACATGAACTTTTAATGGTTTTTCTTCCCTTTTTGGCTTAAACCTTTAAAGTGTAGTTAAATGTCCTGTTTACTGCATAGATTGTCTGCAGTTACAGCTAAGATGTGGTTGTCCTGTGAACTCTTTTGGTTTCGTCCTGTTAGCGGAAGCCGCTCTTCCCTCCTATTGTTTCTTCTCTTCGTTTATCATCTACGTCTCCTCGGGTTTTCTTGTGACTCGGCATCTTTGGGGCTCTTATCTTGGGACCAGGAACCATCGGACTAACTACCAAACTATATTGGACTAAATGTAGGGTTATAGAAAACAAATAAAATAAAAATGTCGATTGAATTACACCACAGTGAAATACACCAATGTCTAAAGTATAGTTGGTATCAGTCACGATACTGTTGTGAAGAAGTAACTAAGTTACATACTTTGTGATAACTATTAGTTCGAGTATATCTTTGTCAGGGTTTTACGTGAAGGATCGGTTAAAAAATACTCCCAGCAAAGCACTCAAAGCAACATCGACGTGATAAATAGTTTCTATTATTCTGTTCAGTCTCGGGGAAGTTTCCGACCTGTTGTGTAACAGCTCAGCCAATCAGAGTAGAGTAGAGAGCTCCAGGCCCCGCCCCTCGCACAGCACATTTACGTAATTCGTGGCTCGAGCTTTTGTAACATGACTTGGTATTTATACCGGAAACAGAGACGGGAAACAGCGCAGCGGAGGATTGAAACTCGACGGACAAAGATTTCTCACTAAGATATTAAAACACGGACGAACAACGATGGTCTGACTGCTAATAAAAGGTAGGTATTCATCACACGTTCGTTGATAAAGCCCACCGAGGAGAGGCTGCTGTTGTCATCGTGTCAGTAGTGACATTACTAGTCATGTAACGTCACCCATCTACCAATCGATTGATTATTTTCATTGTACACCACAGCAATGGCGTTGAAATGACTTTCAGCTTTAATTTGAGGGTATTTACATCCAAATCGGGTGAACGGTGTTGGAATTACAACAAATTCAAATGTGGCCACCCTCTTTTTAAGGGACCAAAAGTAATTGGACAATTTGCTGCTCAGTTGTCAGCTCGGGTGTGTGTCATTCCCTCTTATTCCATTTGCAAGGAGGAGATAAAAGGTCTAGAGTTCATTTCAGGTGTTGTTTTTGTGTTTGGAATTTGTTGCGGTCAACTCTCAACATGAAGTCCAAAGAGCTGTCGCTAGTACCACGGAAGACAACTGTGGTGGATGACACAAGATGTGGAATGTTCTGCAATGGCCAAGTCCATCACCTGACCTGAATCCAATTGAGCACGCATTTCACTTCCTGAAGACAAAACTGAAGGGAAAATGCCCCAAGAACCAGCAGGAACTGAAGGCGGCTGCATTAGAGGCCTGGCAGAGCTTCACCAGAGACGAAACCCAGCGTCTGGTGACGTCTATGGAATCCAGACTTCAGGCTCACTGCAAAGGATTTTCAACGAAGTATTAAAAGTGACAATTAGATTAATGATTATATTCATTTTTCCAATTACTTTTGGTCCCATCAAGTTAAAGCTGAAAGTCTGCACTTGAAGCACATCTTTTTTTTCATTTCAACTCCATTGTTGTGGTGGACAGAGCCAAAATAATGAAAAACATGTCAATGTCCAAATATTTATGTACTTGACCGTATATAGTTGTTGGGGATATATATATATATATATATATATATATATATCATTTTTTTGTTGTTGTCCTTGTTTCGACTCATAAATTGCAGTTTATTGTAATGTACTGTTGGCATCACAGGAATCAAAGTCCAAAATGTATGCGGAGGCATACATGGAGAATAAGGCTGATTCTGATGTAATAAAGATGACTGATTCTGATCTATCGATGTTTAAGCTCTATGCCATGTGAATTGTAAAGTGGCAAAAGTACAGTAGATTGGAAAAAAACTCCTTTCTACTACTCTACATTCAGATGGAAATCTTGCCTATGCCTAATACTATATATAATTAATGATTGAATATCCATCACAACGGGAACAATAAGTGACTCATCGATTTAAGTTAGCAGTATATAGAGTCGTGATATGACCGTGCTCTTTACCGCCTGAGACAGTCAAGCTACTACCATTGTGAATTATTAGTAATTGGTAATAAAAGTTGGCCAGTTGGTATTTTTCTCTGCTAATATTCTTTTACTCAACCCAAATGCGTGACTTTCTACATGCGGTATGGGCTATTTTACTTAACTACTTCTTCAAAGTATGAATATACATTTATGTGAAGATAGTTTATTTAAAAAGGTAACACTAATGATTCTGTAAGACTGATGCTATTTTTATTATTATCTAAAGTGTGTCTTTTTTTTGCTTCCCACCTCAGCCGGCGCCTACGTGGTCCGGAAGATTCGGGCTTCGGTCACAGCTGGAGAGCAGCTGGAGAAGCCCATCATCACACCATGTAGTGCTAGTGGTAAGACTTTAACGACTAGATGTAGAGTGTAATGAACTATCTGTTAATCAATTCCCATTATTTCTTGAAGTGATGAAGATATGATCACTGTCTTTTCTACTGCAACCCTGCTGGATCTTGTGCAATAACAATTACTCTAATGCCATAAATACATTCATGCTTGGGCAATAATGACACTCACTAGCGCATTTTTAAATATGCATATTTATACAGATTAGGTGAATCAAAGGAGTTTTATTCTGGACATGTCGCTGAATTACATGGCTTTCTCTTTTCTACTTAGCTAAAATGAGAGTGGAGCATGGGGCGGGTGGAGGCGCCCCTTCTGCAGCACTGATCCCAGGGCTTGAAGAAGGTGTCGGCGGGGCAGAAGCCTCGGGGGGGTCCTCAAAGAAAGCTGTGCAGAAATGTGGCTCCTGAAGTTAAAGACCACGCTGGACCCCGGAGACGGTCACCGCAACAGAAAAACAGAATTCTTCATCTTTGCATACAGCGTTTACTTTGAAGGACTATAACATGGACATTCTCCCTACATACAGAATAATTTAGAGGCAATGCTCAACTTTAAGTTCTAAACTAAAATGTTCCAAACAAACTCAACCTGAAATCCAAAGACCATAATGTCACTGTTTTCCTTCGTCCATGCTGCTTTCAGGGGACAAAGTCCAGCTCTTACTGACACACATCTCGACTTTCCATCAGAAGACACGAATAACTATCATCTTGACTCCTTTGCCTTTGATGGGCCACACAGAATGCAACAGGCACCTGAATGTAATGGAGTCGTCCATGTTATTAAATGTATGTGGTACTGCAGTGTTTGAAGGCAGCATCACCAACCTCCCTGTGGGGGCCGAGCCCGCCTGATGTTTCTCCTGCCGTATCAATAAATACATTATATAACAATGTGGCTGTTGTCTTTGTGTACATGTCTGGGTCAATTGTTTTAGAGTTGAGTGTAATCTCAAAGAAACTTTGATTTGTCAAAGTAGGAAAGATTCAGGTTTCAAAAAGTAACATTATTAATGGCAACAGCACCTAAGAGGGTTCAGCCACCATTAATCATACTAATAACACCTGTACTATTTCCTGCGATGACATGTGGAATTATGGCCTTCACAATAAGTCTACTTATTAACCACGAAAAATCACAAACGATAATTATATAAAATTGGGAATGCAGAAAACTCATTGGACGTTTGTGACATTTTGTACAAGCAGCTTTAATGTCAGACAAACCGGTACGGCTTTATGGGATAAGCAATATTTTCTGTATATCTAGTGCTGCTGCAGTGAAATCATTTCCTCTTAATAAGCAGGATTAATAAATGAACTATCTACTTTATAATGTGACATGGCTTTCAGATGATACATCTTTAACTGGATGACATTTTTAGTATTTTTCTAAAAGGAATTATAGTAAATAAAATGTATAGCACCCAAAGAGAAAGCTTGGTTGACTACGTCGTGAATCACAGTGATGATTTGACATAAAGGCATGCAGGTTTTAGATTGTGTAGATCTACGACATTACTCGTATTAGAATATCACATTATACAATTACATCACTCTGTACCACCACTTTCCATCGTCAAGTAAAAAAGCGTCTCATTAGTCTTGTTATGTAGTTGCAAATGTATTCTGACACCTGTAAGTCTGTTCTTCAACAGCAGGGACTGTCTAAACACGGTTAATGCTTTGTTATTATTGCAAAACGCTGCGTGTTTCAAATGTTTTGGCTCATCAACAATTCAGGGCAAGTTAAATTCAATAGATAGAACAAATATTGCTTAATAACAACAGTGATACTATACAAAACATACTTTCACTCTTCAAATTGGTTTACTTTCAAGAAATGACAGTTTGCGGAGCCCCAAATGTCAAAGCACAACAACTTCCCTACTACACAATCCATCAAAGGTGTCAACGCGTTAACACACTAAGATCACACTCACTGAAATGCTCATGAACACTGCTGTGTTGTAATTTTAAAAAATGATGATGAAAAATGCAATGAGATTGGAAACTCTTCTTGAACAGACATTATGTAAAGTTGGCAATCTTTAACAATTTAATAGAAGTATAAATAATAGTATGGAGCTTGTTGTTGCCACTGCTTCCCCCTCCGGTCCAGGAGGCGGCGGTAATGGTCACATATGCTGGTAGAGTAAAGTAACGTGGTGGGATTAGTGCGTACTAGCTGTCTTACTTTAACTAGCCGTCAAATGAGTCGGGCTTCAACAACTTACTGTTCCGACTCTGCATTGTTAAAATGCAGGGAGACACATTGCCAAAGCCAGTTGAGGAGTAATGTTGAGTTTAAGTTAATCGGTACTAACGTTACGCGCGTTGGAAGCAGCTAGCTCGCTAGCTAGTTAGCCAGCTGCGGATTCAGCTTCACGTTACTTCCTCGCTCATGGTTCCTTCTCGGCTGTCAGAACGAAATAGCCGTTAAATGCAACGAGGCGTCTTTCAATTTAAACAACAAGGGACAGGGCGAATAAAGCACCTTGCGCGGGATAACGTCAGGCATTTCAGCAACAGACACACCCAGGCGAATTGTTTAGAAGTCAGCCGAAGTTAATGTGATGTTGCGTTGCTAATAGCGACGGCTAGCTCGCCAGCTAACTGTTAGCAGCAACAACATGGAGCGACCGCGTTAGGAAATAAACACTTGTTTGTTTTCTTATTTTCAAATCCATGCAAGCGGAGTGTCCGTGATCGCGGTGGCTAAAACTATGACGTCTGTGGAAACGACGACATCTCCTCAAGCACCGGGGCTGAACGCGTCGGCCAGCCGGGGAGCGAGCGCCGAGAGCCCGCGGCAGAGGCTCCAGAAGCTGCTCGCTGTACCGGGACACGAGCCGAGCCGAGCGAACGACCTGCTGCTGCTCCGGCCCGACGCGGGGGACCGCGGATACGGACACGTCGTGTTCTTCCACGGGGACATCCAGGTGAGTGAGGGGGAGAGAATGGACACCGGCCAGGCGGCTGCAGGCGGTGACAGGAGGAGGACGGGTTTCAGTGACTGGTTAATTAAACTAGTTTACCGACATCCACAATGAACACGGGCCGGTAACTAAAACCCTGAACGAGGAGATAATAACCTGTTGGGATTAAAATATTTATGGTCCATCCCCGGAACTCCCTCTGAAAAGGGGACGTTATGGTGAAATTTGCAGCACAATATTACACGATTTCACCGTTGAACAAACTTAACAAACACACAAGTAAAGAAACACCGGACGCTCAGGGATTAGTGGCCGTCACGGTCCGCGTCGCTTAGCTATGATGACATCAAGTTAAGTTCATTTATATTGTGCAGTTAAGGCGTGTAGGTCTCTCAGGTTAAAGTGAAGGAAGCACTTTGCAGCTAAAGTGATGACCTTTGTCTGTCCAGAGACTCTTTCTCTATTGAGCTGGATCAGCTCTGTGTGACACACACACACACACACACACAAGGCGGATTTGCCCGATTGGAACAATTCCCAGAAATCTATTGTGTGTTAAAATAATAGAATAATAACACACTGTACCAACACACTGCCAACTGCAGTGATGATATCGTGCCACAGCCATTGTCTAAGGCTAATGTGCTTAGGAGAACAATACAGATTTTCATTATAGAAGGACACGGTTTTCCCTACCATTAAATTAAATTGGAGCCTGCACTGTTCCACCTGCGCGACGGAATGGGGATGTAGAATTATTATACGCTAGAAACTATAAAACTATAACACTGTCCGATTGAATGCAGAAGTTCACATATTCTTCAATAATCATCTTTGATGTGCACTTTGGGAGCGGAGGAAGTTGATACTTTTGAAAGAGCACAGACTGTTTGGTCCATAAGCAGAAGGAACACTCATAAATCAAGCGTAAAAAGAAGATTAAATGTTTGTTTCCCTTTCTAGCTGCTTTCAAGAATCCAAGGACTGCGCTCATTCACTAAAGCTTCTCCTTGTTTGCAATTCATAAAAGGTTAATGTTCCCGTGTTCTCGTAGCCTCAGAGAGACGCTGCATGTGCGCCGGATGCTTCCCTGGCATGTTTCTGTATAAATGACAGTGTTTCCCACAGATCCAAAGTCAATGTGGGGGGGGGGGGGGCACACACATCGCTAGTTAGAACTATACACAATTCACACTATATACAACTCTCATATCTGTAGTACACATTTCACACTTTATACTACTTGTTGCTACAGCCTACGTGCTCAAAGCCTGCAACTTCTGTCAGAGCAACGGATTTTGCGTGTGCTTGTGTGCGTGTGTGTGTGTGTGTGTGAGCGTGTGTGTGTGTGTGTGTGTGTGTGTGTGTGAGACGGAGGGAGAGCAGGGAAAGGAAATGCAGCTGAACGAATACGTTGTGTGATTTAAATAGCGTTACAACAGATTATTCTGTGTGTGGGAAACACTGAATGAAAAGAACGAGGTTGTTCAGGACCTCACAGAGGAGATGCTACTAAAAAACCCACTTGTGAGATTGGGAGGGGGCCGTCTCTTTTTTTTCTTCTTTCTGTCTCACAGTCAACAGTTGTCAAAGACTTAATTTAGCAAACATCTTTATAAGAGTCTCTTTTATTTGTTTTATTCAACGGCTGAATAGTTGCCACGCCTCCTGCTCTTCTGCTAGATAAGTGCATCTCATCTTCAACCGCTTATCTGGGGTCGGTTCCAGCAGGGCACCCCCAACTTCTACCAGCTCTGACGGGAGACCCCAAGGGTCCTGGGTCTTCCCCGAGGCCTCTTCCCAACTGTCCGTGCCTAGAAACCCTCCCTAGGGGGCATCCTCACCAGATGCCCAAACCCCCCTCAACTCCACACAAGGGGAAGCGGCTCTCCTCCGACCTTTGAGGCAGATACCAGCCCGGATTGACCGGTACATCGGGAGCTTTGCCTTCCAGCTCAGCTCCCTTTTTGTTAAAGCGGTAAAGCGAATGCCGTATCCCCCCATCCCCCATCCCCATCCCCATCCCCCTCTCCCACCCCGCTGCTCCAATTCTCCAAACCCGCACTCAATCTCCCCCTCACTCGGGAACAAGACCCCGAGGTACTTGGGGTAAGGACACATTGTCTACCCGGAGAAGGGGATCCTTCGGTTTTCAGATATAGAGCTGCTGATCCTCATGAGAGTTGTAGGTCACACATGAATACGTTGGATAAGTTATGTCCCAAATCTTTATGTTGCAAAGCTGTGTGCTCTAAACAACACAAACATGACATAAAATAAGCTACGGTAGATTTGTTTGTGATGTTTGTATATTGTCTAGTATTTATACGCAATCAGACGCAGTGTTAATTGATACATACATCATATATTTCACGTTGTTGTCTTTGAATAACCTCTCTTTGCGTGTGTGCTTCAGAACTTCGAGGAGGAGATGGCTGTGCAGCCCGACGGAGCCCAGTGGCTCTCCTGGAGCCTGGAGCGGGTCGCCCTCTCCCTCGGCCGGCGTTTCCCGGACCGCCACGTTTGGGTGGTCCGAGCCTCCCGCATGTATCTCCACAAGTTCAGCAGCTACCACAACTTTGTGGAGAGCAACATGTTCGGGGCCCCGGAGCACTCGCCGTACTGCGCCGACTCCGGAGCGTTTCTCCACCTCAGGTCTGCATCTCCACCGCTCACAGGTTACACGTGCAACATCTGCCTTGATATTTGCTGGTGGTCCGATTGGTCGGCGCTGTTAAGCACTTGTTTAGCCACTTGGGGGCAGCAAACAGGCTTTGGACACACACATTTGAACATGTCTATTTACACACCAGTAGACACAATGAAACATTTTCCATTATAGAGGCGTGTTTGTCCCCTGATCTCTTCTATTTCTAATATTCCCTCTTTTTAGCTCTGTTCTGGTCTTCACCATCTCCTGGGGGAGATCTCTGGATATTTAGCTGATAAATTCAGATTACATTTTCCAGTCCTTTATTCGCAATACAACAATTTGAACACCCAGTTATCAAGGTGGATTCTCATTACATCAAAATTAGAGTAAAATCAAACAATATTCAGACCGAAAAAAGCTGCTCCCCATATGTTATGTGATGGATGGAACTAGTGAGAGGAGTTTTCATTCATGATTCAGTTTTATGCAGTATTGTAAAGTATGTAAAAAGTTTAGATTTGATATGATAATATGAAGTTTCCGACAGAGGTTATGATCTACTATCCCACCAAACAATGTTTTCATACACATTTTCAGTTAATAATCATACGGCAGTTATACATAATGTTTTTTATGAAGCTCAGCTAAATCTGCCCTTGCATCCTACTGTTGCCTCTGGTGTTCTACAGTAGCGGCTACTTGAATCATAAGACTAGACGGTTTCTTCTCTTCTAAAAGGACCAGAGTAGAATCTCCACCTCTGCTATTGGCCGCGTGCTGACTGTGTTTTGAGTGGACGCGTTTGTGATGGCAGGGCCCTGCTGAGCCACGGCATGGAGCGGGCCAACCTACCCAACCCCCTCCGGCCACAGGGAGGCGCCCACGACCTCCCCCCGGGGTTCTCCTTGACGCTGGTGGGCTTCAGCAAAGGCTGCGTGGTGCTGAACCAGATGGTGCACGAGCTGGCCGGGGCCCGAGCGGACCTGCAGCTGTCCCGCTTGGTGGGGGCCGTGTCGGACATGTACTGGCTGGACGGCGGGCACCCGGGAGGCAGCGAGACCTGGGTGACGGACAAGCAGCTGCTGAAGGAACTGGCCTCCAGCGGGGTGTCGGTCCACGCCCACGTGACCCCTTACGAGGTGAGCGACCCCATGCGGGCCTGGGTGGGCCGCGAGCACGGACACTTTATTAAGTGCCTGGAGGAGTTCGGGGCCAGGCTGAATAAGAATCTGCACTTTGAGGATGAGCCCGCCTCCATCGAGAACCACTTCAGGATCATCCAGGAGTTCTGAGCTCGCCCGGTAGCACTGACAGGCAGTCTGCGTGTCCTTTCTGCTGCGCTCAACTCGTTTAGCTTGGTAGCATGTGGCCGATGGCCGTGTGTCCACCTTTCACCGCGGGATGATTCTGTAAAGCAAACCACTGACTGAAGGACTGCCTAGAAACTATAAAACTATAACACTGTCCGATTGAATGCAGAGATTCACATATTCTTCAATAATCTTTGATGTGCACTTTGGGAGGGGAGGAAGTTGATCTGCCTTCTGCTGTGCTGGAGGGACAAATAACATGTTTCTTCATAGTAATCAAACTATCGGAGCCCACATACAGACGAGTTAAGGTATTTAGACTTAAAGATCAGCAGTTTAAGTTTCCTTATCGCTTCCCTGCTGTTAGATTACGTTGTGTTGATACCTGCACTTCTTCCTGATATCAGCTGGTCGTTCAGTATTCCTACTTGATTTTATTCAACGGTTTAATGGTCTTCAAGAGAAAAAAACATTCCATTGTTATTTCGTTGAGTTTGAGCCCAATACTGAATTCCAGTCATCTTTAAGACCTTTTTGTTCAAAATGTCATTCAGCTGCACTCTTTGGGGTAAAAACAGTCAATAGAATCTAACCTCAAGGTCCGTTTAGTGGAGCCTTCAGTTGGTTTACGTTTTGTTTCACCTTTATGAATAAAGATTGATGAGTTGGGAAGATGTATAAACTAGAATGTATCTATAATGTGCTTTGCAGTTTTTTCTTGTGGCAGCAGAAATGTAACACACACATAAACAAGGTGTGTGTGTGTGTGTGTGTGTGTGTGTGTATCAGTCTGTGCCTCACGCAGCCTCTGCACCACGCTGAATGTAACTTCAAATCATTCCATAATGGTTCAATCTGGCACAAGGACTGTAAGTAGACCCTGGTAAGGCTGTGACGCTTTCTCCACATATATTGGTTCAGCTTGAAGGCAACAGCATAAAAAACACATGAAATAGTCCAGATATTTTCTACAACCTTTAATGAGCGTTTTCCGTCTGCTGATGTCTACATATTAGCCTGCAATTGATCAGAATACAATTAGGATTATGTCTTTGTTTTAGTCATTTCAAATGCAATCAGAATGCTGACAAATAAAATAAAGGAAATAATATAAAACACAAAATAAACATACATCTGAAACTTCTGCTCCTTTCCTTTGTCTCTGCACCGCTCCGCGTCGAGCAGAAAGGCCCGACTGCAGCGCCTGCCCCAGCCAATGAGCAATGCACACACACACACCGCTGGAACGGACATGGTACAACTACAACACCACAGCATATAGGTCATGTTCAAGTCGAGACGGGGGGGGCAAACACGAGGCGCTTTGTGCCTGCAGAGAGATCCCTGACATCACCGCACGGAAAAACCCGTCCGTGTTCTCACTCAAATGTCTCAACTGGTTTAGACACACGACAGGAAAGAGGAACCAACACTTGTTTCTGTACAACTGAGCTGGAGAGAAACCAGAAACAACTTCCTGTATGAAGAGATTATACCCGTTCGATGTTTCAGAAAGAGTAGTTGTGAAAATCCTTATTTCCTTTTAGAGAAGCGAGATCACAATCCCCCCGACTCGCACACAGATGTTCTTTCCAGCTGCTTGGACTAACCGAGTCCCATAATCTCCAGTGGCTTCTAATAGAACTCTGATAATAAATGACCTGTTGAGATGAATACATCTTTTTACAGTGTGTTGTTCCAGTTTGAGGCTGACAGCATAGAGATGAGAGCATGGCCGTGGCTGGAGGCGCCCTGCTGCCACACAGACGCCATTGTACAACAACAAGGACACAAAAACACAAAGTGGTGGGACGATGCGCGACACCTCGGAACAAACAGGAACGTTTCACTGGAAGTTAAGAGCAATCCCTTTTTTTTCCATCATTCAAGTGAACAAAGGTTGGTAGATCCTGTCAATCGATAGCACCTTGTATTTTCACATTATGCAGTTATTCCATCACATCCGACTCTAAAACAACGCTGAAACCACCGTTCCCACTTCCTGGTCCCTCGGACCGCTTCCCATGCACACACATATCAACACTTCCTCCAGGACAAATCCCCTGTATTTAATCCTCCTCTTCCACCGGACTTTACTTCCCAGTACCACGACGATCTCATCCTTCTTCCCTCTTCTCAATCCACTGCAGTCCGACGTTTCGACTTATTATTCATCACACTGTGACCAAAACAGCTGGTTTTAAATAACACCGTAATCACCGTCTCCCACCACAATCAGCACTTCCTCATAAGACATATTATTTACACACACACACAAGGTCCAGCACATAAATAATAATAACAAAAAGCCTGTAAGAATAACGTTAAGAATGGAACACAAAGTGAGCAGAGAGCGAGCAGCATGCCCTGAGATGTGACTGAAAGGACACCGAATGGCTTTAGGGCGCAGAACCTCTGAAAGACACGCAAACATACACAACTTCAACGTATGGAGTAAGTGCTGGAGCGGAGCTTCTCTTCTTCCAGCGGACAAAGAGGAAGCTGCAGCTCACTGAGGAAATCATGGGGTAAGTGCGTGCGTGGTTTATTTTTCTCGCTATAGAAAGATGCGGCAATGATTTGTTGCTGGTGTTAAAGTGGAAGGTTCTCGACGCTAACGAGTCGGATCCTTTACGGGTAAGAAGTTGTGTGCTGCTTGGATGTGAACTACGACACGACGTGTTTTTATGAACCGTCACCCGAATAGTGAGAGCCCAGAGTTGTCTTCAACACGTCGCACACACACATCGAACACTTCACTTCCGGCCTGAAGGCAGAGCGCTTTCAACGTGAAGAGGAGCGATTTCAAAATGCACAAGAAAGGGATTGCATAGATTCCCCCAGTTATACTCCACCGTAGTTCATTAATTAACGGAGATAAAGTACCAGGGACTTCCACGATGAGAGGAATGAAATACTTCAGGTTAAACACACAGCATTCCTTGAGACGTGCTGCAGTCTTTGAGATGGCGATAACTCAAAAAATGTAGCTGGTTATCTTTGGTCTGATCTTGGAACTTAGTAAATTAGTAAAATATTACAGATTTTGAGTGGTGCAGGCTGGTTTTCTGGAGGTGTTTAAAAAAATAAGTTAAAAGCTCACGGGGGAGAAGCGCCCCCCCGACCTCACACTTCCCTCCCAGTGTTCCTTTTGCCTTTTCCCTTCTTCAAAAGTCGCCGTCTCCAGCGGCGGGCCTTTCCTCGTCGAAGCGGGACTTTTTGGCGTGCGAGTGGGGCGACTCCAGGAAGTTCTCCTTGTCTTCGGGGTCCTCGGGTGGGGCAGCCCACTTTGTGCCGGAGCTCCTCTCGCGGGGGGTGCGGGTGGCGGGGGGCGGCTCGGGGCTCAGACAGAGCTGCCACAGCCAGGGGTGACTCATGCACTCAGCAGCGCTGGGCCGGTCCCTGGGGGGGGGGGGGGGGGGGGGGTGAACAATTGTTATTGTCAAACATCGCCATTATTTAACCTGGTACATATTGTCCCATGCTTTTGTATCTTGAACAACCAATTTCAGAACTGTGGTGTCACGTATGAACAAACAGGCGTCTTCTTTCCACAGACGGGCTCTGATTGTTATTGCAGAACATTATGCAAAGAAGCCTACAAATAAAGGAAAACACTTCGGTCAATCTATTTCTACTCTTTAATATTTTACGTCACCCGTAACACATTTCTTTAGCTAATGCTACGCTATGCTGTCTGCCCTCTTTCCAACCCAAACCGTTGTCTTCTGGCAGCCAGTCACATGACAATAACAAGCAGAGCGGGGCCAGCCAAAGGTAAAGAGAATGGATCAGGGTCTCTGCAGGGTCATTATGTCGTAATCTAATAACAGTCTGAGCCTGTTAGAGGAGAAACATCTGCGTGTCTATTCTTGGGGAGATTGAAGTGAGTTCACACACACACTTACTCTGGCGTTTTGACCAGCAGCTTGCGGACAAAGTCCACGGCCAGCTCAGACACCCTGGAGAAGGCCTCCCTGCTGTAGTCCACGTTGACCTGGGACACGTTCAGGTACGTCTCCTGCTTGTCGTCTCCAGCAAACGGAGACTCGCCCGTCACCAGCATGTAGGCGATGACACCCACACTCCTGAGGAACACACACACACACGGGGAAAACAGTCATAACCCAGGGGCTTCTGAGGGCACACGGGGACTGATAAAAACATTAGAATACATAAACTGTAACAGCAGTTAGCATTTGCAGAGCTGCTCTGCGGTTCATGGCTCTCCACTGCAATGAGTCAGCTCCCTTTCATTTAATAACCGCTCGGGTTTAGAGTGAAAACATCAAATGGCACGAGACTCACCACAGGTCGGTGGCTGTCGTGATTGGCTCATAATTCAGGATCTCAGGAGCTGATGTGAGGAAATGAAAAACACTGTTCAAGAATGTTGTAATATCCCACATCATTTCACCTCTACTGACGCGTCGGTTGTGTCTCTGTTTACTTTAAACTACCTTTTGAAGAGTAAAATGTAAAGTTGTACTCTAAAGAACTCCAACCACCAGTGAGACGCACCAAAGCGTTTTCCTATCTCGCTCTAGAGACCTTTGTTGCGTAACAACAACGTGGCCACGATGACTCAAGGCATCGGGCAGGACCTCCCCGATGCCTTGAGTCATCAAAGCGTGTCTTATGAACATCACCGTACCCACATACTCCGGAGTGCCAAGTATCTCTCTGAGCTCTCCAGCCGCACCCAGTCGGCGAGCCAAGCCGAAGTCCACGATCTTGATGTCTCCCGGAGGAGACAGGCTGGTCAGGAGGATGTTCTGGGGCTGAGGGGGAAACGTGGGGTGAACATTGGGCAGAAAGTACTGGAGAGATAAGACTCACTGGCCTTTAAGCTTAAACGCTGTTACGTAACTGAAGTCTTTTGAACACTTATTCAATAATGAGGTGTTTACCTTTCTGCAGCATGATTATTGGTTTAAGCGCTGGAAGATTACTGGCCATATGACACCATGTAAACACTTATGTTATTTCATTATTGCTTCATTCTGGAGAGAAAAGGGAAGTGCTTGTTCTCTTTACACCAAACGCACACCATTCAGCATCAGCTGCGCGTTACAATGACTGGTCAGTTCTCAGTTCTCAAACACTGGTTTCCTTACAGCGCTTTCTCACGCTGCTTTAACCCTCAGGTTAAGGTCAGGAAAATAGGAAATTGGAGTTTTCAATGCACAACTTCTCTAAAAAGGGAACATGCCGTCTAGTTTGTGGCAAAGTTAGTGTCCACAAAAAAACAAGCTTCCTTCAACTGCAGCTACGCTCATGCGTGTAATTTGCTGTGTGTGTGTGTGTGTGTGTAGACCTTCAGGTCCAGGTGCACCAGGTTGCTCTGGTGCAGATGGTGGACTCCCTCCAGCGTCTGCCTGATCAGACGGGTGATCTGGGCCTCCGGCAGCAGCTCATCAGACACGCAGTGGTCAAATATCTCTCCCCCAGCAGCACTGTACATAAAGAAAAGCACACAGGGAATGACGCAGTGTCTTTGTGCTTGGCAGGGTGGCCTGGTGGTGGTAGTGGCCAAGCCTCAGCCAGAGGGCCTCTGGTTTGATCCCTCATGTAACAGCAAAGTGCTGTTGAGCAAGAAAGCAGCCTTTCCTTCTTCATCCTAAGAACATGTCCATGTCAGCTCAGCCCATACAGTCATCTGGCCTAAAGGCCTGATAAACCTGTTAAACCTGATAAACAATGAGCATTACACAAAAATAAAAAAGTCAGCCTATCTCAGCTCCTTAACATTGGACAAACAGGACTTTGCCCCGACAGGATCGCTCTGCTCTTTGAGCTACAAACATTCAGTCTCAACATATGCCGCTGGCTGTGTTGTGAACTCACTACTCCAGCAGTAAGACGATGTCGTGATCCGTCTCGTACGCCGAGTGCAGGTTGACCACGCGGGCGTTGTTGCGGGCCGTCTCCAGCACGGCCATCTCGTGAATGACCTCTGCCCGGCAGTCGCGGCCTCGCCTCCGCTTCCGTAGGAACTTGGCGGCGAACACCTTCCCCGTGGCCTTCTCCACGCAGCGCCTTACCACAGCGAACTTCCCCCTAGGAGGCAGAGAGGCCGTGTGGGTGAGGAGGCAGATCCACATCTATCAAACGTTTGGCCCTTAAAAACCTCACATCACAGTGTTTGGTAATGAGGAGAGCTAAAAGCAGCCGGGGGACATTTTCTTTAACATTTACTACATTTAGCAATACCTTAAAAAACACACACACTACATTCCATGAATTCTTTTACATCTGGCTTTTTGTAAATTATAGCAGCATTAGATTACATCTGTGTTTGAAGTGGCACAGTGTTTTGGGTGCTGGATCATTGGGGTAATCGTTCATGTTCCTCCAGTGGCTATCTGCTGCTCATCAGCGCCTCAATCTAAAAGGGGACATATGGGGAAATATTCACTTATGAGGCCGTGTGGATCTGGCTATAAGACCCCGTCCACTGCTTAGGAACGTCCTGCACAAAGGTGCACCACCCTTTTCTGACCAATCAGAGCAGACCGACCCGTAAAGATACAAGTACTGAAACAGAGCGCTTCGGATCGGTCCGTCGGTGGAAGGACTTTCCATTACCGCAACAAAATAACTGCTGTGCGGCATATATTTTTATGGCGTTTTAGCGTTTGATACACATCACCTTCATAGCGGATTGAACCACACAGCACTTCTAACTAAAGATATTAAAGGAGAATGACATTTTCAGCAAAAATTGTGGAAGCTGAAAAAGATATATAACGTATGTGTCTACGTATATATATATATATATATATATATATATATATATATATATATATATATATATTCTAAGCAGCATATTTATATATATATATTTTTGAGTCAAGCAAAAAACGCCATTGTATAATTCCTATGATGCAACTCAGTGGTTGTTGATTAGATCATCCGTATCCTGTAAACGGCCACACCTTTCCATTGCTCCAGTTAACCCCTTTTAATGATGTAATTTCATTTTGTCAAATGCAATGACATGCAGATGACATTAATAGAATTTTTTGAAATTTTTTGTCTGATAAAATAATGAAGAACCACTGAGAGACAACAGTCGTCCACTGTAAAAAGTCACGGTTTAATATAACAGTAAAGAAAAGATATTGAGCCTTAAAGTGGTCAAAACTAAAAGCAGAAACTGCTCATCGTGTTCTTACACCTCCGAACTTCCTGTTCCTGCTAATCACACCCAACATGTGTGAACAGAAGCAGCCCAAAGCATTTCTTCTTTCTAAAAGCCCGGTTTGCACATGTCCCTGTTTCCTTCCTCCTATTTTGAAATCAGAATGATGATGATGATGATACATACGTGCTGCGTGACGCATTGCTTCAAACACACCTCATCATCCTAGACTGTTGCCATGGTGCGTACACACACACACACACACACACAAACACACACACGGTGGTGATGGCTCACAGTACAGAGTCCAAGTGCCCTAAACCACATGTGCTATTCAAACAGAAATACAGACATGCAACTATACTGGTTAGATACAGGTTAGTGTTTTCCCCAAGAAGAAGATCTGTTATCCAGAGGTGACGTGTGGCAGTTATGTCTATTTCAGTATCATGTGTTGCCTTTGTCTAAATCTGTGGTGACAATGTAACAACAGCTGACCGACCAAGTTTGGTGTCAACACTCGGACATGGAACGATGCAATGATACAGGATTAGACATATTCACAGGTATTGATGAAGGTGACCTCGCCGTTGAATATGATGTAAATCTACATGTGTGACCCAGTCTGTTGCTCTGCTTCAGCTTCCTTTATCACTCAGTCAATACTTGCTTAACTTTAACGTGTTGTACATTTGTACCTGGTGCTCCTAGTATGGTCATGAACCACCATAACTGCCCATCTTGTACAATGGCTGCATCCCACGTCTGTGGAACTTTAATGCCCCCCCCCCCGCCCCCCACTCGGCTCCCTGCTGTCCCGGGACATCAGCCGTATCAGCGGAACTCACCTCCCGAGCTCTCCGACGATGTCGTACACACTCTCCATCGGCTCCGTGCTGATCGGGGTGTGTATTTCCCCGAGCAGCCCCGCGGCGAGCCCGCTGCGACTGTCCAGCCGCCTCCGAGACATGTCCCCTGCGCCCTGGGGTGACTTTCTGCCAGCTACCCGGCTGGAAACGACTGCGCTTGAGCGCCGAGGAAAAGAGAGACGAACGAGGAGACGAGCCCGAGTGTGTGTCCGACGTGTCCGCTGCAGCCCCCCGCCGGCCAGCCTACATGTTAGCGCTAGCTAAGCCGGTCGCCATGCTACGCTCAGCCTGCACTGCGTTGACGTTACCGACTGCGGTTAGCTTAACGGTCGCTAACTAAGTTAGCTCGACGGTCAATGTCGCCCGTTCGGAAGTGTGTTGAACCGATTTCCAAAATTCCAACCGAAGAGGAGCGTTTACTGGTAAAAGTCCCTTTCTACAGCGGCTTCCAGGGGCACCGGCTATCCGAACCACCGCAGCGGACCGCTATTCAACAGCTTGCGAAGTTTATCTGGAGAGTTTCTCTCTTTTTCTTTTTTGCATCCTTCTGTTTGACACTTTGTCGACGCGTCACGGCTCTGCGCATGCGCAGTGCGGCTGTGTTTGAAAAAAAGGGGGGCGAGGTTATTTGAAAGGAGAGAACGGCCGCTGTGTTTAAACCGGAGAATGAATGTTATATACTATAACTGCATCAAACGGGCAAATCTAAATAAATAACATGTAAATGGGACAAAGTACATCTAAATGTAGAATTTGGGACTTTTTAAAATCTCCAAATAATGAGTTAGTGTCTTACTTTTTAAAATAGCAAATCCAAATAAATTCAAAAGTAAAAATGAAGAGATCAGCCTTGGGTCTTGGGGTCTTGTAATTGTTTAACGTGTTGTTCATATTGTTATTTATTCAAACTTACTTACGCATTTAATAAATGAGTTTCCACATCGATGGCATTATGTTATTACTTCTGACAAAACATCTGCAGGGCACTGGAAGCCTCATATCTGACCCACAACACAACACTTTAAATGTTTATATTTAGGTCAACTAAGTGTAGTTTACAGATAATATATAGTCGTTTTAGTCATTACAAAACCGTTGTATAAGATAAATGACAGTCATGTATCCTTATTAAAATTTGCCATTTGTTCTCTTTTATTACAATCATCGGGGTGAAATGGAGACACACACACACACACACACACACACACACAGGAGGTTTGCATAGAGTGGAATTCTGAAAACCGGAGCCGTGTCCTGTCAGAAATGTACTGGGAGAAATGAAGGTGCATCCGCCTCCATTTGCATGTGAAGCAAGTGATCAGTCTTACCAGGCTCCCGCAGCAGAAAAGCCTCAACATGGAAAATGTCAAACGGACCGCGTGTGAATGTGCATCCTAACGCGTGAAGCGTGGTCGCCCATGCCACACATTGGATGAGCTGATGGTCTGAAAGGATTTGGCAGGAGCCAGAAGTGGGATGTGTTTTGTTAGACAGAGATAGAGAGCAGGCCTAATGGTTGCAAGCCCCAAACCTTTGGTACATTCGGTGCAAAATATATATTTATACACACACAACGGGACGAACATACATATACATTTATATACAAAGAGACTACACACATGGTACACGAACATGTCCTCTCACGTTCCGCAAAATCAAAACAGCCCTATTGATCCACCGCCGATTCACAAGCGATGAACCATGACCACCCACCTGTTACTAAGATAGGCAGACACGCACATGTGAAAGTAACAACACTTCCTTTGAGACATGCTGCCGAGACACTCGCCCTTCCACCGTCACAGAGTAAAAACAAACTATTGCATTCGCGCGTCATTCCGGGAGCTAAAACTAAGTGACTAGAGCACCTACGTTTCCTTCGCCTTGTTCCCACGTGCATGACGCTCAAGGTGTGACGGTGCCAGGTTAGGCGTAAGTCTGCATGCCTCGAGACAGACGCAACATAACCAGCTCCCTCTCCGCCCCCCTTTTCTGAATGGATAGCAATATCCTCATGCAAAAAAAGCTAGTAAGGACGGTGTGTTGCACTATTTCAGCATGCAATATCGAGCTGAAACACAACGCCATCTAGGGGCCTCCGCCTCGCCACGGCTCACAGAGCTGACCGGGAAGATCCTGCATGCAGTATTGGACTGGGTACGAGGGGTTGGGGGACGTGGGGGGGGGGGGCTGGGGTATAACTGTCTGCCCTCTGGCTCTATTACAGACCCCCATCCTCCCTGTAGTTTGGCTCCAACGGGACTCTGTACAGTATGTGTAATCTTGCATGCACCCCATAGAAAACGAGTATTTGTGTGTATGTAAGAAAGTGTGTGTGAGACTGAGTGAAATGGGTCCTCGTGTGGGGGATTTGGGTCGTGCACTTGAGGGTTAGAGACGTTTAATCACATGCTTATAGGACAAAACTATTGCCTGGCATGGACTTAAATGCCAAAAGTCTAAGATACTCAGACAGCCCCAATGGCCGTTGGTTGTTCCCCATCAACATCGTCGCCACACGTGGACCGGTCACTCAGAGAGGAGGGAGCCTCCGGGCTCCTGTGAGGGGAAATAGTCAAACCACAACCCCTCAACTATCTTTGATTTGTGAAACACATGGATCTGGTCGTCGTCTTCTTTTTTTCTTTACAAGGACATAACATTGCTTTCCTTATGAAATTTCACTTTATGGTCAGGAGAATCCAGTAGGCACTAAAAAGGTCCCGCCACTGCACCCTGACCAGTTTCCTGGGGGGACACCAAGCTGATGTCTTTCAGCTTAGAAGGCCTAATCCGCTGCCAACATCAGAGAGTTGTGTCCTCCTTCCTCGAGCTACCGCGTCTCCTTTCTCCCTGCTTAATGTTTCGTGAAATCCTCCTCAGGGGCCGACGGACTTGCTCGAGATTCATAGATTTGGTCTCTTATTTGGTACATTCATCCCTTTCATAGGTTGGTGGGTCGGGGGAGAGGGGAGGGGGGTCACATCAGTGAGAAGGATCGTGTCACACTTACGAGCGTCCGTCGTCCGTCCGTGAGAGAAAGTGCATCTGTTGCCCATGGCGACCGTGTGGACCAGTTTTGGTCTGACTCAAGTGGGTCAGCAAACGTGGAGCCCTGTCCCACTGTAAGTGCACCCGCAGCGTCACTGTACGCACTTATTCACGTGTGTGTGTGTGTGCTACTGGATACCTTGGTGAGTACATGCAGACACCCGTCCCAGGTGAGTCTTTACCTTCCGTGGCCGTGCCATAGCTCCGACGGTAACGCGTCACTAATGATTCGTGACACATTATCCAGTTTATTCAGCGACCAAAACGAGGAAAACAAGCGAGGGCGTTCAGTCCGTCTACATACAGTTTTTGCATGTTTATCTGCGTGTGTGCGTCTTTGTGCGCTCCAGTGTATCCCCAGCTCTCAGGCAGGCGAGGAGGACCAGCCAACATCCAGTGCTAAAATGTCACATCTTTCTCTACTGATAAAAAAGATCTTGGGGGGGAAACACTGGTTCGCAACATTCATTAAAACAAAAGGTCTTATGCTGTGTATGTTTTGTGCAAAGGTGATTAGTGTGTCCGTGTGTGTTGAAGTTGCAGCGTTGGTGAGGAAAGGACACAGTTTTGAGGTCCGGAGAGGGAGAGGGGAGCTTAGTGTCTGTCTTTGAGTGGAGGGGGAGGTTGGAGGAGGAGCAGGAGGGAGAGGAGGTGCTAGAAATCCAGTCGACAAGGCCATTAAATGAAGAGATAAAGCACACGTGTGGCTCAATGAACAAAGGTTTCCATACGAAGAAGAAATGGTAACGTACAGCTTTTCAAACCATCTCCGTCCAACTGACTCTCCTCCAGAAGCAGTTCCTGTGAGACACGTGAGAGAGGCGGAGGGTGAGAACGGAGCCAGAGAGCTGCTGAGTGACCAAAAGCCAGCGTGGACGAGGGGGGGGTTAGTTGCCATCTGAGGATATTAGTTCTCTTCTCAGTGAGGATGAAGGATTTCCAGATGGTTCTCTCTCTCCCGAGCTGAACCTGCGTGGGAGCCGATTGGAGGTCACTCCAGACCGAAGGTGCTGGTCTCCTCCACAGCAGTGACCAGCTTCTCATAGAGCATGGAGAAGGAGGGATACGGTGGGAGGTCCAGACGATTGAAGCAGGTGTGAGCCCTGTGGAGACGGATGTATAATACATTACTAACCCTATAATAACTCCAGAAATAGTATTTTGTTTAAGTAGTGGGTAACTGAACAACTTTAAACCTTGGTAATTGTGCAGATAGGAACCTGAATGTAGAAGTGGTGTATGTGGATATGGACCTGTACCTTCAGGCTAGCAGGGCCGGGTTTAGTGAGGGCAATACACCAAATAATGCAGCGAGGAGGGGGCTGAATCTGTGCTACGTTCACTTTATCTATTTTTGCTGAAGCAGGGTTGGGCGTTTCATCTTTTCTCCTCACCCCATATCTATATAGTTGGATGTGCCAAGAAAATCTCTAAAGGAAGACATCCTGCCAGATGCACGAACATCTGAGCCCGTTTGTAGCGTAGCAGCTGCAGCTCTTCCGGTCTGAGCTCCTCACCCTGTCTCTAAGGCTGCCACCCTACACCAGGAGTTAGTTTATTCACTGGGAAGAAAGAAAGAATTGTTCTGCACAACTTCACATCCTATTTGGCCACTGAGGCCGACCGTCGTAGCTGTTTAATCTTGTTTAATAATCAATATTTCATTTAGGAAGGGAAGGCTGATGTAAAATACAAATGTTGTGTGAGGAAAATCGAAAAAAGCCCCAAAAGAAAGAATTTCAGCATCCTGCACCTTTTGCAAAGTGAAAGGCTACACAGTAAAAACATCCCACCTGGGTAAGGAGGTGATTTTCCCCCACTTCTCCACACAGAATCTGCGGGGTCCATTACTGCCCCGGAGGGAGGCGAATCCCTCGTAGGGAATGCTGGAGGTGCCTGTCACAAACTGGGGAAGAAGAGGACAGCACTGGTCACACAAAGTATACATTATTATTTACAGTATGACGGACTCTACCGATCGCTGCGTGACTCAAAAGGCGGGTAATTGGTCTTTTTAGCTCCACACATTTCTCTGAGATTTAAACTGAGGCTTCAACAAAAACAGAAAACTGCACGTTGTATAATCCAGCTTCGTCCGAACTAGATACAGAATTAAGTACATTATCCAGCTCAAAGCTAAACCCCCATCATGCACTGGTACATCTGTTGTGTGGTCCCCGGGGCTCTGCGGCGCCTGCAGGGCCCCCGGCCTCCACACGAGGGCAGTCCGGGTGCATGCGGTCACCCGCGTGCGGTACCTGCAGCAGTCTCAGCCTCTGCTCATTGTTGAACCTCTCCACAGCTGCCCAGAACCAGCGAATCACGATGTGGTTGTCGTGGTAACCTGGGTAGACAATGAAAGTGCACGTGTCAGATGAATAGCAAATAAGTCTTTTAAGGGTTAATGCCGGAGGGCTTTGGTCCGCCTCAGTCGATTCCCCCTATTAAAGGAGCATCACACTGAGTCGCTCTGGTCTCTCGGCTGCTGGCGGCTTCTCAACTGCTTTGGCCAGATCCTTAAAAAGCCTTTTAATGTGATCTCCTGCCAGTGGTTTGGACACCGGCGCTCGCGTGCTTGTTCTGTGCACGATGAGAACGACCATAATGAAATAGCAGTAACTCTACGCTGATTATACAGTACATTACAGTTAATATCAACTTGTTGAATAGCTAATGGAAATATTTCTCAAACTCAAAACCCCTTATTGATTGTAAAGTGAGTGGTTAACATTAAAGCAACAACAATTTATACAATATCTGAGACAAACGGAAAAAAGATTTTTGGAACCCTTTGTCAAATGAAAGTAGAAATCACAGGAAGCACAGCCACCGAGGTCAGGAGGGGGACATTAGATGTTGGTTGTGGACGACTATTGGCTCGTTCCTCATGATGTTCCCAACCGTACCCCCCCACCCACCTCCTCTGTACTCGGTGTTGTTCCTCCAGTCCGCCAGGTCGATCTCCGCCGTGCCTGCGATCACCAGCTCCAGCTCCCTGGCGTCAAACACGGACACCAGTCGCACATCCACCACCTAGCACACGCACACGCACACACACGCACACACACACACACACAGATGAACACATGAGACAACGTACCGGTGCTGCCTCTGATGTATCTGTCTTCCTACGTATCGCCACGGCACATGGCGGTGGATCCTTAGGGTGCAGAGATCCACGCAGGACGAACGTTGTGAGAAAAGTTTCCATCCGCTTTGTTTACGCTAGACGTTGGAATTGATTTGTTGATCAAACCGAGGCTTGTGAACTCACACGCCTCCCCACAAGCCCCCCCGGTAATCCGCCGTCCTGCCTAGCAACGGACTTAAGCAGGGGACGTGTGTGTAGCAGTTATGAAAACACACAAGAAGCAGAATGTCGGCGGCCGTCCAGGACTGTGAGCTGTCACGTGTCACCATCCATCTTATACAGTAATACGGTCTTTCTACTGTGCACACGCGCGGCTGTTCGGTGGTCTGAGCAGACCACTGCAGGCGCGCTGTGCAGGAACGTCCAAGCTGAGCAGTGCACACAAACCTCGACGGCTGTAGCTGACAGATAAGGCTTTCAGTGCGGGTGCAGGGATGCCGATGCTTCCCGAGTCGGTTCTGGACACAAATGGCAGCTAATGGCGCCACCACACTGTGTCATTGGTGTTGATCAGTCCTGTTGCTGTTAAACCGGCCGACATAATTGTGATTCACAATATGGATCTGACAATACTCCATCAGACTTCAGATCTCTCAAAAAACCCTTTTCCTTACAATTAGCTGAAGAACAAATTGTCAGAGACAGACATTTAAATAAGGTGAGCATAAATCAAAAGTTACAGCTTCATAAATAAATGATGCATTTAAACAAATGTGTGACTCGTAAATGATATACTTCCTGTATTTTAATACCATCGTCAGTTTTTTACTTCTCTCTCATGACTGCCAGCTAAAACGGGGAATCACGTCGATGAACAATCCTACACCGCCCCGACCTACAGGCCGTATTATATGCATCATGTGCCTTTTGACACTCACAGCCTCATAAACGAAGCGCCGTACCTCATAGAAGCCTCGGACCAGGCTCTCCGTCTGCTGGGCCACTCCTCGCTCTATGCGCCACTTGACCATGCGCTCGATGTACTCCTTCTTGTTCTTCTCGGACACGGGGATGCCGGCCCCGCCCGGCTTCAGCTCTCTCTCTGTGATCTGCACCATCACAGGCGTTGTGGTCACACATTGTGTGAAGAGACAACTCTTCCTGTTCAACCACACACACACACACACACACACACACACACACACACACACACACACACACACCTGTCCGAAGACCTCCTCGTTCACGGTGAAGGTGAGGTCCAGCATGTCTTCGATGTCGTTGTCCTTCATCCACTGCAGACTCTGGTGGAACTCCTCGTCCAGGAACTCCAGGTCACTCAGGTCACACGGGCTGCATGAGCACACGCAGAGGGGACACGGAGCTTCGAGAGGTCAACAAAAGCACCGATGGTGTCGCCCAACTTACGAACCACGGCTGGATGTAAGCAGGCAGGTTGAAAGGTTAATTATCCGGAGCCAAAAAAGAGGAGTTGAAACATCTTATGTAGGAGGAATGTGAGATGCTTCCCAGGGACACAAATAATAAACAAACAGTATGCGATACAAACAGAACATTTAGTGTACTGCATTCCTTCAAACATAAAGTGAAAATTTGATTATTTTGTATAGCCTCATTGCAGGAAAGACTTTCTGCACATCCTCATCTAATGCAGCGCGATGTAGTTATAAATAACCATCACAAACTACCGCACGTGACTTGTATTAGAATATAAAATGCATTTCTATTTGAATAAATGCTGGCCGGTATGGTAATGCAGAGCCAAAAAAGGATTCGTGTCAGTGGAGAGGTTAAGAACCCTTTTCATTACGTAAACATCTGTCCTCAGTGTAGACGTTTGGCAGGGTTTGAGGTTGTTTGGACAAAGCTATTAATAAGGACGCTGCTCCTCCTGCCAGCTGCTGGCAGAGAGGATGTGACTGAAACACTTAGATTCTCAGCACGCTCTCATGGCGTTAGCGAGGCGGATCTGCCGGGAAGCGCCGGTGCCCTGCAGGAAAGCGGGCTGAGGGACTTACATGCGAAGAAGCCCCTTGTAGAAGGGTCGGGTGAAGAAGGCGTCCAGCAGGTACTGATGGACCAGCGCCAGGCCCAGGATGCGCCCACTGAAGCGGAACCTACACGCCACACAAAGAATATTCAACAAAGTATTCTCCTTTACAGTTCCTGTTCAGTCCGGCCGGCTTCACTTGATCTGGTCTGTCTTGAGCCTTTAATGTCAGACACACTGTCTCTAGTAGAAGGATGACTCGACACTCTTCTATTTGATAAGTGCTCTTAGGTTTGTCCCGTGTGACAAACAAACCCCTGAAGACTTGGGTAAATGTAGCTTCCTTCCTCATCCAGCCTATATTATTATTATTTTCCTGTCTAGCTGTCCGCCCATCAGTCCGGTCATCCATCCATCCGTCCCTCCACATGTCCGTCCGTCCAGCCAATCACTGTCACCGAGGCAAAATTGTCTAGTGAGCCACAAATTGCTGATCCAAACTTCCACGCAGCAACCGGCAGGTGACTTCTATTTTGGGATCAGCGCGAGGCAGTCAGAGCAGGACGAGGCGGCCACTTTACGGTCGGCGCAGCGGCAGAGCGACACCAACAAACGCACATCACATCAACTGATACAACATACGGATAAACATATGGAGGACCTCACCATTCGTGGTGGTTGTCCACAAAGGCAGACATGGGGCTGATCTGGACAGTGTACGTGTCGTTGGCGGAGTATTCAAAGAGGCCGTAGTACGGGTTGAACAGTTCTCTGGACACCAGGAAGAAAAACTCTCTGGAGGGGCCGCTGTAGTCCAGCCTGCAGCCGTCACGCAATCAAATACACATGCATGTCAGTAGGAAAATCTGTGAAATATGGCAGCTTGATCAGACCAGAGACTGTATATAAAAAGTGGACGTCACTCGTTGGTTGCCTGTCAATCACAGAAAGCCCGTCATAAAGCATACGCTGCTTTAGGGCCTATTTGACTCTAAATAGATCAGAATTTACTAAATGAACATCACGCTGCACTAAACATGACTTAAAACTAGAGATTGAGATCATAAACGCATATATACAATGTCTACTGAGTCACTTTCTCTTTCCCTTCTACACATGTGACTTTTTGCTGTCAGTGGAGTCGCCCCCTGCTGGTCAGTAGAGACAATGCAGGTTTTGAACACCTCTGCATTGGCGTCACTCTTCAGAGTGATTCAGAGTTCAGAGAGTGTGTCGCTTGAATCAGACGTCTAAATATAACGCTTTCATACTTCAAGCCTCACGCGGCTGGCTGCTTCTGCTGGTAGTAACTAGGACGTGAACGAAGTCCACAATGACACCGGCTTGGGGTCAAATAAACAGTGTCCCTAGTTCAAGTATTCCATGTAGTACATTTCTAGCTGCCTGCTAGCGAGTAGACTGTGGATTTTATGTGTGTGTGTGTGGAAACCACAGAGGGAATGACATGCGTCTTCCTCACCCGTCCTCGCCCACAAAGCTGACGTAAAGTTTGCTCCGCTGCAGGTCTTTACGGGAGTAACACATAATTTGGTTGAAGGCGTCCTCCAGGAGGTGGTCCCTGCGTATGATGAGCCTGGGAGAACACACACACACACACACACACACACACACACACACACACACACACACACACACACACACACACCCGATGTGGACACGATGTGGACATAATAATAGTGACGATGCTCAATACTTTGGATATACACAATGATCATGATTAACTGAATAGACTATTATTCTGAACAATAAGGCAGATGAAATTTACCACGACATCGCCAAACCAAATAGCAAAATCAAAGTACATTTGGGGATTTCCACAGGAAGCAAAAGACCCTTTGCTATGTTCCGCCCATCGGACGCTGACCGGCTAATCGTAGCGTAGCATGAGCCAGCTCTGACCGGGGTTTGACAGCTGTCCAGGTCGCTACGTTAAACTGTGATTTGTGTGATCTGGCTTTGGTTCAATCTTTTTTTTTATAACCCCCTTTTTCACCGCTCAACCAGTTTGACATCCTAGATTTATCCTTCTAATGCACATTGTAGAGCCTTGCGTCTGCTGCTATCTTTTATTTATTTCCCCCAAAATGAGCTGGTATTCCTTTAGGAAGGGGTCAGTGACAGCGTGGGCTCCACGGTAACTTTGACAGCTTGACGGAGTAGCCGCGGGGGACGGGGATTAGCAAAGATTCAATCTAGATAAACCTAAAAGCAATTAGGAACGGCGGAAAAATGTTACCAGACTATAACGCCCAGAGAGGAGCTGTGGGAGAGCGTCAGTGTCACGGTAGACAATGTTTTTACTGGAGCCATATGAATCTGCAAACCTCAATCGCTTTTCAATGGTGAGGAATAAACCTACTTGACTTTTCCTGGCCCCTGTCCATAACCTTTGGTCTCCAGCTTTCGATAGAAGTTCCTCAGTTTAGCCTCAAAATCCCGCTTGTAGGGAGCGGGAGCGCGGGCGTTGGCTCGCTGGGTGCCTGAGATATAAATATGAGAGAAAGAGAGAGAGATTAAAACAGACAGATGGAGATACAAATTAAATTTGAATGAACCAAAGCAGAAATTGGCCTAAGCTGGAAAAATCTGAATCTGAGAATTGAAGTTTGTATGCAGGTTAATCCTGGATTATTATTTCATATGAGACTGTTGTCATTGATTGGCACACAGAGAAGTGCCACACTGACCCAGAGACGCTCACGGGGCTCAGCTCGCAGTGCCTACATGTACCAGGATGCATTGCTTCCGACTCTTGCTGATGAAGTCTCACTCGGCTTAATTTCTTAACCTGGATACTCTGACTGAAGGTAATATCAGAAATCCGCTATTTGATTTGCATTAGCGTGTCACAGTAATTCCTGTGGTCCAGGCAACGAGGCCATAACTGTCATTTATCACACCCACGCTCATTCTGCAGTTTCACAGCGGCTGCTGTGAAAAGGGCCCTCGCCTCAATCAAATATCCGCTGGGAATTTAGTACCTTTGAGGACTGGAGTGGAATAAAGGAAGAAAACTAAGCATGCTTGTGCATGTGTGTGGAAGTTAGGGGTCGCAAGGGAACGTGAGCAGGTCTTTTGTGTATTCCTGACATGAACCTGTGTTATATAGGAAGGAACTATGACATTGCTTCTTTTATTGTAAACCAAACCTCAAAGCAGAAGGAGGGACTTTTAATAACGAGACAGAGCTTAATAAAGACGGGTAAACAGTGGCTGCAGACACGGAGTGAGACAGACATTTACCAGGGGAGCTCTGAGGAGACGAGAGGCAGTAATTTGGGTGGAGCAATGGCGGCACATATGACATCACCTCCTCCTCAAATAAGCTGAAACACAGTCAGAGAGGATCATATATGTAGGAACCATACAACCTAGAACAGCATAGATCAAATTAGACCCATCAATCTGTCCGCCCCCCCCCCCCCCCCCCCCCGAGAAAACAAAAAAACATAAAACCCCTCCCCTTGGTCTCCTGTCAAGGGCACCATCCCTCAAAAAAGCAAACACGCCCCGTGACTTCTCTCGTGCGAATAAACTGCACCTTCTCCCTGAACACACACACACACACACACGTCAGCTGGTAAACGGACACAATCCATTAGGGGTAAAGGTTAACTGTGTGTTTAGCTTGACCGATGATGATGATGGAGGTGTCGGATGTGAGCAAGGCTCAAGAGCACCAGAGAGAGAGAGAGAGAGAGACATTGAAACCAAGACAGGGGCAGGAAAGTAAGAGGAAAACAGAGCGCGTGGGGGGACGTACTTGAGCGAGTGATTCCTGGCGAGCTCGGGTTGCCTTTCCTGCAGGATCTCGACTATGTTGGGTTGCCGTAGAAACGCCACTATCTTGTCATTGTAGGCTGGGAGGAAACGAGGAACGTGTATTTATATCTGCGTCTGCTGGTGTTCCGGTCAACACTTGCATCCACTGCATGTGCGCGTGTGATTGTGCCTGACCTACCCACAGGCACCACATCGTGGTACTGACTTCGACTGGAGCCGCTGAAGGTGCTGGACGGGCGCGGCATGACGGGCGGGTTGGCTTGGCGAGAGTCGTCCACCACCTGTGACAAAAGGAAGCACTACAGTTCAGGTCGCATCCCAGTTCTGAGGTCGATCCGCCCGACCCGTTTGAATGTTCTAGCTCTGATATTTCCAAATGGATTAGTGTTAGAATATACAAATTGACTTGCATAAAACAAGGTATGACAAAAGATAAATACCATTGTATTGATTTTTTCAATAGGTTATTTTCACTTATTTATTAGAAGTAATTTTCTCTCCAGCAATTAGTTGGAAAGTTGAAAAAAGAGGCAGAGTTTAAAGAACCTGAATAATCTTTGTACGGTCCAGAGAATGAACAACCTTCAATTCCTATGACAGAACTGATTCAAATATACATATTGAATATTAAACACCTCATACGCGTTCGTGATCATCCCCTTTGGCAGTACGACGGCGACGCGCGATGATCCTGTCAGAATTAACAAGACTCCTTGAGAGAGGATCAGTCTTTGAGGAACCGACATCAATCAGTGGGTTGGTTTGAGCTGGCTAACATTTGATCGTAGTGAACCACGTAGGAGGAGCGGGGCTCTGGTGATTGTTTATGTCAGGATCATTCTGAGGAGTTTTGTTGCCTCAGGAGGCTGAAGTGCATCACTGCTGCATTCTGAATGGGACCACATCTTTCCTTTGAGTGAGATTTTTTAAATGTACTATAAACACAAGGCACGTGTATTATGTTCTAGTTGAATGAATTAAAACTCAAAAATGAAGAAAACATGAGTACTTTCCACATGGAGTAGCAGTGCACGTCAGCCTGTTGTGGCCTAAATCAACACAACAACACTCGACCCTGATATTTTTTACACTTATCACTGGAGAAAGAACTATTTCAATCAAACTCAACCACAAGAATAGTTTTTTTTCCACACTTGCCTCCAAAGTGTTTCGGTCTCAAGCTAAACCTAGAAGACAAACTGTAGCTCGTCCTGTTTAAAAGTTATGGATAATGTGTCATTTTTGGACTGCTCTCAAATACCAGATATTCCACAAATCCCTTGATGTCCAAACCTTTGACGGTACTCTACCAAGAGCTTTGGAAAATAGGAGTGGCAGCAAGACAGAAGCGAGCAGTCAGCATATGAAGTATTATCGTCGTTCCGGCGATGCATGCAGTAGGATGTCTACAACTTTTGCGGCCGAGGTGATGTTTCACTTCTATCTGACAGCAGTGCTGACGTCGTCCTATCAGCACGACTTCCCCGCTCGTGCCCCACAATGCGGACGCACACAAAGCGCTTCGCTCCTTGAAACTGGCCTCACGCTGCAGCGCCGCTGCCACACTCGGGCTGACTGTAGGTGACAAGTGGTGCAGTGGCGGCCGGTGTCTCACCTCCCCGGCGCTGTGACTGCGCTGGCGGCTCAGGTGCTGGCGGTGAGCCAGCAGCCCGGTGGAGCGAGAGCTCTGGAGGGGAAGCCGCGGGTCGATGAAGGTCGTGGAGCGACAGTTGTGATCCACAAAGAAGGGCTGAGGATCGAGAGGCATTGGGTAAACTCCACTGCGTGCACACAGACACACATGCAGAACGCTCACAGGGAGGATTGTAAAGAAACACCACGGAATACAATCAGTACATGCACATGACCTTCCCCGGTTAGGGGGGGGGGGGTCCAGGTCAAAGGTCAACACACCTTCCCGGTGTGGTCGTGCTTCATCTCCCAGCCGCGGGGAAGCTCCAGCTGCTTGCTGGAGAACATGTTGAGGAAGGTGACGAGGTCGCGGTTGTGCTGGTAGCGCTCAAAGTAATGGGCGTCCCGACGCACTTTGCTGATCATGTGCTTCAGGCAGGTGTTGCTCGTAAACATGCGGTAGGCACTCTGGGCAGAGAGGGCAGAGAGGTGAGGTCATCAGAGAATGACAATCATTCAATCAATCAAGGCGGAAGGAAGAGATTTGTTCTAATGCCAGTTTTATTTTTTTTATTTCCTACCATCTTGAATCATTTTAAATAAATGCTACCATGCTATAAGTTGATTACCGTAGGATCAATACTGCATGCAACATGATCAGAATAGTTGATGAGCTCCTTTGTTGTCCGGCTCTCATGGAGCTCAGCCGTCATGTCTATTTGCCACATGGCGCTGGAGACTTTGATGTAATTTAACAAGGGCTCGAAATTAGATTCTTTAGTCAGCATTCAAAACGTGGATGTCTGCAATGGCTGCAAAGTATTTACCAAATTACAGGTTCATTTGTCATTTTTGAAATGGCTTTAGTCTTAGAAGGTTCAATTATAGTAACGTCTTAAATCACACAAAAACATTTGTTTACACTCGTCATTACATAAAGACATTTGTAAGTTTGTAAAGCAAAAACTAACCCTAAACCAAAAATACCTGCATGTCAAGGAACAAATGTAGAGTAAATTACTGCCTGTGAGCAACTGGCTAACCGTCTGTCCCATGACTTTGATGAGTACGCAGACATTAAACTAGACAAAATGAGTTTATTAGAGTTAGAGAAATGTGTGTCTGCCTGTATGCAGATCGATGTAAAAGGAGTACGAGCTCCATGGTGACGGAGGAGGAGCAGCGCGCGGGACTGACGGGGTTAGAATGCAGCACGGTGAAGAAGTCGGGGCTGCACAGGAACTTGGCGCTGGGGGACTGCAGCAGCAGGGAGAGACGCGAGCGACCGCTGGAGTGAGCGACGGCACTTTCCCGCCGGTATTCTGCAACGAGATGAACACGCAGCGGTCAGCGCTCCAGACGGGGACACACTGTCTTATGCATTTATTATCCAGCATTATCTGTCAGGGGTATTAGAGAAAACACCCTCATGGACTGAGACCATCGCGTACAACATGTTTTAGACTATTGTATTTCCAAAGATGCATCATTTGAAGAGGTGAATCTTTTAAATATCTGTTTTTCAGAGTACAGAACTCTTGTGGCTGAACACCTCTGATGCATTTTTTTGTAATATGTTTACTGAAACTAACCTGAGATGGAGTGAGGCATCAGATCACTCTCGGGTTCTGGAAGCACGTCGACGGGGTTCTCCTCCGACCGATTGCTGTTGGTTATGGTCCTCCTGATGCTCTGGTACCTGTGGAGTAAACCTGAAGTTATTGTCTGACACTGTTCCAGACTTATGAATACAATTATGTGGACACGTAACAACTGTCACTCAAAGTCAAATCAAGGACATAGAGGGAAAACACTTTCACCACTTTTTCTTTCTTTTATGAAGCATAAATTCTCACATCATAGATTCAATAGATGATGAATGAATTGCCAAGAGTAATTTTTCATGCAAATAGCAGATTTCCGTTTTCGGCCTCTCAAATATGGAGAATTCTTTCTTTCCACGGTTTTATATCACAACAAACGGATACCCCTTTGGTTTAGACTGACAAAGCACAATATCATAAATCCCACCCTTTGAGAAACTGGGATGCACCTTCTCGGATCTGTAGGAGCAGCAGCCCCATTATGCAATCTGTGGCCATGCTGCTAAATCAAGTTTTCTACTATTGAGAGAAGCGCGACGGTTATTGCGTCACAGGCTTCTTCACAGAGCCCACCTGCGGTTGAGTTGCTCCATCTGCTGAATGGAGTTGGAGCGCGTCAGGCCCTGCGGGGCAGGAGGACCGGTGGGACGCTGCCACGTGGTGGTTCTGTTCACATGGTCCACGAAGAATATCCTCCCATGGCTGTCGATCCGAGCCTCCCAGTCTGAGAGCAAATGAATAATTGATAGAGTAGGTGTTTAGTGTCTCAGAGGGGAGGAGGGGGAGGAGGGGGAGGGGGGCATAACTGTGGAAATAAAAGCGAAGATTAATGACAGCTTAAATAAAAACATATACAATCCCTATATACGTAATTCTATTCTATTCTGTTAGCATTAACAAACTAAAAAGCTACAGACAAGCCAGTGGGTTACTAGCTGAATGCTAATTCAGGGGTAAATGGGGTCGTCGTGGCGCAGGGGTTAGAGAAGGTGTGCTGGGAAGCACAAGGTTGGTGGTTTGATTCCAGGCTGCCCCATGTACCATGTCGAAGTGTCCCTGAGCAAGACACCTAACCCCTAATTGCTCCCTGGGCAAAAATGTGAAAAAGCCATGGGTTAAAAGTGTAATGTACGTTGCTTTGGATAAAAGCGTCTGCTAAATGACCTGTAATGTAAATGACCTAATATGAACTTACATGCTTACATGCTGCCAACAGGCCTAATCATCGTTGGAACGTGCAAACGTTTGGTAATCGCGCTAAACCTTAAATGCAGCTGAGCTGATGGTAGAGATGGTTAAATCATATTTCATCTGATATTAAGTTATGATGAAACCAACACTGGACATTTTGACCTGCGCGCCAGAGAAAATGTCAGAGTGGACTGAAATTAAAAGGATCCTCAACGACATTATGATTCATCCTCTGGGCTTCATCAACCTCTGTTTAACCATTTTTAATTATCAAGACATATGTATAAATATATTGATTGACAGACATTGCCATCCAGCTTGCGTAGTTAAAAATAGATGTAAAACCTCAGATCATGATAACCATGTCCTCTTTCCAACACTTCTCATCGTGGATCACTAACGGCTGTGTTAATAGTCATTCTTTAGGGAAATCGCAATTAGTTTGTGGTGGTTTTTAGTCATGGTCATTCAGAAGGTACAAGACACACACACGCTGCTGCACGGAGGAGGTCACATAGACCAACAATGTGCGCGTGCAGACACACACACTCACTGGGAGGAAGAGGCTCGTCCACGCGTTGGTATCGGTGGATGTCGTGACGCACAGAAGGCAGCGAGCGAACAGGATGCCCGTTAACGTGAGCGCCTGAACAGGGAAACACACACAAGACAGACTTTGTCTAAATATGATGAAGAAAATATTGTTGGAATGGCACCAGCGTGCCGTTAATCTTCAGTTAAAAAGCGCTGAGTCCATCCATGGTTGAGCACCTTCTTCTCCATCCGTGTCTGTGGTGACTTGCTCCGAATCAGCCGCGCCCGCCCCCTCGACCGGCTTCGCCTCTTCCCCTGCCCGTCTTTCTGGCACGCCCCCCGCGGCCTGCAGGCTTAGCCTCCTCGCGCTGACCTCCGCTCCGACCGCCGCCGGCTCGCTGGGCGGCGGAGCTTCAGCGATGGCGGCCTGCCCACCGCCTTCGTCGTCTACGGCGTTATTGGTCGGTGGGGTTCCAGAAACGACGCCCCCCCCCGGATCTATGGCCGCCTCCGCTCCCTCCACCACTTCCTACAGGAAAAATATAAGAGCATGTGGAAACCTCAGAATAAAGGATCATTTTTCATGCTGATGTAGTGTGTGTGATCTCATATACACTGGTATACATTCACACCTACTGCTACAAAATATCGGAGATAAGTCAGTCTACGATAGCAGCTCACAAGAGGCCGTTTCCAAGGCAACAAAAAGAAAGCTGGGAGATACAGCTGGTCTAGGACCAAGTACAGGCTGCTGCTCTATAGAGTGTTTGCACCGTGGGGACAGTAACCGCAGAGAGGGGCTTCACGTTCCCTCAGGGATAAAGAAGGTTAAGAAATGGTATTATGACATTTGACAAAAGACACGAGAGATGAATCACAGGCCGTGACCGCATGAGGAAAATGAACTCGCCACAGCAGTCGTCACAGGGATTGGGCAGCTCTCTGATGACGAGAAGACCGTCTGCGGGGCTGTTGCCATGGAGCAAGTGTCAATATCGGAGGAGGGGTCCTCGCTGTACTCCCTTCCTTCCTCGAACACTTCCCTCTCTGGCACGGCACTGTGGGACACGGCCTCTGTGAAAGGAGCCTCGTCCACTTCGGAGAAGACGTCCGCCTCCAAAACATCATCCAGGTCCAGACCTGCCCCGACTTCCAGGGCCACCTCCGCCTCAGAGGGCTCGTCTTCTGCCGCACCAGCCGCGCTCTGGGGCTCCTCCCCCAGCGCTGCGGGCTCCGGGCCCTGCTGCAACTCGGGAAACGGATCCTCCTCATCGGGGCCACGGGCGTCTGGAGGTTCTCCATTCATCAGCAGCGGTGACATCGGCACAGGAATGATGTCATTGGCTCCAGACCTCTCGTCGTCCTCGTCGGAATCAATGTGCAACATGGCGCTGAGCCTTGTGTGAGTGGGGAAGCTGGAGCGCAGTTTGGGCGAGGCCGCACCCAGGGGCCTCTCTCCTGGGCCTTTAGGGGCCTCGATAGCGTCCAGGCCCTCAATCAGTGACCTCTGCAGCATTTCATGGCAAGACAGGCTATCGTGTTCCATAAATCTAGCCTGCGCTCCAACCAGAGGCAGGTCCTTCGCAGGGTAGGCTGTGGCCCCGCCTTCCCACATGCTGTGGGAGCCCTGGGAGCCGGTGGGAGAAGGGCCTGAAGAGACCAGTCCTGGAAGGTGGTGGGGCAGGTCCTCATCATCGGACGGCGTCCCCGGTGCTCCATTCAGGGGAGAGAGGCCAATGATGGACTCAGGAGAGGCACCTGTAGCAGCAAGACTGGTTGTTTCAATGTTGGAAAAGACCAATATCTCAAGAAAAGACACTCAATTTAAAGACTGATTAATTTACCATCAGGCCCAGTGGAGGTGAGTTCCACTCTGAACTGCAAATGGCCGCTTACATGTTCCGTAGGCAGACGTCGACACAGGGGAAAGCTCACAGGTTGGACTCTGGGCAGAGACATCAGAGACATTGTCCTCGTCACTGAACTCAAGTTACCCGGCGCACATGCAGCGTATGTTCTGTCGCTACCTACCCGGGTATCCTCTCGATGAGCCGCTGCACAGGGATCGTGAGCTGACCGAGGAAGCGCTTGATGATCGGACGACTTTTCGCGAACTTGTCCTTCACCTCGATGTACAGGATGTCCGTCATTAGCGCCACAAAGGTGTATTTCTGCAGAGAAGCAGACAAGCACATACACTCAATACTTTCTCTCTTCTTGCCGGTTGCTAGCATGTGTGTGGACCAGTGGATGAACACGTCCTCAGTGCGTTCGAAGTCCAATGGAAGCGTCACCTCGCCATGCCAGACGGGGTTGGTGGTGTTGGCGATGATGGCCGATCGCCGCTCCTGTCCGTGGTGGCTGAAGATGGGGAAGACGCTCCTCTTCCCTGGGTGGATGGACATCTTCAGGTACGGGTCCGGATTGAAAAACATTCCCTTCTTCAGGCCGGTGGCACGCAGATCTGCAGCGAAGCATTAAGTGACAGCGAGCTTGTGAAGAGAAGAGGGTTAAACTATATTGCATGCCGATATGTTGTTTTGGTTTGTTAGGCATGTGTGCGGAAATGCACATGTAATCCGTCCATCTGTTGTTGCCAGTCTGAGCTTCCAAAACGTGTTGTTGCTGAGAGGTGACAAGATGTTATGACTGGCAGCTATCATGGATTTGCTGCATATATGCAAATGTTTGCTGGCTTTTTGTTCTAGTAACCGGCATGCAGGTGGCATGTGACGGAATAGTGTGGAGCTGAGCTGACCCAGCCAGGACCTTAGGCGGGTCCACTAGCTGGCTAATGTCTGTTAGCAGGCTAACCCAATAACAGGGGGTCGGTTACTTTGCCCACATCTGTAGGAAGGCCTCCCTCCGTGGTGTTCCAGCAGGAGAGACGGGTGGACGGGATGAGGTGGACTCAATAATGTTGCACAAACAATTCAAATGTGACGGACAAACGGCCCTGATGTTGAATTTGTAATTTGAATATGTCGGCCATATGATCCACGTTAAAAAAGGATTGTATGACTGTTTAGTTTCTGAAGTTTCTTTCTTCTGAAGAAGACAAGTAGTAATAGCTGTTATTTCTGTTGCTATAGCCCCATTCTGTCTGCCTCTGTGTCCACAGACTACTTCATTACTGCATCAGAACACAAGGGCAGAAAATCTATCTGCTGGTTTATTGATGTTTTCATCTGGAGGAATGGTATGTACAGACCGACTGCCAGCCAAAGGAAACAGCTAAAAGCCGCTCGTGATGCAACGTATAATTGAAACAAGCTGTAGTGAACATGTGTTTGCTGCGGTTTTCCTGTTTACATACTTTTAAAAGACGGCTATACCGGCCGCCTTCTTTAGAAAACGGAGAACTGTCTCTGAATTACTACTCTTTGTTTCCTGAAGACAGCTTTATAAGTTTAGCCTTGTTTTCCCCCGATGGGCCGTGAGACAAACAGGAAGAGATTACATCACTGAGCCTTAAAGACAGAATGTCTCGCCGTTGGAAGGCTTCGGTACAATGATTTACAGCTTTCGCCTCCACGTTTCCTTTCATTTGTTATTGAGAACGATTACACAATAAAAGTATTCTTTCAACGCGGAAACTCTCAACTCACCCGTCAAAGTGAAGCTGATCAGCGTCCGTGGGTGTTCGATGCCCACCTGCTCCGCCAGGCCCTCCGCCTGAGAGGGGAACCGACAAAGTCACAATCTGCACGCATGCCAACACAAATCACACGATAGCACAAAATGCTAATGCAGGGGAGACGGTGGCAGGTGGGATAAAGAGGAGGATGCACTGATCTTTGGTACACACATGGTGCAACATCCAATAAACACGGTTCAACCACCTCCATCAAACTAAACTAAACAACTTGATAACTTGAATATAATTATTTGGTGTAATCTTCATCATTAATGCCTCATTTTAATGATGATAATATCAGGGCACCTAAACCTCAAACTGACTCACACCCCCAAGCCGAAGCTCAAGTTGGGCCTGTAGGCACGCAGACTCATTAATTCATGCACGCACGCACGCACACACACACACACACACACACACACACACACACACACCCACACCCACACCCACACACACACACACACACACGGACCAGGACGGCAGGGTTCTTCACTGTGATGCAGGGCGTCGTGGCTCTCAGGGCTCCGCTCACTCCGTGGTAGTACTTGAAGCAGATCTTTGTCTCCGCTGCGGAGGAAGCAGCAAAGAGTTAAGCGAAGAGAAAACGTTATCTGCTAAAACAAAGTTGTACTGCGGATTGATCTGTGCTTTTTTAAATGTCCAACAATATCGAACCTCCCACTCCAGGAGAGCATTCTAAGTGGAGACATGTTGAGAAAGAGTGGGGTGTCTGTTCCCGGGGGTCTCTCTGGGGTAACTTACGCTCCATAAAGTAGGGCCCGGGCTCCAGCCTCCACACAATCTGACCCTTCTGGGTGCCGTTCACCCCTCTGTTCTTACAGTCCCACACGTTGGACGGGTTGCTTTCATCTGTGGAACAAGGGGAGTGTTATTAGCGTGTGTTTTAATTCTGCAGTGTGGACGTTCCCTTAAGATTAAAACCTAGAGGCTGTGAAACGGAACGACGACAGACCTCTGGTCCTGCTGTTGCTAAATAAAAACGTGCTCCGTCTCTGAGTGCATGCTGACTATTGTCTTCCAAAAAACACAAGTATGCCTTTAATCAGTTAAATCCACTCCTAAAATAGCCTCCCTGCAAGCTCTACAAAACAGCAAACTTCCTCTGAGTTAAAAACTGGGAGGGGGAATTCCGGCGTACGTAGCACTTTCTCCCACAGACCAATGCGGCACCAAACTACCGGGTGGAGCGAGTCGCGAGAGGAGCGTGTGCATGTTTGAAGGGGAGTGGAGGAGGGGCAGGGCGAGTCGCTTATCATTGAACGTCTGCTTGGTGGAGGAAAGCGGCAGCCCCTCCTGGGTATCGGTAATGAAGTACCTGGCAGCCCTCGTGATCGATAGCAAGTGACCCGACGCCCTGCCAGGCTCTCTTTCCTCCGTAGCGCATTCTGCCCCGCGAGGGAAAGCGTTGGGAAAAACATGGGATGAGCTAATCCGGCCCTGCAGGTCATCAGAACGCGGCGCTTCAATGGACCAGTTGAAGCGATCACCGGCAGCTGCCCTCTGCGATGCAGAATAATCTACTGCCGGGCGCCGTGCCGCAGGTTCGTCTGACCTCTCGGAAGGCAAAGACACCCGCTGTTTTAGGAGAGCCGTTATCCGTCAGGAACACAATCCCTCATGTTGAGCAGCTCGCCGGGCTCCGACGCGCGGGATGAAGTCAGTATTTATCTGGTGTAAACAGACAACTTGACAAGATGAAGGCAGTGATCCCAATGTCAGACTGAACGACGCTGCTTCTGATGTTCCAACGTCAGGATGAAAGAAAATGGTGGATCATATATGTCGGTGCAGCAGTGTGTTTCCAAGGGAAGTTTTCAATATATATTAAGTTGAAGCAAGTCAGTTTTTAATAAAAATCCAGAACTTCTGATAAACATTGGTTTTAACACATACAACCACCAATCCTGTTTGTCTGTTTATCTCATATCTCTGGATAAGGATGGTATGATTTCAAGGAATATTTTAAAACTGTGTATTTTTAAAGGGTTACTACAGTCATTTATAATAGGATTGTACTTCCATAAAGTAAAGACTGGTAAAGATATGCGAAAATCAAAGCAACGCCCTGATTTCTATTCTGAATTTATTAATTTATTTTTTTAAACACTGGATGGTACGTTTCCCATGATGCCACTTATAGCTTACTTTGGTTTGACCCACGAACTGCAGCGTTTTTAACCGGTTTTAACTTCCATTCGCAGCGTCTGTAATAGTCCCCAACATGTCTACAACAGAAGTGTTTTTTCTCAGAAAGAACTGCGTGATGAAGCTCGAGGAGCGGCGCTTCCACCCGGGTGATGTCCTGACTTCAGCTCCTCACTATGTGAGCACAGCGTGGAAGACGCCGCTTCCCAATAACAAATGTGCTGATTGCACAGCGGCGCCGCTGTATTGCTTTTCACCCGGGTGGACAGATGAGCGCGATAGCCTTCCTCAGCACTTCCCCATTCCAGTCGCTAAGCAGGATGCATCATCGGAGACCACCCCTGTTTGGCTGGGGGAGATGCAAGCTTTGTGATGGTGTAGATGTTATTGTACACCGAGGCAGAGCTGTTACATGTCGACTCAGCCCAACGTCTCATCAGCTCCTACTATTGAGTTGTGTGCACAAGACTCCCTTTCTATTCTCAGCTCCCCGTGATGAAACGCAGGGGTCAGGAAAACCTTTGAGGACAGGTAGGGTCAAGTCCGCTCAGGCGTGAGGACGGCACTCTGGTTTCTTATTTGTTGTGACGCAATGTGCAAGTCTGCAATTCAAGTGGTTCCTCCATTTAGTAATGTTTCTAATGAGCAGTTCTACCCTCTTTGAAGAAGCACCTGCAAACCAAGCCCAGCTGCACACTCCCATTGCTGAAGCAGAGGGAAGCTAACCGGCTTGAAGCCGGTCGAGGGTCGCAGGAGACGTTACCAAGAGAAGCAGGTTAGACCGACGCTTTCACGTCAACACAACCGTCTTCGTGACAATTGGGTAGACTCCATTTACTGTTGAAGAACATGTCGTACGGGTGAAATGCCGTTGAGGGATTTCCAATTTTGGCACAGTTTTGACAAAGCTGTCATTCAGTTAATTACATCTGTCTGCTTGCATATTCACAACCCCACCACTCATTTGGCATTTATCACACGATCTGACGTGCCAATTCCTTTAATTTTACAATCTTAAAACGCAGGACGTACCATAGGACAATGACTGGAAGGCCATGTCCAGCTGCACACTCTGCATGTTATTATTAAAAGGACTAGGCGTGGGGTTCAGTTATGCCGAAAACACAATCAAGACAGCTTTGAGAATCAGCATTCAGGCCTAAAGATTTCCAGCTTGACTTGAAATCTTCTTCTGAAGACCCGAGCGCTGACCCAAACCTGTCCCCAAGGACCGGACGCTTGTTCTCGGACTCTTCTTGAATGGCAATCAGAATTGTCCTGGACCCGACGCAGTACCTCTAATAAAAAATACGAGCTTAAAATCATCATCTCACCAATGTGGTAGAGCCCGATCCAGTCGGTGGCGTCCACTTCCTCCTTGATGTCCCAGGATATGACGAGGTTGTGGCCGCGGCCCAGCGTGTACTCCAGAGTGGACGCCGTTAGCGAGGACCGGCTCTGGGAGGTCACCAGGTCTGTGTCGCTGTTGGCCCGCGGGAGCCCGACAGGGCTGCTGATAACGGAGACGGCATCGACGGAGGCTCCGCCTCGCTCCGCCAGGGTCCGCAGGTTATCTGGGCTGAGGGTGTGCCGGAGGTGGGGGCTGCGCCTGCGTGGAGCTGACAGGTGTTCCCGGCCCCCAACTGCCAGGTTGGGCGGATTGTGGGAGCGGGTCCTGGGTGGCAGGACCGCCGTGGCGAGGGAAGGACGCATGTTGAGCGCTTGTTGAAGAGGCCACTAGGACACGTGGAAAACGTTGCTGGAAAAGGACGGCTAGGAACCTCTTATCAATTCGGCTGGTCCTCAATCAGCAGAGATCTATTCCTGTTGACTCAACCCTCATGTCCACACAGTGAGAGTGGGACCATCTGCAAACATACGAGAGCTTCAGAAATGAGGCGCTGATTCTTTCTCCCCAAAGGCTCCCGTTGTCGGCCCTTCTGGTCCTTACATCTTTACAGAGCTGTTGAAGTAGAAGATCACTGACTTCATGGTAGCCAAAGACGATGGACACCTAAAGAGGAAGGAAAGAGACGGAGAAATCCGTGAGCTACATGCAGTGGGTCGCATTCGCAAAATGTGTGAAGAACTCGTTAGTCATCAAGGGTGTTTGTTTGCTGTCAGAGGACCAACATGAACAACCCTCCATGCTTTACTGTACAAACAACAGCAACGGGTGGAGCAGGCAGGTTCTAACGGCTGGTTAGGTTTAAACAATAAGCACTATCCATTCAAATGGTCTATATGATATTCTTGGTGGTAAGAGCAGACCTTCCCACTGTGGAGAGGAGCAGACTGAAACGATCTAAAGCTCACGTGGAGCCATTTGGTTATAAAAGGAAGGATGCGACTTAGAATCCGGTCAAAGGCATCTGACCCAAGACGGGCCGAGGACTGAGGAGCAGCGTTTCTTCCCAGACAGAAGATTTATAATATTTAGCTATTATGTCCCTGGGAAACCACACGGGCTGTAGACACAAACACTTTACATTCCGCCTGTTTTACATTATCAACAGTAGGTTTCATGGCTCTTTTAAAGATTAGTATAGTAATACTGGCATGGTCAGTTAGTTTAGGGTTAGGGTTAGTTATACTAAGACTTTACTTCATACCTCTTTTGTCTAACACGTCCTAAATTCCGCCATGTTAAAATAACTAAAAAGGTGCTGGGAATTTTAAGAAGACACCTTAAAAACATTCTCAAGCGACTTTTGGAGTCGCAGCATCCTTCTTCTATGATTTCTGAGCAGAGTTATGGTGGTTGGTGAAGCATCATCGGGGCATCCTGGACACAACAGTGAATACAACGTTGATCAGTGGCCATGTGACTTTATTTACCAATACCAAGCCAGCCTTGATGATTGAAACACGTCATTTAACGTTAAATCAGAGACACATTCCACACCTCACTTTGCATCATCACTGAGCAAATTCTGTCCTTTACTTTGTCGACGTGCACCCACTAACAACTAAATGTGCATTACCCATCAAACGGACGGGAAACAACGGCTGTGAGTGCTTCTCAGAGGGTAGAAAAGGCCCGAGGAGCTGCTGTTGTGGATGTCTCCTCTCAACACGTACGTGATCCATTTGCTCTTCCTTACGCTGCAGTTCGACTGGTCATTTAAGTCACACGTAGAGAGCAGACTGTGGAAATCCCCATTTCATTCGTATGCCTCAGCTCGTATGTCAAATTGTCTAATACGCGTATCGCTCCTGAGGGCCTCAATCAATTCACTTTGCATTTTGAACTGACTCAACGGAAATGATGAACTGGCCTCCGCTCTGATGTATGTGGATCGGCTGTGTTTCCGTGACAACGCAGACCTTAAATTGAAATTAGATCTGTTGCATGGACGTCCCTGACAAGATTACCAGAGCGCAGCTCCATCACACACACACACACACACACACACACACACAGGGATTTACGACTAAATAAAACCTTCATTGCAGATGCAGGAATACGTAAATCCTGCTCCTGTGTGCTCATGCTGTAGCAGCATGGGGGGGGGGGTACTCTGCTCAGAGGAAAATAAACTAAAATAAGTGTATATGTAGCTGCTGAGTTGTTATGTAAGTCTTCCTGCGTTTCCAAGCACATTGTCCAACCCCGATGTGGAGTGGGAGACGCCACCCGGCCCACTCAGTGCGGGCGGAGTGAGGAGTCTGTCAGCGCACACCGAAACGTGACCTCGGGTAGGGGGCACGCCACAATCTGGACTAGTGCTTTTTACTTCTAAAGGACTGCCGGCTCACAGCGTAATCCCACTGCACCGACCGGCGCGCACAGCTCCGACCCGATGCAGGAGGGCTGACTGATCCTCAGGGAGACGAGCAAGGTGTGAGGGCCCCCAAAAAGGGACGGCTCATTCTAGCCGTTCTCTGGGAATTTCACGCCGCCCTCTTACTCTGCACCACTGTGCAGCTAAAAAGCAACATCTGTTCAGAGGACGTGAGCCCGGCAGGAGGGGATTGTGGAGTGTTCTCGTTTATTCTTTATGTCTCGTGTTTAGAGCGTTGGCGGAGGGTTTCTAGCTGTTGTAAATGTACAATAAGGCCATTGCTTGTGACAGCTGTGGGTTTTTTAAATGACGAGGCTGAAGAGGTCTGAATTGTTTAGCCATCCCCCGGCCCTCCGGTGTGCCCGCCGTGACTGACAGGTAGCATCATAACGACGTGGTAGCCCACCTCCCCTCACAGCGAAGACATGCTGAATCGTCACAATCACAGGCGGCTCCTGCGCCGCTCCGAGTTGAACGTTTCTATGTCTTTTACTCTGGAAACAATTAGTTAATTAAGAGTTGAATAACAGAGTAACTACATAATAGAAGAAGTAAATAAAAAAATATATATATTAAATTTAAAGAAAAGCTATTGAAATACATTAGTGAGCCACGGTGCTGCTTTGGGTGACTGCATCGTTATGATGGCACCCCTGAACCTTTGGTAAGTCCCGCCCCTCACATGTAGACCAGTCAATCGGAATCAGCCAGCTACGACCTGGGCTCCGCCCACTCTCATGTAATAGTTTCAGATTCTCATCTTCAGGCTGGTTTAGTTCAGCAATTATTCATTCGTCTGTGGCTGTAAAGAGTCGCCAAGAAATGTTTTTCTGTTTCTCTCTCCTGTTTGAGTGCGCGGGGACCCGTTTTTTAAAGATACACGTCTTCAATTAAAGACAGAACCTCCTGAAGTGGTTTTGTTAAGACAAAGAACAAATGCTCTGCTCTCTTCTTTTCAGTGTTTTTAATGTTGTATAGATACAGTAGGTACATGCACCCGATATTCATATGATGGGATGGGATTCCTATGCATCTCAATCTCTGTGTGCATGTGTGTGCGTGTGTGTGTGTGTGTGTGTGTGCATGTGTGTGCATGTGTGTGTGTGTGTATGTGTGTGCATGTGTGTGTGTGTGTGTGTGTGTCAGCAGAGAGGGACCCCTCCTGTGTTCCTGTGGAGGTGACTGCTGCACTTACAGCTTGACAGAACGGGCACCTTGGGGAGCCCTCTCACACACACACACACACACACACACACACACACACACACACACACACACACGCGGTTACTATTCTTCTTAAAGAAACATTATATCTGAAAATACATTCTCTTCACAACTACGTCCTCTCTGGGCTCCGACGTGAACTTGAGGGTGGATGGGCCTGATGGGTGAGTCATTGTGAGACGATATACCGGTACACGGTTGATTTATCTAAACACACCGGGGTGAGTCACTCCCTGGGAGGTATTCCTCCATGACAGTGGAAAACGGCATTCACGCCTCAAGACTGATTGATATCACTCTCGAGTTCAGAAAGTTGACCTTTCTATAAATAGGAAAGTGGGTTGCGTATGGATTTATGACCGACATAACAACTGTACACAGAAGTGTACAAATGGATGTGATGGAGGTGTTTGAACTGCTGAACATCCTCTTTTCTGCAAGAATCGCATCAAAAGCAACGACTTTGGGATCCGTCATTACTGTTCGTGCAGAAAGAGCACATTATGCAGAACTCTCTCCCCTGTAAATGTACACGTCACCTTTTCTCTTATAAATAATAATCTCTTACACCAAATCAAGCATTTTGGTACAGTTACCAATGTGCTTTCCTCTAAGTAAAAGCCACATTTGTAGCGTAGTGCTCTTCTGACTCCTCAAGGTGCTTTACAAACACGATGCTCCCTGATATAATAATACCCTTTAGCTAAAAATAACTTTAGCTATTTCGAAGCAGAAATCCCTAAATTGATACAGTAAAGTGTTGGATGGCTTGATTTTAATTTATCCCTTTGAACACGTTCACGGTCACACGAGTTGAGTGAAACATTCACATTTAGATGAGGGGAGGATAACGAAGGGAATGTTTGAATCATGTTCATTCAGGGCTTCTGTACTGGTCAACTAAACATTTCCACACAGCACATACGTGCCTTTAAATGTTTCCTACACCAGACTTTGACAACACATGTAATTCCTTTATTTTTTAAATTAACCCATTAACCCTCAACTTTCAAACAACTGCTACTGCAGAGGCATTTTGGCCAATACCCTTAAGGTATTCAAGTCCAACCCCCAGCACCTTCCAAAATATGGGCAGTGTATTTTCAATTTAAGGTGGGATACAGGAAAAGCAATCTCTTGTTATAACTGCATCTATTTGTACTCACAGGATCTGTAATTGGACTAAGCAAAGACTTGCAGACGTCGTCCTGAAGGGGTCTGATCAGGGGAGACGGGACGACACAGCCCCGTATCTTCTCTCCTCAGCAGCCGTTTACGGTGGATTCTAGCAGTGACCCTTCACGCCCTTCCAATCTTCAAGTACACTTCAGCAGGGGTGCAGAATGATATGATATGCCATAACATTACATCACATTACATGTCATTCAGCTGACGCTTTTATCCAAAGCGACTTAGTGCATTCAACCGTGGGGATACAAACAAGAAGAACAAGAAACAAGACCCTAACCGTTGGAACCTGCTCTCAAGACCTACGGAAGTTCTCTACTCATTTTCTGTGTCTGAAATAGAGACTTAGCATTGCTTTTACGTATTCAACACTGTTATTAGGAGGAAATAATTACTGTACGCACACATATTTTTTTGCCTCACTTCCCCCTCAGCGTATACGCGCTCCTGATACCACAATTCAGAAACTTTAGTTACAGACCCATCTGCAGCTGACCAGTCACAGGTTCTGCGCCAACAGACGTCAGAACCAAACATTCACAGGTTGCTTCCTGGTCAAATTCTGCCAAGTGTGGGAATGTGCGTTTATGTGATGGTGGTAGTTCCAAAATGTCTCAGATTACAGATTTGCTGCAATAACCAAATTTGTGCGCAAGGTCTTTGAGGGGAATTCATCTAAAACACCGCAGGCCCATGAAGCGGATTACAGCAGCCAATCAGAAAGATGACACATTCCATCACGGATGAAGCCAGGGCGCTCACACGCCACCCGTCCGTGTGTAAACACAGGCCGCACCGGCCCATCAGCATCTCAGCGCTCCAACAGACTCAAGGTAACCCCCGCGCACGTCAGCAAAACCACGTTACATAACAACTCGTCCCCAACTTTAATCGTTCCGAACCAATCCGTGCTGCGCCGCCGAGGCCGCGCGCGGCGTCTTTGCGCACACGCCTGAGCGGGCCATGTCGGAATGTGCAGGTGTCATCGCGCGCTATTGGATTACTGTGGGAATTCCCTACGTCATTTTCTTTCCATGTATCGCGTTCCCAAGACTCCTGAATGACGCCCCACATCTCACCACAGATCATCCCTTTTTGGTGCAAAACCGCAACAGCAGAACACGCTGATGATTATAAGGCGCTGCGGTTTTTTAATGACAGGTTCAACTGCTTTGGGCATCATCATCATCACCATCGCTCCTGTTAGCCAATGCACACCTACACGGTCCCTGCATCCACGGCTGGCGCACAGGGCGGCAGAGGCTTACCTTTGGCGCAGATGTGCGGGATGCGAGGAGAAACGGTGCGCGGATGCGCCGCCAACACCTGCTCGGCGGTTCCTTTCCCCGGGATATCACCGTTTAGGTCCTTATCCCTGCAGTCCAAACGAGGCGGGGCGGGCGGGCGGGGTGCCGCGTTGGACCCCCCCCCACCCCCTCCCTCCGCCTCCCCACCCCCTCCCTGTAAGATCCCGAGCCAGGGAGCAGCTATGGGCTCGGAGTCACGTATCGAGACGGTATCCCTCTGAAAACGCTGCGTCGCTGCAGAAGCACCTCGGCCCTCTCCGCCCGGAGGTGTGCGCATGAACTCCAGCGACGCCTCCCCGCACTGTGTCCGCACAGGAGGCGGCCGCGCGCACCGCTGCTGCGGGCTTCAGGCGTGCAGCTCATGCAGGCACCGCATCCTTACTCGCCCTCCGCGCATCGCAATGCGCTGCAGTCAGTGCCGACGTCCTCCCACCGCCAGTGCCCACCAGCACATTAACGCGCACACGCGTGCACACACACACAACAAATGTGACGGGGCAGCGCATGCAACCGCTGGCAGTCCCAAAAGAAGGAGTGACAAGCGTATAGCTACCTGGGGGCGGCGTAATGTTGCGAGGGGGGCGCGGAGGGATTTGTTCAGAGGATCGTCGTGCCGGAGATGTAGTTATTTCCCCTGTTGATAACGTGCATGTGGACACACACGCGCTGCATATTAATGTGGGAAATGTCGGAGTGGGAGGTGACTATAGACGCGTTCCTGATAGGGAGAGAGAGAGAGAGAGAGACAGGGCGGTGGAACAATTGATGTAAATAGTGTATTCTTTATGTACTAAATTTGCAGCTATAAAAACATGAGTGGATCAACATATCGATGATGGTATATTCACTATGAGGCATTGTTAGAAATACTCAACAGTACACCTTGTGAGTGCTTCTCACAAAGTCTCACATCCACAAACCTCAAACCTTCTGCATTACTGCGTCATTCATAAGTGTGCAAGGATATCATTTTGAGATGCATAATGACTGCAGACAATAGTTTACTGGCTAACACGTGGGAAGCACGACTTTGTACTTGTGGTATAACTGCTTTTACTTTGAAGGATCGGAGTGGGCTTACCTCTTCCACCGGCCCATCTGTTCTCAGTAGAGCTACGCAGGTGAACGATCCCTCCTATTAGCCTGTCACCCATTTATCGCGCAGTAGGAGCCCCGGGAGTCTGCACGTGTCTCCGTAGTTAAACAAGGCTTCTGAATAAACACCATAAAGTAACGGTACACGTGACGAGAGACTTTCTATCCAGCTCTGTTTGCCACTTCCCTCCTGCTATCGTAGGCAGTATTCCCGTGTTCCGGGAGCACTGCGCCCCCCGGTGGCCGGTCCGCAGAGGTGCAGCAAGTTCTCCACGAGTCACTGACACAAACGGCGGAGAGGAAGCTCACCGGGTGAAGGAGTGAAGTGGTGCTTTGAAGAGGACGGTGGCTTTGCGGTGTAGGGAGGTTAGCCGAAGCGCTATGTTGATCAAATCTCAATTAAAGTTACATTTCTATGACCTGAAATACTACGTCCATATTAAAGTGGCTTACAGCTGCAGTGAGCGCGTTTTGACCACCAGGGGACAGAACGACGGAGAAACAGTAAATTAATAGATGTTAACTTGACTAGCGCGAATAACGTGTTTTCGCTACTTACGGGCTGACATTCGGTGGCTACAAATGATCACATGGCCCCTTGCAGCTGTGTGCTCTTTAGTGCAGCTTGAACATGGTTCAGTAATGTCAGCATTATTAATAGTTTGTGTGAAGATGTAACCGGAAGTCAGGATGGCCGAGCGGTCTAAGGCGCTGCGTTCAGGTCGCAGTCTCCCCTGGAGGCGTGGGTTCGAATCCCACTTCTGACAGCTTTTTGAAGTCTAACTGCACGTGGATGTAATTCTACAGGTATGTTTGCTATGCTTCTTCTATTTAAACCTTCACTTATATCAGTCATAAGTTGCATGTGTGACGTAATAACAGACAACTTGTTACTTTTCTTTTTATTGCAACATTAGTGCCAAAAAGTGCAGTTATCCCATTTACAACATCAGATAAAAATGTGAGAAATATAAAAACACCAAAGCAATCGATTTTGAGACAGTAATGCCTGAACCTGAGGAGAAGACACTCTTCCACACTAAAGCCTCACAAGAAAATAGAAAAACAACCCCTCAGGTATGATGCATTTTTTTTGTTCTATCACTTGACGGCTTGTCGCAGTATCTTCACAAAGGACGGAAGGCTATTTATTTCGGCACAAGGAGCAGCCGGGTGGAGGTTACAGGTTTTAAAGTCACTCGAGGCAAAAGCAGAATAAAGAAAAACTGATGGTTTACCAGACCGTGAAAACACGTAAACAGTAGGAACATTTGAAAAGATTTTACTTCCATATTACCAGAGAGACAATGAAAAAAGGGCATTTTAGGACTTTGTAAAGAAAACAGTGAATATAAACAACCAATGTGCAACGACCATGTTGTTAAATGATTTTATAGTTTCAGACGTTTTGGTTAGTAAAACCATAATTTACAATGGACTAACAAAAAAAATAATAGTTATGGACACATTTCTCACAGCTGCACTTCAACAAGACGCCCTTTGATTTACGGGTTATAAAATAAATGGCAGCATTTAATATGGAGTGCTTGGGAATTGTAGACTTTGATTCCGGGTATTCATTCATTTTATTAAAGTTAAAGATGCATCTTCATTCTGATGATATCCAAGGGCCTCATTCCTCTCAAATGTGAGCGAAAGAACACTAAACCCAACCTCATGTGTCGTTGGAACTAGGACATGATCACAGTGAACACCGATAAAAACATTTAAATTCATATAAAAAAAAACTAAAAAAACAACCAGCTCTCATATCCAACAATTGCTTCAACAAGGTCACATGTACCACCAATTCACAAGGCCCGATGTGCACCTCAAACACTACAACGGCACCAAACGGACACGAGCACAGCGAAGCTGATCACTTACACCACAAGCGACTATAGTGAAACGCACGTGAACACATACAGCGCGCGTAACATTCGGGGAGCAGCAGCTGGTCTTTGCAGAGCACGCCGGGGACGCTTGGTGGAGGGAGCGACCAGACCAGTATCAACTCATCTTGGGAGACACACTGCTGCATAAGCACAAGGAAGCAGAAAGGCACAGCAGCTGCTTCACTGACATGAGGGGGTGTGAGCAACAGCAGGAGGACGAGGCAGTTATCAAAACACATGGCGTGGAATAGAAACAAAGCTGAGGTCCAGTTGTGAAACATCCATCCCTCATCTGCCATTTTTAGGGTTTTCTGACTTGCATGTTTTGTGAAAAATGTAAATGGTACGTTATGAAAGTCCACAACTAAGCAGTCAGAGCGCCTGCGAGAGTTAACCGGCTTGTAGAGTCATTGGCAGACGGGAACCCTGAACGTCAAGCAAAGGTTAGGCCGACAAGCCGGAACCACGCAGCCGAACTGCAACAGTTATGCTGGTGTGAAGCAAAACTATACCGAATGAGACCTCCTCCTCCCCATAGAACACCGGATATTAAAAAGGACAAGTCCTCTGGTCTGATATCTTCCAGTCAACAAATCCCATAAGACCTAAACCAACCATTGATTCTGTGCATCTGCGTTGATCCACAACTACTCCACTATTTACTCCCATTTAAGTAACATTTACTAAACACTACAGTGACCAGCGGTTTCAGGGCATTACTGAACAAAGACGTTTGTGAGCCTTCATAATAATTATAATGATAATGATGATGATGATTTTGCAACAGCATCAGTAGGACGCAAAAGACTGTACTGATGGCTTTTGTTGACAAGAGAAATAGGGAACAGCTCCAAACTGGTCTTAGAAGCCATGATGTGGGACCAACAGAACTCCACACAAAATAGAAGCATTCAAAAAGGTTTTTTTTCTTATTTCAAGACCTGCAAAAGACGCCCAGTCCAGTAGTTGTGTGATGTCTGATGAAAAGCTATTTAAAAACTAAAGAGTAAGACATCAGGTGGTGGTATCTTTGGCCCAAAGTACTCACCTGTACACCATTAGGACCAGGAACCATTAAATAAAAGACACTTATTAACCGACATGGCAGCAACTCCAGTCCCAATATGGAGCTGGAAGCGGCTGTTTAAATCTCAAATCAAAGTGTGGATCTGCTGCAGCACTACAGACATCCCATAATCCCCACTGAACATAAATCCCAGGCTTAGACAAAATGTGTAACCTGCTTTTGAACCTTGCGAGCCCAATCACCTCATTCCCTTTTTACCCGTCAACATTCGTGCATTACCTCCACTTTGTCCGCGTTCATGGGGGGGAGGGGGGGTGGGGGTTGTCCATGATGAATCATTTTACAGCATTGATTGAGTTAATTGATCAACTACAAAATGATTATTTTTCCAGAAAGGCCTAAAGCTTTTTTGGGATTATATAAACATGGACATGTAAAATAGAAACAGAGCTTCTTCACGCCGTTTAAAATGCTTCTGTTGGATCAGAACGTTTGTATTTATTATAGGAGCCATACCATACAGGCCCGCTTATACATCCCTCCCATGGTACGTTCAGCATAACACTTGCACAGCATTCGTTCCATCAGTAGTACCAGGTTTTCCCCACCTGGTGAAGTAAATGCTTATATTTCACATTAAAAGCCTACCAGGTAAACGGAGGATTTCTGCCCAATTGCCAAATGGGAAGCTTTTAATTTGAAACATCTGTGCAGGAAGTTTAATTGATATTAACTGAATAAAACAGCCGAGTCAGACAGTAATTCTCAAGATAATCTGTGTTATTGTAATGATGAGGCAGTGCTGTGACAACGTACAGCGTCCTGAACTTATTAAGAGCTTTTGGAGTGTGACGAGGCTTTTGCAAATACAAAAATCGCAAAATTTCAGAATTCTCTTATTTGCTTTCAGTTCTTGGCTCATGTCTTACAAGCCTGGAAAAACAGTCACTCTTATTTCTGACCAGAAGACTATTCAGCGCTTATTTTAGAGCTGCACATTTAACAGTCAGTGAGAGAATGAAAGAGCAAACAGGCCGACGGTTCGTAATACAGGTTCTTTTTGTGCAGCAGGCCGGACAGCAAAGCGTTCTTCTGACGGCAGTGAAAAAGCTTTTTTGGAAAGGTTTCATTAGATCATGGCAGTGTTTTTTCTGGAAATGATGAGGTCTACCTTTTTTTCAACCATATTTGAAGGAAAGGTTTGAATGGCACGACTGCAACACACAGCCACTGCTGGAATCCAATTATACAGTCTGATCTATAACTGCCACTGTGCAGACAAACCTTGTGTAGACAGAGTAGACGTGCTAAAAAATAAAGCTTTGAATGTTGATTTAGATTCAAATGTGACTTAAGAAAAAAAAAAAAAACTGACTTAAGACAGATTTTCTGCCCCCTGAACGAATAAGCGGGCAGCCCGCTACGGCTCCTACACAAACTCTGTCTAGCTACACAACAGCATCTGGAGAACATCGAGTAGATCATAACGTTGTTCTTGTGAAAGGTGCATAACAGAGTGGAGCCTTCGCATGCACTGAAGCCACTGGTTCTGTGTGCTTGGACAGTCAAAAAGGTAAAGATGACACACAGCGAGACGTCCTGTCACAGTGGGCAGTGAAGGGGTTAACAGCAAAGTGACCGCAGTGCACAATGCCAGCGGAGACACAGGGAACCACACAGAAAGAGCATATTTGAACACCCTGTTAAGAATCTATAGTATCGGTAGCTTCACTGGTTGTGGAGTTGTTGCTCCTTGAAGGCAGAGCTATAAATATACAGAGTAAGGCAAACTTGGTTTCAGGTCAATCCTTCAGAGCCATATTCACACCAAACGTTCCACGGCCGTTACATCCTCTCATTTGAAAACGTAGTGTAATTGCCGAGGAGCTTTTAGTGCCAACATCGAGCGCACAGTTCCCCAAGCTATGTATGTTTATGGCTCTACTCCATGGCGGCAAGATCGAGCACGTCCTCCTGGAACAAAGCGCTCCGGAGCCGGTTCAGCGCGTCAGGCTGTGATTTAGAGAAAGGCTTGTTATGGTGGAACGGGACAGATACCGTCAGAGCACGCAGCACAAGGCCACAGGGACGAGTGCCGCCAATAGGAAGTGGGTGACTCTGTAGAGGTGCAGCGGAGAGAAAGTCACCATGGCGATGGACAAGGGGAGGGGGAGGCAGGACGTCAGAGGCAGGAGTTTGCTGAAAGAGATGGAGAAAGGGTTTGCATGCTGCGAATGAGAATTCACCTCAACAAACCGAACAGTGCTGGTGACCAAGAAGGACTCTTACCTATTGCTGATTTTTAAGGTGTTGCAGTTTATCAGCAGGATGTACACAACGATTAGAGGCACACTGCTTGGCCAGCAAGGGTCAGGATCTAGCTGGGTGGAGTACCTGCAGAGGATGCCTCATCTTCTGTTATCAACCATTTACTATTACCGGACATATGACAGTCCAAGAGAAATGCGTAATTACCAAATATGCCCCCCCTTAAACCGGCATATTCATTTTCCTAAGTGTTACACAAAGCCATGTCATTGCTTTTTGTGTTGTACCTCAGGTTGCGAATCCAGTGGATGAGCGAGGGTGCGATGAGCATGACCGGTAGTGTGGAGAGCGCCGACAGGCAGAGATGGAGCTGCAAATCGTCCCTCACCTCCTGCAGAGCACACTCAGACAGCAGGGGGGCACCATTGCATTCCTTAGACTGGCGCAGAGATTCTGAATCGACTGTGCCGTTCTCGGCTTTCCTGTGCTTCTCGGGGGCCTGGAAAGATGGAGGAAAGACCTGATTTACTTTCCAATTTGACGAGAATCAAAAATTGTATCGATTCGGATACTCAGGCTCTGCATTAAAATCACAATAGCATCGACCTGACCACCTACTGCATTTGGGTCAATGTGTGTATCTTACCAGATTCAGCATGTGACTCAAGGACCTTTCAGTCATCTGCAGCCGCAGTAACTGAAACAGCAAACAGACATGGTTTTGGTCAATGTTACTCTGAGACAGGCTTCATCTCTATGACCCATGTACCAACACTCACCCGGTAAAGGTGGAGCAGAAAGGCAGCAAAGATAGCCAGCGCCCCACAGGACACCCCTCCCACAACTATCAGACACAGAGTGACGAGGAGCTGCGTCCGGAGTTGCAGGGTGCCGCAGTCTCTAGAGACCGATGGCCTGCATCGAAAAGGAGGTTTACAGTGACATTACACACTCACGTATATCAACACACCTGTCCAACCATACCTGTGGAGCGGAGCTAATATTAGTGAGATCAGGCGCATGATGAGACGGAGCAGCGTGCTGCCCCAGTATGCCACGGCTGCTCCCAAGATGTAAAGTAGTGGGGACAGAAGGAGGGGCCATTCTTCCCCTGGAGGCACGCCCTCAGGAGATCCAGCATCAGGGTGGGTTGGAGGGAGGGCATCCATATGGGGGAGGTAAAGAAATGACCAGACCTCTTGAAACCAGCTGCAGCTGAAAGCAATAGTAGGATTTTTTTTTTAGAAAGTTCATAAAACATAAGACCTTGTTTTATTTTGCTCATATTACTTGTTTCCAAAGTCAAGATTGACGGTTCTCGTTAATTACAACGATCTTAATCTCAAGCCTACCCAAGTAAAATGTGCAGAAGATAGACGGGCAGGTTGACTTTGTGAGGCTGGAGGCCTTTGGCCACCACCAGGCTCATGTCTGCAGCTCGCCTGGACTTCAGAATGGAGGACAGCTGCCCCCCACAGGCCTGGAGCAGGGTTACAGCCGTGTACACCGGCACCATCGGACCACAGAACCGAAGTATCTGTTGGATCAGAGAGCCGATCAGAAGAACAATACACATACCACCATTTTCAATCACACACTAAACATCAATGAAGACAAGAAAGCTGTACCTGTCCCAGCACTCTGGGTAATGAAGTCCTCACTGACACCTGAGGTGAGAACACAGCGTATTAAATTAGTGTCATACGGTTAACTCCTATTTGATGGCATTAAATGGGTTCATCATGGCGAACTGCCTGTAGGCTGGGGGCTCAGTCCAGCACCTGATAGCCGTACCTTATACTGGCAGTTGGGGGCAGTGTGGAGCTGAAGGAGGACACCGGAGGCGTTGTCCGGACGACTTGTGTGGAGCATCGCTGACATCTCGGTCACGGATGGCACACTGGGAGACACATCACATTGAGGCATGACGCAAAGCATGAAGACGACAAATCTGTCCGAACAAAGAAACAGACGATGGAACAACTGACCTGACGGTGGTTAAAGAGTCCTCTCCAAACCACGACACGTGGATTCTGTACACATTGGGCAGTCGATCTGCAGACAAAAACACGATGGATCACGGTCAGTGAGAAAAAACCCTCTAGGATGTAAATGTTTCCTCTCCCGTGTCTATGACTCCTGACAAGTAAGGTTTTGTAAGGCTCAGCTTTCTTAGTTCCAAGTTTCTGAATTTCCTCCCGTTTTGAAGTCTGAAATAACTAAAAACATGCACGTTCTCTCTCAGGTGATTTAATTGATACAACTTAGCAGCATACACCTCGTGTTTAGAGTGCAAACTCCCATGGTAGAAAAAAGTACTGCCGTTAGTGCTCCCTAGAACATAGGTAGAGGTGCACTTGAGCCTCTGGTGGTCAAAATGAGTATTTCAACAACAAACTAAACTTCATTTTTCAAAAACTAGTTTTCACCAATAAAGAGACACAGGTTTTCGCCCTGGTTTGTACGTACAGCACACAAAACCATTTAGATGTATTTGCCCCTTTCTCTCCTTCTGCAGCCTGCCCTTGTGTCACATGTAAACATACCTTTATTTACTTTGCACTGGCTTGCAACAGTAATTCTGAAAGCCTGATAGACCTGAAGACACAGACGTGTTCAAAGTTTAGTGACCCTGCAGGGACAGAGACACTGACTCGAGCATGTGCAGATGAAATCATGATCGCTACCTGGTGGAAGTGCTGCAGCTTGATGGTGTGAAGAAGTCCAGACGAGTTGAGCGAAACGTCGCTGACGGTGAGTCCTGGAAAACCAACAGTCACTGAAAAGGAACGTTTCTTCTTAAGAGAACTCACATGAACACACATCCCTACTCACCGAAGGACAGGACATGTGGCACTGGGACAGACAGAGTCTGAGACGCTTGTCTCTGCCACTCGCATTCCACCGTGAACTGCAGACAGGACAACGGTTGTAAGGTCATTGTATACATTAAAATATCCTTTTCTTGTACACAACTGAGTTCGCCGGATCATTTTTGAGGATAAAATGACAGACCAGGTTTTTTGGTTCCAGTTTGGCAAAATCACCATAGCAACACATCCATTTACTTTAACCTGCTGCGGCGCAGGTTCATTGATGAAAGAACGATATCAGTTAGATTAATGTTTTATAAGAGTTCTTCCAGATCACAAAGATCCGTTATGATGTCACAATGACTTCCTGTACGAGCTCTATTGATGCTGCCAACAAGAAACATTCACAAACATTCCTAGTTCTATTTAATCATCTACACAAACATATGATACACAAGCGCATACGGTACATATATCATCATAACTATTCATTCGTATTCATGAAGCTGAGATGATTATTGTCGCCAGCAAGATCCAGTTAGATGATGATGCATTCCAAAAAACCTTCTGCCAGCAGCCACATTTAAAGAAATATAATCTGACTGTTTAAAGTGATGAGGCACTTACAATGAGCCACTATATTGACCACCACGTTGACTATATTTTAGGATCCCACTTTCTCTTGTTTTTGAAGTTAAAGTGTTTGTAGTTATTTTTTTATTTGTTTGGCTATATTTACCTTCAAATAGTTTGACTTGTCATACGAATAATTAAGAGCGTGTCTCCTGGCTTAGCTCTGCCAAGTCTGTGTCCACTTGTGTGTGATGAAACGTGTCACTGTTAGTATTTAGCTCAAAGTCCAGGTGTGCTGTAACTTTCTTCCTTTACAGCCAGATGGACAGACAAAGGACAAACAGCGATTGTCTTTGCATCTCATTATGTACCTGCTTGCCGTTGAGGTTGGAGGCGGAAACAACCAGATGAGTAACTGAAGACAAGTCACTGAGACTCAGAATCAGGATCTAAGGAGGATCAAAGACAATTATTAGCAAAGCGACAGCAGCTCAGACCGGACAGGACGCCGTCTCAGAGGACCGATACCTTGTAGGGGGGCAGAAGCTCAGTTCCCGTGGACAGATCCTCTGCATGCACACTGAAAAGCAGAGCAATAGAAATACATTTGTCATCTACTGTAATACAACAAAAAGGCATACAGTGAGCGTGCAAGTATGAAAGAACTGTGGGGTAGAGCAGATAGGGAACCTCTTTGCCTGCCACCTGCCATCCTATTCTTACCACGAAGAGCTGTTCTTGTGCACGCAGCCGTACACCCAGCTCGTCATCTCCTGTTGAGGATCAACAAATGAGGATGGAACTTTTACGAGAGCAAACATTACTTTGGTTTCATGCTTTTCTAAACATGTCACTTTTGCACTTCAGTCACAAATTGGTGCTTAATTTTACTTCAATGAGTCATCCATCCATCTCTACGAATCACTACGGAAGCCCCAAGGCCAACAACAGAAGAAGAATTCTGGTGATGCATTTTTTAATTCTATTGATCTAAATAGTGTTACTCATGCATTTAATCACTCAGCATGTGTAAAATGCACTTTACTAGGTTTATCCTTCCCCTAGTGGGGAAAAATTTACTTTTTTCCATTTGAGAAAGCAGGATGCAGATGAAACAATCATTTAAAAAAAAAAGAAAAAGAAAAGTATTCTCTTAAATTCTCTGACAAACGGGTTGATTTTCTTTCAAACATAGTTCCTACAGGAAACACGCAACAACAAGGTCTGTGGATTTTCTTCAGTAACGAGGTCATGATTTCTGGAGAGACATAGTTGAGCACAATGAGTGATGTGCCATTTAGTCCCATTAGACAGGAGAAGACAAACACCTCTGCAGCCGACATCTCCAACACTGAGCCACTCACACCATGTCGTTTGATCAATAGCTCTGCAGGTAAGACAGAGAGGTACAAAGAGTTCCCAACTGCCCTTCAGGTCAGGAGGATTGAAAAACAAAAAACACTTTGATAAAGATTTTTATCGCTGTGTATCTGTAGGTTTCCGTACTAAACAACTCATGGGTTGCACAAAGAGCTGAGGACTCACCATGTTGCTGCTCCGGCAGTAGAAATGGCTGTAGGCTTTCCTGCGACTCGACAGGGCAAACCGAAAGTACTTGACCTGTCCTTCCTGTAGACACAGAGCTACACTGAAGACAACGGTCTATCAGGGCTGAGCTTTCTTAAATATACAAACGACCCATTTGATATATTGAGACGCAGTCTGGCACCTTCGGTGTGCTGTAAGCCAGGCGCAGTGTGTTAACTTCACTCCATGCTTCAGGAAAATCTGGAGAAAAAAAAAAACAGGCAAAGTGTCACTCGATCAAAACGGCATTCATTCGCTTTATGGAGTCATTGAAATATAATGCAATACAATGGACACAAATGCAAAGACATGGCTTCCAAAGCACAAGGACAAGAATAAAAATGACAGCTACTAGTATGATGTCTCTGTGACCTGAGAGGGAGATGTCTTCAGTGTCTCCCAGCATCCTGACAGGGTGTCTGATGAAGTGATGGTTCAGTACAGCCATTTTCTTCTCCGGGTTAACTGTGAACTAATAACACAACGGTTGACATAGAAACAGACTGAAGCTGCTTCAGCTTATCAGAGGTGCAGTGATTCCCATAAATTATTCCAGGCCATTTAGTGGTCGCGGAAACACTGGAGACTGGAGATTTCTGACCTGTCTGGTTTCAGGATCGAGGAGGTCAAAGAAGGCCCTGACAGTAGCGAGAACAAGCTCTTTGCACCTGGAACACAAAAGGCAGGTAAACTGCATTGATAATCTGTAATCTATTGCATATATAGGAAAACAGTGGGCCAGAACATAATGCGGTGTCTTTTACCAAACGATGGAAAGATGGTCAGTGGACACCCAGGTTCTGGGAACAGCTGTTGCCTTGACAAAAACAATAAGACATTGACAGTGCAGCATCAAACACGAGCCCTGCTGGCAGTTCGTAGTTACAGGAATGAAAAAAAAACTAAAACTCTAAAAGACTACATTTATTTGGCCCTGAAAATGAAGTTAAAGCTCTTAATTTATTGAGGAGGCTCTTGGGTTCTAAGAAAAAGTCCCAAACAAATTAAACAAATTGAAAAGTTCACCAATAATTACCACGAGGGACAACTTATTGGGGTCTCCTGGGGTACAAGGCAGGGATGTCAGGCCGGAGCGGACTTGGTAGTCCCGGTAACCACCCCCAACAGACAGAACTGTGACGTTCCTGAGCTTTTTTGCATGGTTCACCCACTTCTGTCGCACTGCAGCGTAGAAATCTACATAGAGAGAAGACAAAGACAAGTTATACACACAATGTGGCACTTTCTGCTGGTGCAGGTCCCTTAATCAGAAAACCAATAAGAGATCAACAGAAGAGGGATCATGGGAGTGTTTCTCTTCACCCCAATAACACTCTTCTCACACAAATACAAGCTGCGACTAACACAGAACAAGTATAAATCTTGTTTCTCCGATAACGTGACGGCCTTCATCTGGTTGAAATATATAAAACAAGATAATCCTTAAAATGTGGCTTAAAAACAGACATCTTGATGCAGAAAAGTTACTTATTATAACTTTAGATTAAGTCATCGGAATTCATAGTTCACAATACAGCTATGATGTTGAGACGTTCTCCATCTTTGGAATACAAATAAGTCATATTGTAGCTGGTATTTGACATTGTTAATGAATCACACGAGCTGAACAATACAGTGCCGACTAGACCGATTAGTTACTTCCTCCCTGGTCGAGGGCCTTTCGACCAAAAGGTCCAATCAGCAGTTGTCTTGTCAGCTACAATGAGGAGACCAGCGTGTCGATGTACTATTTGAGATACCAGCACGAGAGTTCTCCCTACCCAGCAGGTACGGGTCCAGGGCCAGCACCGGAGCCAGGTGGGGGGAGGCCTGGGTAATGATGAGGCCGACCAGATTGGTGTTGAAGCGGGGCAAAGTGAAGAGCGCCCGGGCCACCACTCCTCCCATGGAGTGACCAACCAGCACCACACTCTGAGGGGGGGTCTTCAGGTGCTGGGCAGCAGGGCGAAGGAGAAGAGAGATTAGCAAGGACCACTAGGGGGTTATGGAATCACTGGAAAGAAGAGTTTGAGAGACACATGGATATTTTCTACTGACTGTGCATTTAATTAGCTGTAATTAGATATAGCTCCCGGTCCGCTCCTTTACTGATGCAAGAAGTACAAGTCAGAGGGCTTGATGCTATGCCTTAAGTTTAAATGTAGCAGGTAATGTAATGGATCACCAAAACTAAAATAATACTTCACCAGCAGGATCTGCCAACTAGAGTGAGTAACCCTGTCTGACAGGCAGCTGATGCTTGAGGTCTGACCTTGTAGAGCCTTAGGATGGCCTTAATGCTCTCATGCAGGAAGTGGGTCTGCCTGAGCAGACTGCCGCCATAGAGGGCCACCAGCTCCTCGTTGAAGTCCACGGTGAACACGTTGAAGTGGAGACCGCCCTCCACGTTTTCAGCCTTCCTCAAAGCCACCGAGCCCAGGGAGCGAGCTTTGTTAAGAGAGGAAGACATTTTGAGTGTGTTTAGGCTGCGTGGGTTTTCTCCAGACAGCAGTAAGCACCAGATGTTTAGTAAAATCATACAGATGTTCGGCATTGCTTCGCCTACACTAATAACAGCTGTATATTCTTAGCATCGATGCTACTCCGCTAACTGACATGGTGCTAATGACCAATGCAATACTGTTTTTAGTTATTGATCAGAGTCATCACATCTTGAGCTTTGCACCACATTTTTGGAGCGACAGTCCATCACCTAAAAAAAAAAATATAGGCAAAAATAGAAATCTTTAAATTGACTGTCTGTCCCATTTTCCTGTGAAACATGGCAGCAACAACCAGATGTGACTCGACACTGGCACCTCATCTAGCTGTTGGAAGCGGTAAAGTTAAGGAAGCCTGTCAAACATCAGCTGTTAAAAATACAACAGATTGAGGAGTGTGAACGTGAGCCATGAAAAACAGAGAGCCTGAGTGTAGCAGCACAATGTGTTTGTATTCACACAAAGAAAGGCGCGGGTGTTCTCCTCCTACACACTGATAGCAAGAACAGGGAGGAGGAGGTTTATATCATTTAGAGCTTTCCTGCAGATATGATTTAGAGACGGTACAATATCCTTTGACCTTTTTTTTTTTTTTTTTTTTTAAATATTATGAATACAATATATTACTACATGTTGGTGGCACACACAGATATGGGATCAGATATAATTCTTAAATTGTTTTGAATAAAATATTTATTTTCATTCTTCACCTGAGCATATTTTTTATATTTGAGGTCTTTCATTTTTCAGTTGCAGATTTTTTTAAATTTTCAAATTTTTTTTCCCCTTTCTGAATTGTGGCCCTTATCTGGCGTCAACTCAAAGGGCGCGTAAGCAGAGTGACAGCTTAACAAAGAAGGCTGAAAACATTCCTCCACCGCGTTGCCGTCAGGAAACGTAGGCACTGTGAGAATTATCAATAAACACTTTCTATACAACATATTCACCTCAGTTGCATCAACCTCTAACTGCTTTCATATTCCCAGTCTTGATGAAACACAACCTTTCAAACAGAGCTGTTGAGTTGTGTGGAAAGAGAAAGCTTGTTGTGCTCAGGGCTCAATGACTTTAAGCCAGGAGAATACGTGCAGACAGACAAGACCTCAGGACTCATTTAACCACACAAAGAATGTAGAAAAGCCGCCACAAACACACTCCATTTGGACTCCCAGGTGTGAGCACACAACCTTCTCAGTTGATGCCACGCTCCCTACGTGCCAGATCGGGGCCAAAATACTGAATGTGAAAAAAAATATTTCAAACCTGAAAAAATAAGGTTTGAAATCAGAAAATAGAAAATCTACAACTGAAAAATAAAACCTCAAAAGTGAAGAATGAAAATAAATATCTTCTTCAAAACAATTCAAGAACTGAATCAAAATGCTATTCAATCCCAAAATACTTGTAACTGTTCTCTCTGTTTGCTTAACCCTCACTTACCTTGTTTGTGGCTGCCGGCGTTTCCAGGCAGGAAGAGCACAGGGGCACCGGTGAGTTTGAGGGCGCGGGTCTCCTGGGCGTACAGACCCTCCCCGTACAGGTAGAGGCCGTACGCCGGGTAGAGCCTGGCCACCCGACGAGGCAGAGCAACGCGCTGTGAAGCAAACACACACACAGGATCAGGAGGGGTCCCACGAGCCCACGTCGTTGGGTGACAGCTCATTCACCCTTATCCCACAGCCGTGAAGGCATCACGAAACATTCTCACAGCACATCTTACTCTCCAGCCGGGAGGAAACACCGCCCTCCCTCACCGTGCACCTCACCTACATTACTATAAATACACGCAGGTAATTGTAGCTCGATGCAGGATGTGATGAGAAGTTGGATAAATTGACAGTTGACCCCATATACAACTACATCGGTAGGTAAATTTGGAGCTGAGGAGAAATGATGAGTCCAGTTGTGCATTTTCACTCTGAACAGTTTCAAATAGGTTAATGCTGAATTTACATTAAATTACGATACTTGATTTGCTCATTGCCGTGTGAGGTGAGGCGGATGCCCGTGTTGCCCCCAGCTGTGCTCCACTTCCGGTCAGATGATGACGTTGGTGAGCATCCAGCAGCCATTACTATCGGAAGGTGTAGCTCTAGCTACCTCCACCTGTGTTGTAGCGGATGATTCCGTAAGTGCTGTAAAAAGTCTGCTGAGAGGATTGAAAGATCAGCAGCTGCTGTTGGCCGCTAATTACGGCTGATCTATTGAGCGCGCACGCAGGTACACGCGCACGCACACGCGCCCACACACACACACACACCTGGTGGAGCCGGACTGAGCGGCAGCAACACTCCCACACCAACCGCCACCCGCTCGGTCGGCTAACGCCAGTTAGCCTATAAGACGCCGCATAACGTTATAATGTCGGTTCACTTGGAGACACCATTTCTCTCAGCGGCGTTAAAGAAAACCAGACAAATCAACCACGCTGTAAATATGGCAGCGTGACTAGTTGGCGTCAGCTTCATTCGTGGTCGACATGTCGCGTTGCTTGACGCCGTTGGCCCGGCTCGTTGGCCCGGTCACTCACCCGGTACTCCGGGTACTCGAACATGTATGTCATACTGCAGCGGTTCTCCTCGAAGCCAGTCAGCAGCTCCCGCAGGCCAACCGCCAGAAGCCCCACGGCGAGTCCGTAAAAGGCCACAGCGGCGAGTTTCATGGTTGAGTCGGGACTCCGGACCTTCAGGTGTCACAGGTGCTCCTTCTCCATGTGTCCGCTGTCATTCCCCGGCACGACACCTCCCGGGCCGTCCTCCTCATAGATAGAACAGCTGTGGTCCTCCTCACCGGCTCAACCGCCACAACAGGAACCACAGGGTGCACACGTGGGTGGTGATCGGCACGGCATTCGTCCAATGGGAGGAAATAACTTAGTAAATAGACCAATGGGAGAGCAGCTACGTGGGACACGTGACGTTTGGTTTTCTTTCATGCTTTTTTCTTTTATTGATTTTTTAAACTTTGATGTAGATGTTTTTCACACAGCCGTACGGGATTTTCATTGACGTTTCTATGTCGCAAGACACCTTATTTCCATTATCATAAAGGAACAATTAATTAAACCGCTATTTTCTCACATCTTTAATAAAACAGGGTCTTTTGCAGCTGCATCAGGCAACCTCAATCCTTGCAAACATATGTATGCAAACACAACACACATATAGCATGTATAGTCAGGTTAAGTGAGATAAAAAAGAGACAAATTATTTGTGTGAAAACAAATCTGGCAGAATGAATTGAAACATCTTATACCACACAGCCTTACATAGAGAAATGTATTCTCAATGTCTTTACTTGGAAATAAAGTACCAGACAAGACGAGTGTTTCAAAGAAGAGGTGCAGATCACATTTTCGTTGAGGGGGTACCAGAGATTTAGAAGAATATCCTAAGAAACACTGATGTCTGGTCTCTATGCCATCAATTGGTCGCCTCGATGAATTTCGAGTGAATCCAGGTCTTTTCCTGCTGCTTTCCTCGATGCATCACATTTTCCCCAGTGGATTATCATGAGCTGCTTTAGTGTAACTCAATTTAATAAAAGCAGATAGTGAGGGTGATGTCATGTCTTTGATTCATTTCCAGTGGCACAACTGCCACTTAATCAAAACCACTTTAATCCAAAAGCTTGGAGTGCTCAATCCTGGTAATGGTCCAGTCTGGAGGCACACCCTTCGTGAACTCCCTTTGGAATCTGTCAGATAAGAAAAGGCCGATCAGTACCAATACCCAAATTCACACAGCGCTTAGGTATATTTAATATGAACCAGCCCTCCAGACAGAAATGATATGCTCACTCATAGTTTGCACTGAGGAGTCTCTTCGTTTCTGCCTCTCCTTCTCCACCGATGGCCACCTGGAAGACGCGGGTTCCTTCCAGGGTGTCTTCAGGAAGACGTGCATTTGTCAGATACCAGAAACGCATCAGAATGGTGACAAATTTTCTCCCTGGAAAAGAATAGTACTCACACTTAATAACCCTGGACCAGTAATGGGTCCATTTCAAACACAAAATATCTGGCTGTTCAGTCAGGTTTCTTCATTTTGTCCACAGTGAAGTTGCTTTATTTACTCCGGTCTGGGAATGGGCCATCGGTTCCTACGACAAGAGTACGTCACGACCTGCTGATCTACTGGGATTCTCACACACAACCATGTCTGGGTTTACAGAGAATGGTCCGAAAAGAGAAAATATACAGTGAGCATCAGTTGTGTGGACAGAAATGCCTTGTTGGTGCGAGAGGTCCGAGGAGAGTGGGCCTGCTGGTTGGAGATGATAGAAAGGCAGCAGGAACTCAAAGAACTACTCGTTACAACCAAGAAATACGCAGGAAACACATCTGAACCCACAACACGTGGATCCTTGAAGACGACGGGCTACAGCAGCAGAAGACACGCTGGGTTCCACTCGGTCAGCTAAGAACGGGCAACAGAGACTACTATTTGTAGACTCACCAAAATGGGACACGATTTCAGCTGCGACATTCAGGTGGTCGGGTCAGAATGTGGCGTAAACGACATGAAAGCATGGATCCATCCAGCCTTGTATCAACGGGTCTAGTGTGTGGGGGATATTTTCTTGGCACACTTTGGACCCCCTGATACCAAGTGAGCAGCGTTTAAATGGAGCAGCCTCCTGAGTATTGCTGCTGGCCACGTCCATCTCTTCATGACCACAGTGTAACATCTTCTGATGGCCACTTCCAGCAGCATAATGGACCACTTCACAAAGCTCACGTCATCGTCTCAAACTACTGTCTCGAACATGACAATGAGTCCTCTGTACTCCAAAGGCCTCCAATCACCACATCTCAATCCAATAGAGCACATTTGGGATGTGAGCGGGAGATTCATCATAGATGTGCAGCCGACAAATCTGCAGCAATGATGCTGTCGTGGCAATATGGACCAACACCTCTGAGGAATGTTGGATGTATGATACAAATAATTAAGGCAGTTCTGAAGGCAAAAGGGGTCCAACCTTTTACTAGCAAGGTGAACCTAAGTGGCCGGTGAGTGTATGTGTGTGTGTGTAGACAATCTTGGAGGTTAAGATGACATGCTGACCATCATCATCATAGTAGATCCCCACGTCTCCAGGTGTTGTGTACATGATGTCATCAGGATCTGCAGAGAGAGCTTTCTTGTGGCTCGATGGCAGCGCGTTGCATTTGTCCTCCAGCTTTGTAATCAACTGCATAGACAAAAACATGTGGTTCAACTTCAGCAGAGGGGTTACACTCTTTATATACACCAATCTTAGAACACTGTCCTTTTTAACAGGTAAACGTTTTTATTTTAAATTCCAGCTGTGCTCTGAAACACACAGATAGAGCAAAACACTTCTATAATTTAATGGATGAAGGAAATAGATACAGGAGTCAGGACTCTGCTAAACACAATTATGGATGGTAGAGAATCTGCTCTTAAAAGGGCTCATAAAACTCAAATTAAATAGACAATCCCTTTGAACTATTTATGATATTCAAATAGCTGTTGCGTGTTATTTGAATCTATAACATCTACAAAATCAGTACACACAGAAATATGAGTACATGTTTATTGTAAATGGGGATCAGCGAGAGACATTGAGTGGGATAAAAGGAGGAAGTTGCTCAGTCTTATGTTTTAATAAAGTGACACCAATATTAGGAGGCTGGATTTAAGGTGCTTCGGGTCACACCTAATATCCATTTTGTCATCTGCAATGCTTCTTTGATTCCGTTTCTAAAGCAGAAACTAACACAAAAGACTTCTCGATCAGAAAAATACTAAATGATAAATAAAAAAGCTTAGTTTCTAATTCACACCCCCCTCGCATAGTTTGAAGTTGTCTCAATGGCTTTTATACTTTGTTAATTGTGTGGCACATTATATCATGTCGAAAATAAAAAGGCAATAAAATGCAAATTGGTTAGTTGGTACATTATATTTAAACAGAAGTGTGGACCTGCTGGCTTCCCGTACTTACGTCCTTAGCCACGAGTCCTTCCAACGCTTCGAAGTGACACCGAGACAGCAGCCCGGAGACATGTGTGAAGGCCTGCGGGGGTCAACACAAGCACCTTCACGAGTCAACACAAGCACCATCACGAGTCAACACAAGCACCTTCACGAGTCAACACAAGCACCTTCACGAGTCAACACAAGCACCTCACTGTGGTGTGTGAGGTCCTAATGGCCAATACATCCCGTCCAATGAATGAAGTTGTGTCACAGCATTCGTCCCCCGGTCTGTACTCACCTGCTTCGCTCCATCCGCGAACTCTTCGATGTTGAACTCGTTATCAAAGTAAGCCCGGATCAGAAAGTAGTAGATTCTGGTGCGGAACCAGATAAACGGATTGGGGAGGCCGAAGACCACCACCTTCTGGTTCTGGTTCTGTCCCCCGCGGTCGGAGCTGTACGGGCGGACCGTTTCTACCACAGCGGCCGGGGACGGACAAGGTAGCGGTCGTTTACCGGACCGGTTCAGGATGACACTTTCATTGAAACACAGACGAGTAAAGCTTAACGTTGATGGAAACCTCTGACAACCTCTTAATATGGGCAGCGCCATTTTCCCCCCTCGGAAGCTGGTCCGTGTGCTTGTAACTTCCGGCGAGGAACAACCCGCAAATAGTCAGAATGCAGATAGAAATCTAACACCATCGTGAGAATATGATTATTTAGTGTATCCAGCAATCATGGACATTATTCTTTAACTAACGTTCCGTTATCCTTTTTTTTGTATAGCCGACCTTTATTTAGTAATATCCTGTTTCTACACGGAACATTAACAATGTAACACCCCGTCAACTTACGATCTGTTTACTTTCAGCAGCTCGTGATATTTTAGCGCAAATCAAGTGAAATGGAGCTGCAGGAAAGAATACCTGTTCGGATATTTACAGAAGTAGATAAGGACGTGTTTCTGCGAGACATCTACCCGCAGGTAAGCTGCAGGAACACGGGACTCAACCTTCGTCCGGCCGGAACGTAGTTCCACAAACCGCCCCACGGAGGGCTGCGTGCGGCGGGGCACAAGGCAGCGACCCGCCGCACGTCTCACGGTGATGCGATAGACTCCAGTACATGTTGTTTCAAATACGTGTTAGAATACAGATTTACCAATGTTATTAAATTAAAAATGTATGTCTTAATATGTTGGTGTGTTGCTATATTTTCAAATAGGATATATTTTTAAATTACTCAGAATTTAGCTTAGTGATTTGGTGCGTAACCCATTGAGTCAAATTTAATTTATATGTTACAATTGTTGAAACGGCCCTTTGAGTTATGCATAATACTGTGAATGTTGTTCCCAGCGCAAACCGGCTGTCCTGAGAGGCTCGTGTCTGGGACCATGTCTGCAGAAGTGGACGGTGGAGTATCTGAGAGACAGAGGGGGGGACAAGGAGGTTAAGATCCACGTCTCCGCTCAGCCACAGATGGACTTCCTCCACAAAAACTTTGCATACAAGTGAGCTCTCTCTCTCTCTCTCTCTCTCTCTCTCTCTCTCTCTCTCTCTCTCTCTGTGTCTGTCTCTCTCAGTCTGTCTGTCTCTCCCCACGATGCTCAGCTACAGCTCTTCATTTACAGGACTCTGCCATTCAAAGAGTTTGTGAAAAGGGCATCTGAAAGGAAGCACTCTGACTTCTTCTTGTGTGAGGTAAAGATCAGAAGAAAACGTACCTATATGCATTTGTTTAACAGTATTTTGTGTCTTTTAATGACTTTCCTTGATATCAGGATGAGAGCTATTATCTTCGATCCCTGGGAGAGGACGTTCGAAAGGTATGACGAAGACATCTGAAATTTGTGAACATGCGGCATTAAGTTTTGTCCCCTCAGAGACATTTGTTTTGTATTTATATGGCAAAAGATTTTGACCAAGAATATAAATGTCTCTCATAGGAGCCGGCCGATCTGAGTAAACAGTTCCCGGACTTGGCGGAAGATTTTCACATCCCACAGTATTTTGAACCCCATCAGTTCTTCTCCAGTGTCTTCCGTATCAGCTCCTGTGGTCTGCAGCTGTGGACGCACTACGACGTGAGCGTCCCGCGAGTAGTCTCTCTGCTCGTCTTCCTCCTTGCGTCTTTTATTTGTCGCCTGTCTATTGTTTTATTTATATATATATATATATATATATTAGCGTCTTGCCATATTATATTGTATTATATATATATATAATAATAATTGTATTGGTGCGATATATGCTGTCCTCACTAAAAGTTGTTTGAAGAAAACCTTTTTCTAGCTATACAGCTTGACATAGATTTTCCAGTACCGTATTCTCCAAGGAACAGAAAGGTTGTTGTTTGGAAGGATTTAATGCAGAAAAATGTGGTTTTGTAAAACTGAAAAGAGCAAGTACAAATGATCTATCAGGAACCAAAGGCTGTTAGCAGAAACCCGATATGGGTAGTTCATTACATATAACAACACAGTGCATTCTGTTTACCTTGGGGCAAAGATGTAATAACCACATAACACACTCACATGTAGTTCACAGAGAACCAACCTCGTGACTTATTGTAGTGGAACTTCACAAATATCAACATAAAGCACAGGGTTATGAAGATTGTCAGCAAAGATGCTAACTCTGAGTTCATGGGCACGATAAACTTCCGGTACCTCACTGCCTGTACGTCCCTTGTCATTCTGACCAGTCGCGAGCTCGTCGGTGCAGCAATCAACATTGGCCACTAGGTGTCAGTGTAGAACACACAGATCAAACAGCGTAGTGGTTCCAATACGCGATACTTTGACCTCCCTCTGAAAGGAGATACACTAGAAGCCGCCAGTAAGCTCCCTCTCTTCTGATATTTGTGGCTCGTTCCTTCAGGTGATGGACAACCTGCTGGCTCAGGTGACTGGGAGGAAGAGAGTGGCGCTCTACAGCCCCCAAGATGCACTGCACCTCTACTTGTCAGGCAAGTGTCTGTGTGAAGATGCCAGTTTGTTTGATGGCTCAAAATCTGTTGTTTCAACCCTCTTTCTTATTCAACTCTAATATTGAATTCATTCAACTGGAGGCATGTTTTTTGTGTGTTTCATGGTTTATAAAATATAAACACTAAAAAGTGCAGCTTTTTATTTTAATTCTACCTATCAGGGTCTAAATCCGAGGTACTGGACATCGAATGCCCAGACCTGAATCAGTTTCCTGAGTTTGTGAAAGCAAAAAGATACGAGTGTGTGCTGGAGCCCGGGGATCTGCTCTTCATCCCTGGTAAGTAACGCTGCCGTCCCACCTGCCATGTACAGTATGTTCTGTCACCCTGTCATGCTTATCGCGGGAAATGTGGCTCCCAAGACCTGTTGGAGGCCTAACAAAGCCCACACCTCCCTGACTTGGTTTCCCCCGCTTTCCTCAGCCCTGTGGTTCCACAACACGCTGGCTCTGCAGTTCGGAGTGGGCGTCAACGTGTTCTGGCGCCACCTGCCAGCCAACAGCTACGATCAAAAGGACCCGTACGGTAACAAGGACCCCGTCGCCGCGACTCGAGCCCTTCAGGCGCTGGAGAAGGCGCTGTGCGCTCTGGACCAGCTGCCAGAAGATTATCGTGACTTTTACGGCCGCCGGATGGTCCAACGCGTCCAAAAGCGGACGTACTGCGATGACCCGTCCAGCACAATTACGCAGGACACGTTACTCAGATGAGGGTAGAGAGAAATAAACCAGTAAAACATCTGTGTGGCACTGATGTCATGGTTTAATTAGTTTGGCTTCTGGAGCACGTGGAAGTTTAAATGACTAAAAACATCAAGAAGTGATGCATTTAAAAAAATACTTTATGGTCTGTCTGACTCTAGAGGGGCCGTCATTTAATAAATGAAAATCATGCTGTATTGATGAAGACAGAAACTAGAGGTTAAGACCATAAAGTCATGTTTACAATGTTTACTGAGAGAATAAATAAAGTAAGTCATTTCCTCATATACCTCTATACAACCAGACTTCTCTGCAAAAGGAGGAGTTTGTTTAATATAAGGACATGTTATGAAACATGTTCTATAGGGAATATATCTTTAAACATTCTACACTGTAACATTCTATACTGTTGGGCCTGCTGCACCCGCCTAATCCAGACAGTTAAAATCATATAATTACTGCACACATTAACATCCTGCCACAATGTCACATTGAGACCTGGGGACGGAGTCTTGTATGAATTTCTTCCAATTTTTCCAAGTTAATTGGGAGTTTTTTCTCCTGTCAGGGAGTAGATGAGCAAAGGATGTACGACAGCTCTGCGAGGCAAACATTCTGATTTTGGACCATATAGAACTGAGTTAAACACAATATGTGATGATTATGTGTTATTATTAAAGTGTACTAGCTGTTAGATGATATTATGCATGTTATGTTTACATGAAGAAGCCTAAGACAAAGGCGTGATCGTTGATTGTATTGTATTGAAGGTCAGTGAGGGATTTCAGATGGAGCCAGGGGGGAGTCATGTGATGCAGTGGAGCAGAAAATAATTCACGAGGGAGGAGCTTTGTAAATCAGTTATTAAATTCTTTATCATTTTTAAACTCGAGTCAGTTGACTTTTTATGACCTCTCGTCTCTGACGGCCCGAGAGTAACAGTAGTGATCCTTGTTCAGAAGTTCAGAACTCGAGCGGATGCATTGCTATGCTGGAATATGCTTATCCAGGCGTAGCAGATGTTATCGAAGTCGGCGGCCCCGCTATCGGGGGTTCCGGGCCTCGACCCGACAGACGTTGTAGAGCACGTTCCAGTTGACGCAGAGCAGAGACGGAGAAACAAACAACTGGAAGAACCGAAGCAGCAGCATCCTTACGCGGCGGGGTCCTCTCCCAGGAAGCAGCGGTTGTGCAGCTGGACCCTCATCACCCCCGAAGATGTGCACGACAAACATGTAGAGGCAGAGCACGTTAGCCAGCATGGGGAGGATGATCAGGAGCGCTGACACGACGTCACGCATACCTGCAAGGATGAAGACAAAAGATGATTGAGTTGTAATTTTGGACTAAAATAATCAATTCTGCACCAGATAACTGACCTTCATTCTTCTGAATGAACCTAATAACGTTATTTCTCAAATGTAATGAAAACAGATAATTGTAAAGAAAAGTCTGCTTCGGGAGGATTATCGAATGAATCCACAACAATAGAGTCAGGTTAAACGCTGCAAACCAAAAAACTCCATTCACGGAGGTGGACTTACTCGCTAAGTCAAAGCGAGGGGACAAACGGGGAGGAGGTATTCTCTGATCGCTTCACATGCAAAATGTGAATGTACACACATTCTAACACTTAGAAGCTGCTAGGCTATCTCAACATGGACCCTGCCTCAGTGGTGCAGTCTACGTGATACTGCCCCATACGGTGAAAAGGTGAAGGATTTCCGTTTACCCACTAACAATAATGCAATGATACACACCCCTCCCCCGTCCACATGTATGAACCTTTGGCCTTGTTTTTCTCTGCAGAGGTTGAGCGAGAGCATTAGTGTTACGTAACATTCCCCTGTTGGGACTCTCACCTCCCCTCCTCACTCAGAACACGTTCCACTTACCACACTCTCACTCATGGAAGCAAACTGAATTTTAGGACTTTTCAAACGTTATCATGATTTTTCAAGCGCTTTTTGATTGTATGGACTTTACCAGCTGGTTGCTGGTGACTTTAGCTGCGTTACTTGTGACGGATGTGGTCAGAAACTGGAGACCACACAACTTTCCACCAGGACCGTGGGCGCTGCCTTTTCTAGGAAACATCTTCACAGGACTGGACTTCCAATCAATAAATAAGGTGAGGTGCACAGAACCACTTTGTTCTTCTAGAGTGGAGTAAGGAAGGATCCATGGTTACTGGAGTGGAAACTAGTGGGTAATGCTTGATTTGAGAAATCAAAAGTATCTTAAGCTTGTTGTCTCAATCACATTTATCACAGAGTAGCATATAGAAAAACAATAAAGAATACACAAAATCATCCAGCACAAGCCATATGCACAGACAGCGGTCCAATTCAGCTGGGGGACGGCCTTCCTTCTCCCTTAGAAGAGCGGGAAGATCTGACGAGCTTATTGGTGTAAAGAGAAGCTTTTAATACACATCAGAGCTCCACGTTGCCCACACAGAAGGCAACCGGGAAAAATGAGCTGCACATGTTCATTCTTCGACTCCTCGCGCCTCCTCTCTCCGTATGACTGTGAGCAGAAAGTGTTTAACAGAAAGATACACAAACCATAATTGAGGATAACTGCGCTTCCAGCTCTGGTGACACTGAGCCGTCGTGAACTGAAGAGGCCACAGAGAAACCAAGAGAACACACGGTGTGCATGAAAAACAGAGGAGGGCAAAAAGAATGACAATAAATACACAACACTACCAAATGGTTGCATCTGTAAAGTGCTTTCTGTCTACTGTTTTAAAGGCTCTATGCAACAACTCTTTGGATCAACAATCAGATAATTAGGGGGAAACTGGGGTCAGTACATTAAAAAGTGTTGCTGATCTATTAGTTGTAAAAATCACAGGCACATGTATCAGAGGTGACAGCAGTGCGATACTCATTTCCCACCAGTGGTTTCAGTGTCATGTTCCCTCAGTGTTTATGCAATCTCATCTTCTTAAGGACTTCCAATAAGCTGTTCGCAAATTCGAAGAAAGACAAAGGTCTTTGTGAGAAGTTCCCTCCCTTGAAACGTGATCGGTTCCTTTGGATGCAGCTTGCTGAGCAGTACGGTCCAGTGTTCAGCTTGAGGAAAGGCAGCACGAGGATGGTGTTTGTCTCCGGCTACAAGATGGTCAAAGAGGCTCTCGTCAACCAGATGGACAGCTTTGTTGATCGACCGGTTGTTCCTCTCTTCCACAAAACCTTCAAGGGGATTGGTGAGTGAACACAAACGATTGAGTGTGTGGGACAGAACATGCCTTTCCGGGCTAAAACAACATCTCTTCATGTCCTATGGATGTCGTGTTGACTTTGATTGTTCGGGCTTGTGCTTGCCTTAACTGTGGTTTGAGATAATGTTCCCACAGGTATAGCTATGAGCAATGGTTACCTCTGGAAGCAGCAGAGGAAGTTTGCCAACACTCACCTGCGTTACTTTGGAGAGGGTCAGAGGTCGCTGGAAAAATACATTCAGGTTGAAAGCGAGTTCTTGTGTGAAGCTTTCAAAGAGGAACAAAGTAAGTAATGATTCATCTGTTAGGACACATGCTTTACATCCGACAATGTTCCTCATCACATGAGTGTCGTTCATCGTACTCCCAGGAGGACCGTTCAATCCCCACTACACCATAACGACCGCAGTGGGCAACATCATCTCCTCTGTGGTCTTTGGACAGCGCTTTGAATACAGCGATCCGAGCTTTCGAACAGTTCTGGAGCTGGACAATGAGGCCGTCCTGCTCGCCGGCTCTCCTCTGGTTCAGGTATCTCCCTGATCCGTCTCCACTATCACGTTGTGGATCACAAACTAGATGTCAGTCAGGCCGGAGCCGGGGAGGAGGACAAGGACGCAGAGAGGTTTGACTGCTAGAGATTTATTCCAATAATTCCTATATCTAATAATACCAAATACAAAGATCCTTTCATAAACACAACACTAACGCGGGTGTGGACATGCACAACTACAAGACACACTGGCACAGGACAAAGGGAGACGCAGACAATAAGTATCCATGAGGGAGGTGAGGGAACACGTGGAGACAACAAGGAATCAGGGGAGACAATCGACAGGAGACACCTGAGGAAGGGCAAGGCACCTAAAACGAGAGGGGGTTTAGACGCCACAATAAAACAGGAAGTATCAAAATCAGACGTAAGACGGGACACAAACACAAACTTCACCAACATGTATGACACCAGACTGCCGTGCATAACTTGAGTTCGTGCCATCCACAGCTGTATGATGTGTACCCCAGCTTACTGGACCACCTGCCAGGACCTCACCAGACTCTCCACGGAAACTACAGGGAGATCATGGCTTTCCTGGCAAAGCAAGTAGAGAAGCACCGGGAAGAGTGGAACCCTGAGGACCCCCGGGACTTTATTGACGTATACCTGGCAGAGATGGAAAAGGTGAGGTACTGACTCTGATAGTCTTTTGATAAGCTTCCTAGTATCCTGGCAGATGGTTAATAATCGCCAGGTGCCAATATGACACTAAAGGTGGAGCTGCACCGACGATCTAGTGACGCGGTGGTGGATGCCATTGCGTCCAGTCTCACAATTGGAACATGGTGATGGAACAAAACACGGAAGGTTCTGCCTGACTCGGCATCTGTTCCAGCTATTTTTTTAGTTCAACATGACTAGAAATTTGGCCCACATGTGCTCTTTAACATGCTCTACACAAAGGTCAATAACGGTATTTAAAGGCACCTAATTAGATTTTACGCCATTTTGAATTTTGTCAAAAACACATTTTTGCCCATTTATTGTAAATGCTGTGTCCGATTCTCACAAAACCTTCTGTGGATCATTATTGGTTCAAAATCCCCCTAAATCTAGTTTATTTCTCATTGTTTTGAGAAGAGGGTCTAATGGGTGGGGCTTATTATGGCAAGACACATATCTTCCAAATTACTTGGCCTGCCCTCACCAAATGTATGGCATATGTGTATATTGCACCTCTAAACCTACCCTAATTTTTCTATAATATTTAAAGATAGGGGGCGCTGCAGTTGATCGTTGAATATCTGCATTTTTTGCACATTTTTTGCCCATTTTCATTGTTTTTTGGAGTTGTAAAAACCCAATTCTTTTCAAATAGTGTGACCTTGAGACCTTTGCCGTTACAAATCGCATAAAATATTTGTTTTTGTTGTATTAGAGCATTTGAGCAGAGCACGCTATATGATCCAACTTTTCCAGAAAAAGGAGGATCCCCAGGCGGGCTTTAACATTGAAAGCCTGCTGGTTTGCACTCTCGACCTGATTGAGGCTGGGACCGAATCATCTTCCACCACTTTACGCTGGGCCCTCGTCTACATGATGCACCACCCAGAGATACAAGGTTAGCTACCTACCAATCACATTGAGCACAGCGTATTCTCATAAACACTATTGATGGTTGCATAATGTTCGTGGCTCTGCTTCCTTCCTCAGAGAAAGTCCAGGCGGAGATCGACCGAGTGATTGGAGAGTCTCGTCAGCCCGCCGCGGCCGACCGACCCAACCTGCCCTTTACAGACGCCGTCATCCACGAGATTCAAAGGATGGGGAACATCGTTCCTTTGGGTTTCCCCAAAATGGCCACTAAAGACGCTACACTGGGAGGATATTTAATACCCAAAGTAAAAGATTATTTACCAGACTCACTCAGGTATAAATGACCAGTTATTTACACATGATAGTAACCTCTCAAGCTTTTTTTTTCCAGGGTACAAGTCTGACGACAGCTCTGGGATCTGTGCTGTTTGACAAGAATGAGTGGGCGACTCCTGAAAACTTCAATCCTGAGCATTTCTTGGATTCAGAGGGAAAGTTCCGCAGAAGAGAGGCCTTCCTACCGTTTTCTGCAGGTTTGCACAACACACCTTCAGGGATGCATAGCACTAAAAGCCAGTGGAATTTTTCCGTTGGCTTTTCCGGATAATGGGACAAAATAAGCTTGGTGGCAACACAAACGGTTATGATACGTTCACCTTTTGTTCAGCAAGATGATCTTCACAAATGAAAAAATACACTTAGGATTTTTGAAAGCGTGAATGCAATCAACAGAAGTAAAAACGCTGTAAAGAAACAACACTGTTAATGTGAGTGTAAAGCATGAGGCCTGATAGTTTCATTTTGCTTCATTTAAGACTTTAAATTTGCGGTTTAGCGGTCTAACCTGAAGCTGGTTCCCCTTAGGTAAACGTGCGTGTGTAGGAGAACATCTGGCCAGGATGGAGCTGTTCCTTTTCTTTACGTCTCTGCTCCAGCGCTTCACCTTCTCTCCTGTTCCTGGAGAGATGCCCAGCCTGCACGGAATTCTGGGCTTCACCTATTCCCCCCAAGAGTTCCGCATCCTGGCTGAGCCTCGCTGAATTGCTCCCCCTGCTACTGCTGACCGCAGTATCCCCACGTTCTCTCTGACACAAGAGTTTTGTGGATTTTAAGCAGAAGTGTTAGAATTGTAGTTTGTGTGTTATTAGATATTAGTTATTATATTAGTATGCAATATGAGTTAAACAAGTCATTTAATTACTGTACAAGAGGGTTTTTTGAAAGTTTTCTCCTGTCAGGACATTTAGGAGCAGAGGATGTAGGACAGCCCTACAGGGCCACTGTTTTGATTTTGGACCATATAAACGGAGATAAACATAATGGTTAAAATGTGATCGACTGTGATGATTCAATATGTGGTATTATTAAAGTGTACTAGCTATTAGATGACACTCAATATTATGCATGCTTTGTTTACATAAAGAAGCATTAAGCGAAAGGTCTGATCATTGAATGTCTTGTAATATTATGTGAATGGCCATCGGTTGGGTCAGGGAGGGAGTACAGATTCGGCCATCAGATAGAGATCAGGGAGATAAATGGATGGAAGCAGAAAGGAGGGAGGAGCTACGTTTGAACGTGCAGCAAATCACATACGGCTGCAAAATGATTGACACACCCGTGAGATTCAAATAGACTGTACTGGGGAGAGACAGAATCTGTGGAGATACATGATTAGAGGTCGCAATCGACTGTGTATTTTGCAAAATATTATGCTATTCATACCGCTTCTGTTTATTATTAAAATTCGTTTTGAATTTTAAACTCGAGCCAGTGGATTTTTTTTTACTTTTCACCTCCGGCAGGGCGAAGGGAATGAGGAGCTGAGCCTTTGCTCTGCTGTTGGACCGCACACGAGACAATCGAATGTAGCAGTATGGAAAATGGATTGTCCTGCTACACTTAACTGCTAGGGCGGCGGTAGTATATAAAGGCTGGCCCCTTCTCGCGCCCCACTGATGCATCATTTCCGGGTCAGGTGTTTGTCTGCGCAGAGTAGCGACAGAGTGCACCGTGCTCCTTTTTGCTCTTGGTTCCTCTCAACCGGTGGTAAGTGTTCTCCCTCTCCGTGTTAGACCGAACAATATTCTGTAGCTAACGTTATTGTGGTCACAGGTAGATGTCTTCCTGCCGTGTGGGTCTTTCTCTCCCTCCCTCTCCCTGTGCAGGTTTGACCTGGGAAACAGGTACGTGACTTTAAAACTAGCTTCCAAAAAGCTTTGACATGTAGCTTGGCAATGCTAACTTTATGTTCATTGACAGGGAATGCTCATCAGCTGGCCGAAGTCCACAGGTGATGATTGATGTGACAGCACTCAGTTGATTGGGGCCACTGCTGCTTTGACTGCAACTTTGCTTTGACTGCTGCTTGGTCTTCTGCTACATGTAACCTTGTCTGTAACTGTCTGCACTGTTAAATGCTGCTAAGTGCACAGTTTGGTCTCCGCCGCGACGTACCTAGCATGTCTATTGCCGGCACCAGACTTGGACCTGTGTAGTTTTTGATTCTAGCTGACTGAGTAGTTAATCCTTTAGTTTGTATTTCTTTTGGTTTGTTTCCCTTATTTTATTTGTTTGGGTTACGTGAATTGTTTGATTAGGATGATTTTTTATGTGAATTATTTTCTTTTTCTGTTTTGTGTTGTAAATTTTTGGTTTAATTCTCTTGTAACCTTCTTTTTTTGTTATCCTTCCTAGCGGCTGTAGGCTGGTGGTGGCGCCGGTGGTGTGGGTGGTGGTGGTCTTCCTCGTGTGTCGTGTCCCATTGGATTTTTGAGCTATCACTGGGTGAACTCTGGTTTGTTTTCTCGAAGTTTGTTTTATTAATTTTCCTTCCCCTTCACCGGCGCTTCTCACCATTAGGCCTTAGCAATTAGTTTTCTTTTCTTGTTTTGTGATAAATATTAGATTTTATGGTAACGTGTATTTATTAAATAAAAATGCTTTTGTAAACTGGGAACCGGCGTTGTCGGTAGGATAGGAAACCATTACGCCACACAATTATCACATATCTGACTCATAATTGAAACTAGTTTTCATCAGATTATCCCAAAAGACAATCACCATGTCTCTAATCACCCAAGTTTTAAGTCAAAGACGACTGGACTTCATCCCTTTTCCAGCCCAGTTGATCAATTACTAAATGGGCCAACTGGACTCCTACAAGCAAAGAGATGCAAAGCATTGTAACACCCAGACACCTCCTCCCTGTGTGCCACTGCCTTCTGTGATTGCAAGCCCCACCCCTATATTTTCCACCTGTGTCTCGTTCTCCTGTGTATTTAGTCTGTGCCAACAGCTTGTTCTGTGCCAGTTTGTTGCTTTCTTCCAATGAGCTTACCAGCGATTCTCCATTGCTATGCTGGAATATGCTTATCCAGGCGTAGCAGATGTTATCGAAGTCGGCGGCCCCGCTATCGGGGGTTCCGGGCCCCGACCCGACAGACGTTGTAGAGCACGTTCCAGTTGACGCAGAGCAGAGACGGAGAAACCAACAACTGGAAGAACCGAAGCAGCAGCATCCTTACGCGGCGGGGTCCTCTCCCAGGAAGCAGCGGTTGTGCAGCTGGACCCTCATCACCCCCGAAGATGTGCACGACAAACATGTAGAGGCAGAGCACGTTAGCCAGCATGGGGAGGATGATCAGGAGCGCTGACACGACGTCACGCATACCTGCAAGGATGAAGACAAAAGATGATTGAGTTGTAATTTTGGACTAAAATAATCAATTCTGCACCAGATAACTGACCTTCATTCTTCTGAATGAACCTAATAACGTTATTTCTCAAATGTAATGAAAACAGATAATTGTAAAGAAAAGTCTGCTTCGGGAGGATTATCGAATGAATCCACAACAATAGAGTCAGGTTAAACGCTGCAAACCAAAAAACTCCATTCACGGAGGTGGACTTACTCGCTAAGTCAAAGCGAGGGGACAAACGGGGAGGAGGTATTCTCTGATCGCTTCACATGCAAAATGTGAATGTACACACATTCTAACACTTAGAAGCTGCTAGGCTATCTCAACATGGACCCTGCCTCAGTGGTGCAGTCTACGTGATACTGCCCCATACGGTGAAAAGGTGAAGGATTTCCGTTTACCCACTAACAATAATGCAATGATACACACCCCTCCCCCGTCCACATGTATGAACCTTTGGCCTTGTTTTTCTCTGCAGAGGTTGAGCGAGAGCATTAGTGTTACGTAACATTCCCCTGTTGGGACTCTCACCTCCCCTCCTCACTCAGAACACGTTCCACTTACCACACTCACTCATAGAAGCAAACTGAATTTTAGGACTTTTCCAACATCGTTATGATTTTTCAAGCGCTTTTTGAATGTATGGACTTTACCAGCTGGTTGCTGGTGACTTTAGCTGCGTTACTTGTGACGGATGTGGTCAGAAACTGGAGACCACACAACTTTCCACCAGGACCGTGGGCGCTGCCTATTCTAGGAAACATCTTCACAGGACTGGACTTCCAATCAATAAATAAGGTGAGGTGCACAGAACCACTTTGTTCTTCTAGAGTAAGGAAGGATCCATGGTTAATGGAGTGGAAACTAGTGGGTTATGCTTGATTTGAGAAATCAAAAGTATCTTAAGCTTGTCTCAATCATATTTATTACAGAGTAGCATATAGAAAAACAAAGAATACACAAAATCATCCAGCACAAGCCATATGCACAGACAGCGGTCCAATTCAGCTGGGGGACGGCCTTCCTTCTCCCTTAGAAGAGCGGGAAGATCTGACGAGCTTATTGGTGTAAAGAGAAGCTTTTAATACACATCAGAGCTCCACGTTGCCCACACAGAAGGCAACCGGGAAAAATGAGCTGCACATGTTCATACTTCGACTCCTCGCGCCTCCTCTCTCCGTATGACTGTGAGCAGAAAGTGTTTAACAGTAAGATACACAAACCATAATTGAGGATAACTGCGCTTCCAGCTCTGGTGACACTGAGCCGTCGTGAACTGAAGAGGCCACAGAGAAACCAAGAGAACACACGGTGTGCACGAAAAACAGAGGAGGGCAAAAAGAATGACAATAAATACACAACACTACCAAATGGTTGCATCTGTAAAGTGCTTTCTGTCTACTGTTTTAAAGGCTCTATGCAACAACTCTTTGGATCAACAATCAGATAATTAGGGGGAAACTGGGGTCAGTACATTAAAAAGTGTTGCTGATCTATTAGTTGTAAAAATCACAGGCACATGTATCAGAGGTGACAGCAGTGCGATACTCATTTCCCACCAGTGGTTTCAGTGTCATGTTCCCTCAGTGTTTATGCAATCTCATCTTCTTAAGGACTTCCAATAAGCTGTTCGCAAATTCGAAGAAAGACAAAGGTCTTTGTGAGAAGTTCCCTCCCTTGAAACGTGATCGGTTCCTTTGGATGCAGCTTGCTGAGCAGTACGGTCCAGTGTTCAGCTTGAGGAAAGGCAGCACGAGGATGGTGTTTGTCTCCGGCTACAAGATGGTCAAAGAGGCTCTCGTCAACCAGATGGACAGCTTTGTTGATCGACCGGTTGTTCCTCTCTTCCACAAAACCTTCAAGGGGATTGGTGAGTGAACACAAACGATTGAGTGTGTGGGACAGAACATGCCTTTCCGGGCTAAAACAACATCTCTTCATGTCCTATCGATGTCGTGTTGACTTTGATTGTTCGGGCTTGTGCTTGCCTTAACTGTGCTTTGCGATAATGTTCCCACAGGTATAGCTTTGAGCAATGGTTACCTCTGGAAGCAGCAGAGGAAGTTTGCCAACACTCACCTGCGTTACTTTGGAGAGGGTCAGAGGTCGCTGGAAAAATACATTCAGGTGGAAAGCGAGTTCTTGTGTGAAGCTTTCAAAGAGGAACAAAGTAAGTAATGATTCATCTGTTAGGACACATGCTTTACATCCGACAATGTTCATCATCACCTGAGTGTCGTTCATCGTACTCCCAGGAGGACCGTTCAATCCCCACTACACCATAACGACCGCAGTGTGCAACATCATCTCCTCTGTGGTCTTTGGACAGCGCTTTGAATACAGCGATCAGACCTTTCGAACGGTTCTGGAGCTGGACAATGAGGCCGTCCTGCTCGCCGGCTCTCCTCTGGTTCAGGTATCTCCCTGATCCGTCTCCACTATCACGTTGTGGATCACAAACTAGACTGCCGTCCATAACTTGAGTTCGTGCCATCCACAGCTGTATGATGTGTACCCCAGCTTACTGGACCACCTGCCAGGACCTCACCAGACTCTCCACAGAAACTACAGGGAGATCATGGCTTTCCTGGCAAAGCAAGTAGAGAAGCACCGGGAAGAGTGGAACCCTGAGGACCCCCGGGACTTTATTGACGTATACCTGGCAGAGATGGAAAAGGTGAGGTACTGACTCTGATAGTCTTTTGTTAAGCTTCCTGGTATCCTGGCAGATGGTTAATAATCGCCAGGTGCCAATATGACACTAAAGGTGGAGCTGCACCGACGATCTAGTGACGCGGTGGTGGATGCCATTGCGTCCAGTCTCACAATTGGAACATGGTGATGGAACAAAACACGGAAGGTTCTGCCTAACTCGGCATCTGTTCCAGCTATTTTTTTTAGTTCAACATGACTAGAAATTTGGCCCACATGTGCTCTTTAACATGCTCTACACAAAGGTCAATAACGGTATTTAAAGGCACCTAATTAGATTTTACGCCATTTTGAATTTTGTCAAAAACACATTTTTGCCCATTTATTGTAAATGCTGTGTCCGATTCTCACAAAACCTTCTGTGGATCATTATTGGTTCAAAATCCCCCTAAATCTAGTTTATTTCTCATTGTTTTGAGAAGAGGGTCTAATGGGTGGGGCTTATTATGGCAAGACACATATCTTCCAAATTACTTGGCCTGCCCTCACCAAATGTATGGCATATGTGTATATTGCACCTCTAAACCTACCCTAATTTTTCTATAATATTTAAAGATAGGGGGCGCTGCAGTTGATCGTTGAATATCTGCATTTTTTGCACATTTTTTGCCCATTTTCATTGTTTTTTGGAGTTGTAAAAACCCAATTCTTTTCAAATAGTGTGACCTTGAGACCTTTGCCGTTACAAATCGCATAACATTTTTTGTTGTTGTTCTATTAGAGCATTTGAGCAGAGCACGCTATATGATCCAACTTTTCCAGAAAAAGGAGGATCCCCAGGCGGGCTTTAACATTGAAACCCTGCTGGTTTGCACTCTCGACCTGATTGAGGCTGGGACCGAATCATCTTCCACCACTTTACGCTGGGCCCTCGTCTACATGATGCACCACCCAGAGATACAAGGTTAGCTACCTACCAATCACATTGAGCACAGCGTATTCTCATAAACACTATTGATGGTTGCATAATGTTCGTGGCTCTGCTTCCTTCCTCAGAGAAAGTCCAGGCGGAGATCGACCGAGTGATTGGAGAGTCTCGTCAGCCCGCCGCGGCCGACCGACCCAACCTGCCCTTTACAGACGCCGTCATCCACGAGATTCAAAGGATGGGGAACATCGTTCCTTTGGGTTTCCCCAAAATGGCCACTAAAGACGCTACACTGGGAGGATATTTAATACCCAAAGTAAAAGATTATTTACCAGACTCACTCAGGTATAAATGACCAGTTATTTACACATGATAGTAACCTCTCAAGCTTTTTTTTTCCAGGGTACAAGTCTGACGACAGCTCTGGGATCTGTGCTGTTTGACAAGAATGAGTGGGCGACTCCTGACAACTTCAATCCTGAGCATTTCTTGGATTCAGAGGGAAAGTTCCGCAGAAGAGAGGCCTTCCTACCGTTTTCTGCAGGTTTGCACAACACACCTTCAGGGATGCATAGCACTAAAAGCCAGTGGAATTTTTCCGTTGGCTTTTCCGGATAATGGGACAAAATAAGCTTGGTGGCAACACAAACGGTTATGATACGTTCACCTTTTGTTCAGCAAGATGATCTTCACAAATAAAAAAATACACTTAGGATTTTTGAAAGCGTGAATTACATTACATTACATGTCATTTAGCGGACGCTTTTATCCAAAGCGACGTACAATAAGTGCATTCAACCATAGGGTACAAACTCAGGAAAACAAGAAAGTGCAATTTCCTCAAATAGGCCAATTTACAATTTGCTATAGATGAGTGACGTTACAAGTACAATTTAAGTGCTACAATTTGTTAGTCCTTTAGTCGAGGTAGAGTCTGAAGAGGTGTGTCTTTAGTTTGCGGCGAAAGATGTGAAGGCTCTCTGCGGTCCTGGTGTCTTCAGAGAGCTCGTTCCACCATTTCGGCGCAAGGACAGCAAAGAGTCGAGATCTAGTCGAGTGTTTTGCTCTCAGTGAGGGAGGGACGAGTAGTTTTGCAGATGCAGAGCGGAGAGTGCGGGTTGGGATGTAGGGTTTGACCATGTCCTTGATGTAAGCTGTACCCGATCCATTCACAGCATGGTACGTGAGCACCAATGTTTTGAACTGGATGCGGGCGGCCACCGGTAGCCAGTGAAGAGAGCGGAGGAGTGGAGTAGTGTGGGAGAATTTCGGAAGGTTGACGACCAGTCGAGCTGCTGCATTCTGAATGAGCTGCAGAGGTCGAATGGCGGTGGCAGGGAGGCCAGCCAGGAGGGAGTTGCAGTAGTCCAGGCGGGAGATGACAAGAGCCTGAATCAGTACCTGCGCTGCCTTCTGAGTGAGAAGGGGACGTATTCTCCTGATGTTGTAGAGCGTGTATCTACAGGATCGTGTTGTCGCGGTGATGTTGGGAGTCAGGGAGAGTTGGCTGTCGAGTGTGACGCCAAGGTTCTTAGCGGTCAATGTGGGCGTTAGTACGGAGTTTCCAAAGTTGACTGTCAGGTCCTGGGTAAGCAAATCTTTTCCGGGAAAGAGAAGTAGTTCAGTCTTGTCGGGGTTGATTTTCAGATGGTGGGCGGACATCCACTGAGAGATGTCAGTTAGACAGGCAGAGATCCGAGCCGCCACCTGGGTGTCCAAGTGAGGGAAGGAGAGAATTAGTTGGGTGTCATCGGCATAGCTGTGGTAAGAGAAGCCATGCGAGCGAATGACAGCGCCAAGAGAGTTGGTGTAAAGCGAAAACAGGAGGGGACCCAGCACGGAACCCTGAGGAACTCCAGTAGTAAGAGGACAAGGTTCCGACACAGATCCTCGCCAGGTTACCCGGCAGGTGCGGCCGTCGAGGTAGGACGAGAGAAGGGAGAGAGCAGAGCCTGTGACACCAAGTTCCTGAAGGGAGGAAATAAGGATCTGGTGGTTGACTGTGTCAAATGCAGCAGAGAGGTCCAGAAGGATGAGGACAGAGGAGAGAGAGGCGGCTCTAGCAGTGTGGAATTGCTCTGAGACAGCAAGGAGAGCAGTCTCTGTGGAGTGGCCTGCCTTGAAACCTGACTGGTGGGGGTCAAGGAGGTTGTTACAGTGGAGATAAGAGGAGAGTTGATTAAAGATAGCACGTTCAAGGGTTTTGGACAAAAAGGGAAGAAGAGAGACCGTCTGTAGTTGTTTTCTTCAGAAGGGTTGAGGGTAGGTTTCTTCAGGAGGGGGTTGACTCTTGCCTCCTTCAGAGAATTGGGAAAACAGCCAGATAACAGAGCGTTGTTGATGAGACAGGTGAGGAACGGAAGAAGGTCAGGTGCGATAGATTGTAGAAGATGTGATGGAATGGGGTCAAGGGTAAGAATTTGGTTAGGAGAGAGGGCGGTGAAAGAGGAAAGTGAGGGCGAAAGAGGTGAGGTCGGTGCGACGCGAGAAGTAGGAGGTGGGTTTGAGAAGGAGGAGCGTATGTCAGCTATTTTCTTGGTGAAGTAGTTGACAAAGTCTCCCGAAGGAAGGGTGGAGGGGGGAGGAGGGGTAGGGGGTTCGAGGAGATTGGGGAAGATCAAGAAGAGTTTTTTGGGGTTAGAAAATGAAGATTCGATTTTGGATTGGTAGAAAGAGCTTTTGGCAGCAGAGATAGAAGCAGAAAACGAGGAGAGGAGAGATTGAAATTTAAGCAGGTTTTCAGGTCGTTTATATTTACGCCATCTCCTCTCCGAGGCTAGCATGGTTGCTCTCATGGCACGGACCGGTTGAGACAGCCACGGTAGCCGGAGGGGATTTGCCAGTCCGTCGTGTCGTAAGAGGGCAGAGAGAGTCTAGAGAGGAGGAAGAGTTTAGAGGAGAGTCTCTGCAGCAGCGTTCCGGATGCAAGAGTGAGAAGGGATCAGTTGGAAGGGGAGAGCTGATAG